ACTCTCGTGTATTGCGAATATGGGGACACCGTTTCGAGCCCTGTTTCAAACCGAACTTTCTTCGAGACGACCTCCTGCCAGTTCGCTTGCTACTGCACCCTCGCCGACGGCATGGGACGCCAGTGCGTGCTCCCGCCCCCGGGGGATCATGACTCTCTCGTACGCCTGTAGGACCGAGTCCACCGAGGACGAATTGCGAACCCCGTCGATGATGGCCTTGGCCAGATCACACGCATCCATCAGAGCCGTATTCGCACCCATGCCGCGGAATGGAAGCTAAGAGTCGTCAGATAGCAAAACAAGAAGGGACACGTGTTGTCGAGCCAAGCCCGAGGCTCAATCGACAGGATTCTTAACGTACCATTGAATGCGCAGCGTCGCCCATGAGAGTGACGTTGCCGCGAGGAAGGAGTTGGTCAGGAAGTACCGTCTCGGCCAGCTTGATTGGCGGGCGCTGGATGCCCTCGAGCGGCGTGCGTCGTATATTGTCGACTAAGAAGCCCGGGAGGTCTTTGACCACCGACAGCGACTTCTGGAGGAGTTCCTCCGCACTGGCCGAGGACGCCCAGAGGTCGTCCTTTGCGAAATCGCGGCTGCGGTACGACACATTCCAGTTGAACAGGGCGTCGCCGTCGTCGCAGTGCTCGATGAGCAGGAAGTAGAACTTGCACGTGTCCGTCCCGAGGAGAATGCCGCACGACGAATGTTCGAGGATGGGCCGCCACTGCTCCACGGTGAGCCGGACGACGCCGTGGATCACGATGAAGTTGGTTTGTATCAGCGGGCTGCGCTCGAGCAGCTGTCTTCGGACGGTGGATCGAGCTCCGTCCGCGGCGACCAGGAGCGTGCCACGGGCGGTGGTGCCGTCTTTGAAGAGGAGCGTCACGCCGTCCGAGTCCTCCGTGTAGCCGGTAACGTGCTTGCCCGTCTGGAGGTTCGTGTGCGGCGTCAAGAGGTTGCGGATCTTCTCGCGCGGGACGAAGAACATCCTGTCTTGTTCCTCGAAGCTCTTGGATCCGGTCACCCCGACGACCTCGTGGGTAGTCCCATCCATCACGGTGAACGCGTCCAGTCTCCGGAGCGCATAGTTTGGGCTCAGCGTGGCGAATCCCGCGATATTAGGGGGCAAGAGTCTTTCCAGCTCGTCCAGGCATCTATTTGGTGTCAGTCCAAACTGCTTCTGCCAGAGACTGAGACTGTTCACTCACTTGTCGAGCCCCACGGACCAGCCTTGAGGGCGTGACACGTCGCGTTCAAAAATCTCAAAGTTGACCCCTTCCTTTCGGAGCATTTGTGCCAGCGCGAGACCCGAGGGTCCAGCACCAGCAATGAGGATCTTCGAGTCCTTCCCCAGTACAGCCATATTGCAGCGCAGCTCCAGTTTCTCAATCTAGGAAACGTCCCGAGTGTTTGAGAAGGCGTAGGGTTGTCATGTCATCTTATACATCGAATTTTGCCGACTGTGTACTTGCAAGTTGGTCTCTTGGAAAGAGGCTTGAAGGAGCAATAGAACATCTCTCACACCGCGCCGTGGACATGGTAGTCGACACACGACCTTGACCACTGCTAGAGGCGCTAGGAAGTGAGGATGCTAAAAGCGGATCCTTTTGGGGCGGAAAAGCCATAACCAGCTAGCGTGGCTTGATCTGACATCCTCACTTGATTTCTATTGGCCATGAGTGTGCGAAGTGGAGATGGGGAAGCAGATCCACAAACCCGTTGCTTGTATGCAATCTTTGTTCTGGCTGAACCGGTTGGCCATCCTAATGAGCTCGGCTCGCGTTCTCGGCAAATGAAGCTGACGTTATTATCAGCGTGCCCTCCACAAATGTGACACGTGTGCGAGAGTTTCGTGCAAGACCGAGCCGGGCAATCGGTGCCAACAGAGACTGTTCTGTGGAGCATTGGGTGTAGGTCTGCAAGAGGCGAGCATTTGCGAGTCTACAGACCACGGTTTAGCATAATCGTTCGGTTTTTCTGATTCTAATCATCTAAGCCCTCATTTCGGGCTAGTCGATTGGATTGCTCCCTCTCAACTGGGGCCGCTGAAAACGATTTTCTTGCATGATCTATGAACCCAACGCCTGGTCTGGTTAGTTGATGGATTTCCCTGCTTTCAAGAAGGAACTCAAAGCCAAGATTGAAGGCATGGCAGTGCGGGAGCGTGATATCGGCTTAAGGAACTTCAGATGCTCGTAGTTGTGGATGGTATCGAGAAGGGGCCTTGGGATATCCCGTTCTTGAATTCCGGCGGTATCCCGCGTTCTTGGACTGCGCCAATTCTTCTCATGTTTTGTCACCGCCAGGCACTTTTCCGAGTGCTGTTACACTAATTTATTTCCGCTCTGCTGTGTACAGAAGCAGTGAAGCCGTAATGATCATGTGTGGGCTTTTGATTCGAGCATCCGCAAGTAAAGGCGGTGGAAACCCGACGAGCTAAAGTCTCCACGAAGCGCAACTCGAGCGACCGCCAGAGGTCATTTTTAGCACACGAATGCTTCTGGCTGGAGAGGCCGAGCTCAAAAATATGTATTTTGTGAGAAGTCGTGAAGCAATGAAGCCGTTCGACAAATCACGCACACCGTCTCTCTCGTTCTTCCCCACAAAAGCACATTGTCTATCCCCAGGCTGTGGGGGCTAGGTTGTTGGAGAGTGGGTCGATCCCATACAAAATTCGGCCCCGAATTTTAAGGTCCGAGTCTTAGCTGAGTTGGGGGTATTGACGATCGCTCGATGGAGTCGAGTCAAGGTCCATGCCCTTCTCGGGGCAAATACTGACCGGAGACACATTCTGGACGTTGTCGATGCTGATGCTGTTACAGGGACAGTGAAAACCAGGAGAGACATAAGGTACAACTGGTACATAGTCCAGTTATCTTTAGCAGGTGCCAGTTCAACATTTGCACACAAAGTAAAGCTTCGTAACTATGCAATTGCACCAACCTTTCGAGTTTTCAACCGGGACGGTTTGTCTCCTATTCGCATTACTCCTGGTGGTCTGGCGACTGGTGCTGGTCATCACAAGGATCTGGTTCTCGCCGTTGCGTAACATACCCGGACCACGGCTCGCAGCCGCGACAAGCCTCTGGTTGTACGTTGAGGACAACAGGCCAACAATCGTGAAGACCATTCGACGACTTCACTCACAGTATGGTGAGTTTGGTTGTGATTCTGAAACTGGAACGTAGAGAACCGGTTCTGCTAAAGCCGTGGCGTCCTGCAGGGCCTATTGTCCGCATCGCTCCCAACCATGTCAGTATCAAGGACGCGGACATATATCTGAAAACGATATATCAACAAGCGTCCAATTTCAACAAGGTGAAACACGTCTTTGGGCCTGAATTTTCGTGCAGCATGGCTAAGACCATCTGATCAGGATCCCGCATTTTATGACACATTTGCCAACGAAGACATCAACGTCTTCACCGTCTCAAGTTCTGTTGAACATGGATACCATCGGCGACTCCTCAGCGGCGGTTTCGCTCGCAAGAAAGTCCTGGAGTTCGAGCCGGAGATTTGGAAGCTTGCAACAAGGCTGACGACCCTGTTGGACGACGACTATGTCTCTGGGAGGCTGGTGGATCTGACGAAGCTGTTTCGCTCATTCGCTCTTGATGTTGTCTCGCGTTTCTCTTTTGGAGAGAGCTATGGAGCTTTATCGAGACCGGACCTTGATGAACCATTGCTAGACGCTTTTGATAAATTCGGTCGGGCCAGTTTCTTGGTGCGTCTCGATTGATTGGTCTGGAAGATGACTGCATCCATGCTAACCCTCCTCCTCTCCAGCTGATGAATTTCCCAACGATCAGGAAGTTGCTACAACCGATCATGATAAGACTACCCGGGCGAGTCTTCCAAGCGATCCCCAGCATGACCGGTGTAAGAAAAGCCACTCCACTTGAAACCAGAGAATGACTAATGTTTTTGTCCATGAAAGCGTGTAATGAATTCGCTCGATAGGTTGGACAATATTGAGAAAGGCGGATTTCTTCCTGTGCTTGTCTCGGTAAAGGAAGCAGGCTTACGACAGAACACGCAACTGTCAAAACAATACCTCGCTGCAAACGGCATAGGGAGCATTGTGGCGGGCACTGATACGACCGGCTTCACTTTGGCGGTGGGGATCTGGTCGATCTTCATGAATGACAAGATCCGTCAGCGTCTGCACTCCGATCTGAAGCACATGTGGCATGACAGACAGGTTCACCCTGGGTTGCGCGATCTTGAGGCTATGCCGTACCTGCAGGCTTGTGTGCGCGAATCGTTGCGGCTAGCAACACCAATTCGTGGCAGGCTACCACGCCTGGTGCCATCTGAAGGCATGAGATTCAAGGTCCAAACGACCGGGGAAAAGGAACATTATCTTCCAGGTGGAACAAGCGTGTCGTCTTCAGTCTACCTGATGCATTACGACGAGTCGGTGTACGACGACCCCGAGACTTTTGACCCTGAGAGATGGCTAGTAAAAGATCCAGAGCTGCTGCATCGGCGAGAGCGTCAGCTGGTGCCGTTTTCATCTGGATCAAGGATCTGCATTGGTCTCAATATTGCCCTGGCGGAGCTCTACCTGTGCATCGCGACTGTCATCAGATGGTATAAAGCCAAGGATGTGCTGGACCGTAAGCTCGTCACGGAGGAGCAGTTCACGGCCTTGGTCCCTGGGGGGCTGAGGGCTATTTTGGCCCGGGCCGATGATTGAAGTTCGTACGAAGGTCTTCTGAATGAAGTATTTTGATTGGCAAGGATTGATGATATGGCCATATCCCATCTTGCACAATACAAGTTGAGCCAGATGCACAAAGAGTCGCTGTTTGATAGGGTGTAAAAACTATTGACGCAGTGTCCGTTGCAAGATTGTAACACCAAGTCCGCTTGATTTCTGTTCTTCCTGGCTTCCTTGGTGAAGACGTCGGCGGTTAGGCATTCTGAAAGACCGGCAATGTCTACTGGGAGACTCAGATCGTAACCACCAAAGGCAGGCCACTGATTTAAAACCTTTCTTATTGCACCCCAAGCTCGAGCAACGTCTGGGCTCGAGTGCGTTGTTCTGATACCGGCCGGTTGGCCAATTCCGATTTGATATAATTTACGTCGTATCCGTGGTGGAATATATCAGTGTACCAGCTCCATGATGTCAAATTCGGGTTGGTTTTGAGAATATACCAACACTCAATCACATCGAGGGCCAATGAGAAGGTCCTTTCAGATAGATCGGCGTTTGCGGTACAAGTCAGCGACTTGTCGATTGAATAAGTCGCCTGTCCCATTCGAAGCATCCGAATCTCGATTGGATTCTGTGGATTGAGTGTTAGACTTGAGATGCAAGGAAACATTTCCACATCCACACGTACTAGCATTGCTTTGGCAGTCAATAACAGTAGCCAGTCAATGTGTCGAGAAGTCTCGCAGTGCCAAAGAAAATTGATTTCCACCGCTCGCACTCGTTCGTTGACGATGGATCCCAGGTCGCATGGATGCTTAGAACCCGGTTCACTGGTCTTGAGATGTGGCAAGGCGGCTTCAAGCCGAGTGAGTTCAACGACAACAAGAAAATAAGACATCTCGGTGAATGACGTCCTGGGAACGGGAAGCTGCTGCATAGTTGGGCTCAGGTCGATGTCATTTAGGTTCAGAGGAAGCGCAACCTGCTGCGAGTGCAGAGTAGTACTTGGAGCCCAGCCGCGTTTCGCAGCGCCGTGATAATCAAGAACATATAATGCCCACCAGCAACGAAGAAAGATCTGTGTTTCAAGCAGCGACAGGTTTTCGTGGTGGCTGTCACCATTTTCTGGGAGCAGGAGGCGCGCTTCTGACACGGCCCTGTCAAACAAAGCCGTATCTGCTTGAACATCACCCCCGAGCCGCCGAAAGAGGCAGATCTAAACATCAAATTGAGTCCAATAAACCCATCAAGTTTGTTGACTTACCACGTGAAGAACAAGGGCTTGCAGGACATGTAAAGACGGCTTCTGGCGCGACGCCGCCTCCCCCAAAGCACGCTCCATCCTTTGCTTGTAGAAGAAAGCAAGCATGTCCTTTCTTAGCTGGAATCGAGTTTCAACCTCGCCAGCGGAAAGCACATCGACCGCTGCATAACAAATGCTGAACACAAGCGCTTGTATGCAGGAATCGACCGCTGAGGAGTGAGATGTTGCAAGCAGAATCTGTTCCGAGAAGGACGGACAATGGATTAGTTTAATCACGGGATCAATGTGGCTTCTGTAGATGTGCCACAGCTCGAATACTTGAGACCGGAGCAACCAAGAGTTCAAAGGCGCGGTGGAAGGCAGCTCCGAGCATATAGTTACCGCATGCTCTGGATCAATATGAGTAGTCAAGCTTGGCCCAGAAAAGTTGGGGCATTCTGCGACGGTATATTCTTCACTCAGAAGGCGAGATCTTTCAGGGTACTTAAAGGACGATACAGAATGCGTTGATGCGACGACAGATTTCGGACTCGATGATCCCCGGACTTCGTTCTGATATTCCTGCACGTCCACAATAAGCCCCAAGTCGGGTGAAGCGGCGGAATGGGGCGACGTGTTCAGGGCTGCATTGGCGGCATCCTCCAACTCGTTACATTTTTGTGCCATTGTTTTGACCAAATCTTCCAGTTCTCTCTCTCGGTGAGACTTTCTCTTCTTGTATGGTCCCCTCGGCATCCGCCGTTTCAGGATTTGCTCGCTCGGGGGATATCGGCATGAAATTTGGGTCTTGGAGCATGCGGTACAGCTTCCAGGGCGACGATCACATTTGATCTTCCGTGCGTGACAGGAGCTGCAGGCAGCCCGCGGCAGCTTTGGGACCTGCCCCGACATGAGGGCGAACCCACAAGGACAGAGCGTGTGCTTGGGGCTGTGTGGTGGTGGTAGAGTCAAGAACAACAAATCCAAGCGCGTATTACAGGTCCGGTTGAGGTTCGAAGACATGTGGTGGTGCAGAAGTCTGGGGATTTGGTAGAAATCGTGGGGAAATTGATGGTGGGGAATGTATAGGTGGACTAATGCCGGCGAGCATTGCCGAGCAGGGATGATCTAACGCGAGGCAACCCCGCGGGATATTAGTTCAATGGCACATGCCTATCAAGTCGACTTTCTTGACCTGTCGGGATCAAGAGAAAGTGCTGAGTACGAGGGGAGGAGGGTAGACATCCGTACGCCGAGCCTTTGTCTCTTGCTGGAAACTGCGCCACGTCAGACTTGAGGCTGGATGGAGGTTGAAGCCTGCACACACACACGCAGCCACTCCGTATCAATTGACTTCGCACCTGATGATCTAGCCCTGAGACCACCATTTCGTTGACTATGGATGGGAAGATTGTCTCAGAACCTGCAACGTTGACGCCACAAACTGTCATATGGAAAGACTGACCTATAGACCATAGTAGACTACCAGCTTCCCTGGGCTACAAGATGGGATGCGCTAGACGTGAGAGGCGATGAGGATAATAAGTGTGATTGATCTCAAGGAGCTATACGTGATGTCTGACAAAGAAGAGAAAGAATTTCCTGCAGACTGCCCGAGGCTTCAGGCATCAAAGTCGCGTGAAAGCAGGCAGCCTGGCACCCACGCGTAACCCCGTGATTTGGAAGGTGTTGGTTTTCATTCACATGGTTTGGGTCTTCACCACCTTAGTTAACAAAGACAGTTGCGACTTGGCGAGAGCTCGACCAGTTTTCCCAATTTTTCATTGATATTTCAGAACACCTTCTCTGTACCTCTCAACCGCACAACGAGCGCGAGACGACACACGGCCGTTCTTTGAATCCGATACCATGCCTACAAGACGAAAACGGACACAGCCTCCAATGCCTAAACCCCGAAGACAGAGAAAGAGGGGGAGAGCAGTGGCGGTGGAGACACCGGAATTGGTAGAGAAAAAGGTACGAATTCCTGTCTCCCTTGCCCCTCGAAATGGCCGTGCTATGGTTCGATGTCGTGTTAATTTCAATTCATGCAGGACCTGTTCGAGCGCCTCCCTCTAGAATGCTGCAACATTATCTTGACTTGTCTGTCCATCCCTGATCTCGGTCGATTCGCTATGGTCTGTGCGTCCTGGAAGCGGCTGGTCACCACGTGGATATCATCTTTCGGCCTCGCGGTCCACTTTCCCTATGCTGAGAGCTCATGGAACGCGGCTGATGACGCGCTGGCTCTTCGCACATTCAAACGTCTGAGTATGGAGAGGGCCTTGTCCAAAGCCAGCGTGCTTGTCTGACTAACACCGCACAATCTCAGCTTTTCAAGAGCGCGCTCTGCAGAGGGGTGAGGCTACATCAGCGCGACGGTTTCCCAATGCCTACCATTTCACCACAGCAGGAGATTTTGCAGCATGGGCCGAAAAGAAAGACACATTGATCAACTACCAACGTCTAAAAGAAGGGACCAAGACAATGACTTTGGATCTCGGATGGGTGGGAGAGGCGAATCGCGTGATATCGCTCGAGGGAATGGACCTCAACTCAGATGGATTCCTCCTGGTGAGGCTCCATTCTGGTGCCAGCATCTACGCTCCAGAGGACCTGACTTTGCCTCACACATACCGGTAAGGAGGAAAAAATCCCTTGAGAAAAGTAAATTGCTCATACATTTAGGGATTTTGTCTACTCTCTAGTAGCCCGCGAGATCGTCTGGAAGATGGACTCCACAGATATTGGCGCTGAGGAGTGGCCCCAGTACACCCCTCTTTGCATCGGGAAAGATCGAGTGTATTTGGCCTACCGAACTTCGAATAAAGCCTACGATCTGGTGGCCGAAGACTTCCGAACTGGCACCCGTCTATATCGGACAACGGTCATGGATAGCATCTTTGCCTCTGACCGCGCCTATATGCCCTGGCGATCCCTTGAGTTGATCCAACTCGGAAGCGATGAATTCATGATTCAGTTCGACTGCAAGCGGCTGCTGTCCAGATCAAGGTGCATGGTGGATAATTTTGCCATCATCAACGGAGCCGACGGTCGTATCCAAACGATTGCCTGTCCCGGTCTTGGAAAATGCAATCGTGCATTTGCCAACGCGAGGACAAATTCCATTGCCTTGGTGGAAGGTCCGGTGTTCCCCTATGCTCAAGAGATGGTTGTTCAGAAATTATCCCAACGGCCAGACAAAACCTTCTTGCGCACCGCAGTCCATGTGGTGTCTATGCCTCCGCTTCACCGCGACGCTCGCTTCGTCATGCATCCATTTTCATTTCATGCCTTTTCTATCCAAGAAGGCGACGCGGGCCCCCAGGCCGTGACTCTGACACATGATTACGACGTCCAAACGTGCTCCAAGATGCACAGGATCATCTCACGATGCGAACCCGAAGTGGTGGTCGACTGGTACCGCTGCATTGTCCCGGGCCGGCCCACGACCTTGCCTCCGCGAAATCCAAACAGGGGTGGCCGACGAACATTGGGGTTTCGCGTGAAACCGCGCGATGCATCGAGTCTCACCGTGCTGGATGATGGACGCCTTCTGTTTGAATACGAAACTCCTCTTCCCGGGATTCCAATCAGGATTTCCAGAACTACTCAGTGGGATACCGACATGTATCTGTTCTCTTTTGCGCCAAAATCGTATCGACACGACCTAGTTCCGGAAGCCGAAGGTGAAGGCGAAGGCGAAGGCGAATGAGGCTTGTTGCGGCTTCCGTCGGATGCACCATTATAGAAAGCAGTCGAATTCCAGCAGAGCCGCTTTCGAAGGAAGTCACGGTTTATCTCTTTGTTCTGAGTTACTTTTCTTGACAGTTCTCCGACCTCCTCAGATTCGGATGGTCGCTGTGGGACAATGGAGGGAGTGTATTCGTCTAACAGGGGGGTATGGTATTGGGTATCAACGAGCCTGCCCCCAATTCGCTTCCCCGGAGGTCTTGTTCTCGAGGATAAGAGACAGACAGCTTGTTTTTCAAATGCAAAATGCAGGAGGTGGTCAAGGGGACTCTCGTGACCCTCGTTCATAAGCAATTCAATCATCCTAGAACCAATGTGGCCGAGCCGTTGGCTATTAAGGTCATTTTAACTTAGAAGGCCATTCCTCCTATCCACTTAGATACAGTAGTGTTCGTATCCCTGCGGAAAATATTGGGCTACCCTTGATCTGGCGGCCATCTCGTCATCATTTAAGCACAATACCTGGCTATACCAGACGAAAGCGTTTTACTCTATGCCGGACTGTGTGCCACTGATTTCTAAAGAAGCCTTGCGCTCCCTAACTCACCTCGAGATCCTTTTTCGCCCATAGGCCCTGAAGGCGCTCGATACGACGTGCGTCTCGCTTCGTTGTGGGCGCTAGATCTAGCTCTCCAGAACAACTGTTCCACGAAACCCGGTCTCCACAGCCCTGCGAGGGAATCGGCCGGGTCCAGCCTGGTGATGCATGCTGCCATAGTCTTTGTGCGAATGGGTCCCGACCGGGTGATAGTTTCTGCTTAGTAGATCGCCTCATAATTGTTACAATTGTATAGTAGAGATATCGGTTCGCGAGGTAAACAATGGTGTACTGGTGCCAAGAAAAAAAGTGCCAAATGCGCTGAACAGGAGATACGCACATCAACGAGGAAGAGCCGACCCCGGCTACGTCGTTGACAGAAAACGAATACGAGAAGCTGAAGACGACGCGGGAGGTGATGAAGAACGCGTTTAAGAACATCGGCCTGAACAAGCAGCGGTTCGTGGAGACTTTGGCAGCAGTTTGACCCAGCGACGCAGAAGATTGAAAACAGTCGCTTCCCGATGGATAAGTTGTCGGCCGTGGCGGAGATGGCGCGGAATCTGATCAAGAAGCACTAACTAGGAGCTCTGGAAGGCCTGGGGCGGAAGGGCGATGTAGGTAGGCAGCTGGCCGTGAAGGACTCGCAGAAGGATGATAGCCACGCAAGGCTGACTTAGTTGGCGGGGTTGGAGGTCATGCCTCCTCCAAGGCTCCAAAAGTTCCGTGTCTTCCTATAGCGCCTCGTTGGGTAGAAATCATTCCTGATATTGTGCGTGGATTGTGCTGGGGTACGGAGATGGTTGCTTTATCGACAGCGGCATACCTACGAGGCACTTGTACAGTCGCCATTAAACGGGCTAAGTAAGAAACCTAGCCTGCGAGGCACACCGTATGCCAATATAACATCGAGCGATTCTGGGAACCAGAGGCAGGACCGGACGGGCGGGCGGAAGGCGACACGTATGGGGAGCACCTATAATCTGTAGGTTAATGTATTATTGACTTGCCACGTACCAAGTAGATCTTGCAACAGTAGCCCATCGCACCTTGAGCCCATCGGCCTCTCGCTCTTGGGAGGAGCGGAATCCCGCCTCCTCCTCCAGCCCGCCAACTGGCTCGCTTACATCCGAAGCCCAAGCGACTAACGCCAGCCCCGGCTCTTGGTTTTCCGTAAGTGGCTTCGAAACAGACTGACCTAGACTTCGGTCTCCAAATCAGGAAGAAGGTTCGAATGCGGGAGCAATGCATGCCAAGCAATGAAGGTTCTTGTTTCAGAGAGACGACCAAGCACGGCTCGACGAGTGGTGTTTTTCTTTCCATGTGGCCTGATTGATCATCGTGGCCAGCTGCACCTCCGTCCACAGCTCGCGTGAAGCTGCCGACAGTGGCCAGCTGGCGGGCTCGTCGATGTACTTGGTACATACTTGTACTTCGTATCTCCATCAACTTAGTAGACTTTTCATCACCAGTCCATCGACGCCATCACCGAGTGGTGCTGTACCGAGCAGTTAGCTCGTATCGAGTGGTCGCATGGACCAGGAATCATGCGATCATCAATCCAATTCTCATGATTTCCTAAATATGCCTCTTATTGGTATTAGGTGGTGAGAGTGTGCCCGTTGTCCGAGTGGGTGTTGTCGGGTCGAGAGAGGAATAAGTATGGCACTCAAGGCCGCCATGATGGCCTCGGTCAGGCGAATACTCGATTGCGAAGATCTGGGATTCCCTGTTTCATTTGATCGCTCGACGACATGAAATCTTTCTTGATTTTCGTGGCTCTCGTGTTTTGCAGCTTTGCGGGTGCTGCTACAGGTGCAGAAGTATGCCGCGTTGACCCCGACACCAAATCCGATTTCGTACGTTCCCGTCCGCGTTGAAAAAGGCACAGGATGAGACAGCGGTGACCGGAACTGACATACATTGTATAGCAAATTATCGACAAAAACACCGGCGTGCCGCTGGTCAATGACAAAGGCGTGCTCAAGGTTGCCAGCAAGCCGGTTAACCTCAGTGTCGCTGGCACATTTCATTTCGAAAAGATAAAGGGAGCACCTCCTCGGTCGGTTGACTTCTCGCTTCAACTGAATCCAGGAGAAGGTGTACTGACTGGGCCGCGTGGCAAGGGTTTATGACTTGATTTACGCCGCGAAAGGGTCTTCTCCCCTGTATCTGGCGCTGACGAAGTCCGGAAAGGTGCTGCTCGAGAAGGCAAGGTTTGTGCACCAGACGGCCAAACAAACCCGAGGAGGGCTTCGGTGGCTAATCAATACCCTACCAGTTCCGCGGGCCAGAAATATGTCAGTCCTCCGGGGGGCAAGGGAGAAGCCTACATAACATCGTGAGTGATATGGGCAGCGTGCAGCGTATTTGAGGCTCGACGGCCACCAGCAACACTCACTAACCCCCCAGCTGTCCAGAATCTGGACTGCCCAGTGCGATGGATCCATGAATGCAGGCACCGTCAAGAATGGAACAATCCAGTTCCATGTGTCGAACGGGCAGGTTGTGGCAGGCAGCGCGCCTACCAAACGTTTCCAGTTCAGCAAACTCAACTGGGCGCTGGTCACTCCCCTTGCTTTCAATATTCTCAATATCAAGGAGGATGTACAGCCATTCAAGGACGAGCCACGATGTCCCCAGGCGGATTTGACGCCTGCTCTGCGGGCTGGTGCGCGTGAGGCCGGCGTCAATGGCTGTGGGTCGGGCTGGGTGAAGACCTGTCTCAAGTTTCCGCCCGATCTGGACTTCAAGTCTTGTTGTGACGACCATGACCGCTGTTACGGTAAGTTCGAGGCCCTCGAATCGATGATAGCTTCGAGCTCCCCAAACACCCCCCCCCCCCCCGGGAGGCGGCAACCCAAGTATGGTCCTGAGGCTGATGAGACGTTTGGCGTTTCTGCAGATGACTGCAGTCAAGGCTGGGTCGCGTGCAATGTCAAGTTCGGGAACTGCATGGTCAATCAATGCAAGACACTCTATCCCGATTCCATGTTCGACAGGTTCCGATGCGAGGCCCTGGCCGCGACCTATTTCGACTTTGTTTCCAGCTCCACGGGCCGCGATGCGTTCCACGAAGCAACGAATGACAGATGCATCTGTAAATGTCCTGATCCAGATAAGACATATTGCTCCTCGAATGGTTGCGTGGATGTGCAGACAGACTCATCCAACTGCGGTGCTTGCGGCCTCACGGTAAGTTAGACGTTGCAGTCTCTCCCCGCTCTGCGTCGATCCCCCGAGCTGATACCATCGCCCTGGCAAAGTGTACCAACGGCCTCCCTTGCGTGGACGGCGAGTGCGCGTGTCCTGCTGCGACCCCTGACTGGTGCTCCAGTGGCTGCGTCGATTTCCAGACAGACACAAGCAACTGTGGAGAGTGCGGCAACGTGGTAAGTCATCCGACAAGCGAAGGAATTCCACAAGGTGTCCGAGTCTCACTTCAAGGTCTGTAGTGCGCGAACAAGTGCGTGAACGGCACTTGCACAACCACGACGACAACCAAGCCCCATACCACGACGACTCCGGCACCGGTCGCCAGCTCAACCCTTAAACCGTGGGTCTTCAAGCTGACGACTAACAGCAATGGCAATGTCTACCAGGAGGAGCCCGCTCATCTCTATTCCGAGTCCGACACATACCTCCTCCAATCCAACGGGCATCTCACTGTCAACACCGCCTGCCTCACCGTCTTCTCCACCGGCGAATCAGACCGATGGCTTGACGTGGGGACGGACGGTGGCAACGCTCTTGCCAGCGGAGACCCATTCTACTTCGGCTATGGTCAGGGCGCCAAGGAGGATTCATGTTGCTTGACATACTTTTCAGGTGAAGAATGCAACAAAGCCACGGACAAGTTTGTCACGGTGTGTGGCGCTGGGGAGGGCAAGCTCAAGTTCCAGGCTCCATCGTGGTACGTGAGAAACTGCACTCTGGGATTCCAACCCTCAGGGGCCAGCACCACAAGCTCCAGATATCTGTATGGATCCGGAGGTGATGTGACGAGTACGGCAAGTTGAGAAGCTCGATAGAAAACAGCAAATCGTGATCGAAATCTAACTGTGTTCTCGAACGTCTGTTGGTTTCTTTCCTAGATGAACCAACTGGACCGCCTGCTTCGTATTTAATGGCCTTGGTCCCAGTCCGAGCCGGGACACATCATGTCTCCCTCTCGACCATGTGGGAATTTTCGAGGCTCCCTTGGTGTCAGCGAAGCCGCGCCAGTTTCGGTTCATTCTCCCGAGAGGTAAGCACCGATGATATTGTCGCGTGTTATTTCAGTCCCAGTATCCCGTTTTCTTACCGGCTCATTATCCATTACGGACGGTCGGCAGCCTCGCACTGGACACAGGGTGTTGTCCCAGAGGGTAACGGCACTCGGCGCGCGAGCCTAGACAGTCGGCCAGCCACGTCTTCAGTTGCTGGAAGCTTGATTCGGACCACGTCTCGGTGCAGGTGGGCGCCACATGATGAAACGAGGCTCCATCTGGGCGTATTAGTCAGAGCGATGAGTTTGTCGCCGCAGTGCTCGTTTCGACAGAACGCCACTTTTGCCTAGTTTGACATGGATGTACAACTCTGCCAGGATTGGTGTAGCCGCGTCTTGAAAAGAACGTGGAAGGTGTGCTTATCTTGCGTCGAGCCGATGTCGACCGAGATGACGGATTTCTGGAATTCCTCTTCCTCTATGAGTGATTTCAAATGTTCAGATTCTCTTTCGATGCCTTGTAATTGCTATTGAACACACGTGGCACGACTGGAAGCTTTCCCTCCATTTCGCGAGTGAGTGGAACTCGGTTCTGACGACGAGTGTTCCGTTGCGGTACAGATCAAGGGCTAAGGAGTAGATGTTCTGGCAGAGCTTAGAAATCTCGTTGAACTTGACGGTGCTGGCCATGGCCGTTGCCGCTTCGGAGGAGTGGCTTCACGACGTGTGAGAGTGGAGGAGAGAGAAATCATGCAATCTGCACTGTGCACACTCGATGCGGCATGGCTCAGCCCCGACTGGCTCTGGGCGGTGATCAAGTACGGAGTAGACAGTTAATCCTTTAGGTGCTGCTCGACGAGTGCCAAGATTTCACTAGGTCCAACACAATACTGTTTTTCAAGCTAGAAAAATTCAATTCGTTCAATCCGCCCAGCGGTCCAAAAAGAAAGACTCAAAGAGACCCAAAAAAATGATGCGGCCACTGTGGATCGAACACAGGACCTTCAGATAAACTGAACCGAAGTTGTACTTCAGTCCTAGAAGCTGTTAGGTGGTGAATGACTGTGGTTGTAGATTTATTACGTACTGACGCTCTCCCAGCTGCTGTTGCGTTAGAATTCGGTTTGCGGAAGAGGTACATCGGTTTTGTCTCACCTGAGCTATAGCCGCGATCCCATTTGTTGAAGGAAAATGCGAAGATCTTACTTATAAGCGCAACACTTTGTGGCTCTCCCCCACTGTATCTCACGTGACCGGGGCTTCCTACCTCGTGGGCAGTCGCTTCAAAGTGCCAGTCAAAGGATCCATCACGCTAGGCGAGTACTTGGTGGCGCTGATGGTGATCTCTGGTTTGCAGTCACCCACTGCAACACCCGTCGAGAGAGATGCGAAGGAACCCATCTTGCAGCTCAACTGATGCGAGGGGTGGAGAGTCATGGATGTAATCATTGAACTTCTCAATTGGTCGCGGTTTATTATGTGACACAAAATGCTTTACAGGCACGTGACTACGGCATATACTGCACTAATAGCGAAATGATCGACCGTACCACGCGTTCTCTTGAACTGCGCTACATGTCTATCTTGAACTCCGTCTCATGACTGCGCATCGATCAGTGCCTTCCTTCCGGGTCGGTAACAAATCCTCAATGTCGACACATTGCTAGACTCATAAGCCATCCTCGACGCAATGGCACCGCTCTCGCGACACGTCCATAAAATGGTCCCGCGCCTGCGGATCCCTGACCGACCCGTCGTAGATGTCCCTCTGCACCCAGCACCACTGCTTCCTCAGCCACCCGACGAAGCCGCCCTCCAAGTGCTCACACACGTCATTCATGCACTGCAGAAGCGCGTCGTTGCACGAGGGGAGGTCGTCTGTCGGACAGTCGCCTGCCACCCGAGGGGGAGAGATAACCAGTCAGCACTGAGATCACGGATAGACAAAGTATGGAACACAATGGGACAAGGATGACGTATTTTTTTTCGAGGTATGAAGAAAACTCACCAACACAGATGTCATGGTCGATGCAGCACTGTCCGAACATCCCGCTTCCGGCTTCCATATTAGAGAAGAGGCCGATTCCGCACCCGTATGGCTTAAATTCGCCTGCGCCTGAGTTAGTTACCGCGTGTTGACCGTGGGGGCACCGTCGCACGTTCCTGTCCGGTCCGTTGTGCCGTGACATCTGGGCGGCGACGTCTCTGGTAGCGAACGCTGCAGCTGGTGAGCCTCCTGATGTACTGGACGGCGCGGCCTTGGGTTGGTCATCCCGGCTTACTATGATTGCGACTGTGGCTTGGGCGGAGATCATCGACTATCTCGCCAATTCGTGAGCTGGAGAGGGCTTCCGCCAACATCCCCAACTCATCTGCAGGTCGGTTGACGCTATCACCATCATCGCGACTGTGGCTCGGGCGGAGATCATCGACTATCTCGCCGAGTTGTGAGCCGGTGAAGGCGTCCGCTAACATCTCCAGCTGATGCACTGGTCGGTGGACGGGATGGTGCTCCGGCGACACCGACGATGTAGCCGACGCGGTTGGTAAAGATGGGGTCGTCATCGCAGGACCAACAAGTGGGAATTCCTCTCCCAACCCAGGTTCAGGCGTGTCGGTGGCACGCTCTTCCCTTACAACCAGTGTCACCCATGGTACACCATGACGGGTACCACTCCTCGCCACAGACCCGGCCGTTGAGGTCGGCACGCTCGCTGGTCTGACGACCATGGAGGCCGTCACGGTGGTGAACCGTCCCTGGGCCTGGACCGGGGCCAGTGCGCTCAGGGGAGCCCCCGTGACCAAGGACAGCAAAGCGAGAGTGGCGAGGACGAAGACGTAAAACGAGGCACGCATTTTGAGGGGCGTCGAGAACGGGTTTTGGGCAGGAGTCGTGCTTATCAAAAGTGGGACTGTGGATGTGTATAGTAGTAGGCGGTAAAGTTGAGAAAATCTGAAGAGGGCGGTCGATAGGATGTGCTGAGTAGTGCGAGACACGAACCCAGAGAGAGGCAGTAGCTCTTTCTTATACCCTGATCCCCCTCCCAGGAGAAGCGCAGCGCGGCGTGTCGACAGCAAAAGGTCCCCAAAAAAGACTGCGCGGTGGAGTCGTTGAGGTCCTCAACCAGCAACAACGCGAGGACAAACCCAATGGAACGCCGAGAGGAGGGTTCAGGGCGCCCACCGGCGCAGCTCAGGTTGGACCTGCCATGGCTTGGACACTCACAGGGATTCCAGAGGCAGAAAACTAGACGGGGACAAAAACGGGGATGTGAAAAGACGCGGGTTCCAAAGGCAAGAGTAGCAGGAAAAAGCGGGTGTTGGTTAGAACCGTGGAAAGTAGCCTTTTTGTATTTTCAGGGGCTGCAGCCTTGTCCAGCATCTCGTCCCGCCCAGCACGTCAAATGTCCTCCCCCAACCCCACCCACACTTTGAGGCGTTTTCGACCAAATCAGCGCAGCGCAGTCTTGTGAGGACTGCTAGTTGTCCGTTATTCCAAGACAATCGTGGCTGAGTCGCAGCATATCCATCCCGATCCAAAGAAGCTTCCTTTTGGGATTCCAGCACTCGGAGTATTTTCCTCGACCAGGTGACCGGCTGGCACACGCACACACAACGTAGAACATTCGGACTGTCTGGCCACACCTTATGTGGCAGCCAAATGACTCCTTCCGAAGCTTCCATTCGCCTTCTCCCACTCCTGAATCATTCCTGTGACATTCCGCCTCGAGATCTCGGTGTCGCCCTTTGCGCTCGCGTCGACCTCCTCCAGCTGCCTGTTGTTTTGCTGCGCTTCCCTCTCAACAGGACGCAAAGACGATTGGTCCTCTAATACGTCGGGGTGTACAGCCTCTTCATCATCGTACACACTCACCGAGTTCTGGGACAGAGACTGGGACAGAAATTGGAGTTGGAGTTGCGGGTACGCTTGGTCGTTCGTGACCACCACCGAGGGTCTGTGCGCTCCAAGGTCTTCTGCGCTTTGTCTCGATCTGCTGCGTTGGTTGGCGTCCACGTCCCTGCTTTCTGTGGCAATCCGACTATGCCCACCGAGTGTGACGGTCTCGAAATTGGAATCGTATGCCAGCGTGGTCGGAGACCGTATGTATGCCGCGCTCTGACTTTCATCGCTGACTGTGATTGTGGGATTGACAAACGGACTGTGGTATTCGGTGGGATACGTGGAGTCATCTCCTGCCCTATTGCGCCTGTATTGCGGTCTAGCCTCGAATACCGCACCCGGGTCTTGTTCTTGGTTGTCAACTTGATACTCGTTCCTCAAGGGGCTGTTCTGGGCGACCATTCCCCACGCATCACGTCGACCGTGAGCAGGCGGGGGAAGCAGCGCAGACGGATGTCGCGGAAGCAATCCGTTGCCGCTGGCGGTGGACTGGTAAGAGTTCCGGGATTGGTCTGGAGGAGGTACGAGGTGGCTTAGCCGCTGCTGCGAACAAGACCGTGCATAAGGGTCATCGAGGTTGTAGAAGTACGAAGCATGAGAGTCTTCCCCCCCAGCGTTGCCATTGCCCGGACCCTGTTGCCAACTTGCCATTAGAATGCCATGCGAGGCATATTCAAGAATAATGAGACCCCAACAGCACTTACGATTTGCCACGAATTATCTCCCATAATGGTGTATTCGTCCCAGTTCTTGTTCTCGCCTCTTCGTCCCATCAGCATGGTAGTCGGTCGTATCTCTCCTACAGCCAGCCGCGCCTGTCGCCCCCTCTCCCACGCGTACATGTTATTGATCCATCTTACCTCCTTCAGCCGGGCAACTTGCGATGCCGATCGTTGTTTGTTGGGATTGTAGAGCTCGGTTCCCCCTATTTCATCCAGGCCCTCAGGGTCGATCAAATTGGACTGGTTGCGACGGCAGTAGCGAAAAATACTCGCGAAGAGGATGATGCATGCGAACGAGGCGAGGATCACTATGCCGACGATGAGAGAGGGGGAGATTGCCAGCGAAGACTGTCCGCTGTCGTCGTTCTGTTGAGTGGCCATCGCGTCTCAACGCCGACAGGTGATAATTGTTATCAGGCCTCTGGGGGACAGATTCGATCAAGTTGCGCCGAAACGGGTGGCAATTTGTCGCTACAGGAAAAGGTATGCTTGCGACAGGACTTTGTGGTCGTGGTTGGACATGTCCGTCGTTACATTCGTCCTAGAAAAGAATGAGGATGTTGTCGACAAAGCCAGTCGTCGTTACAGCGCGTGAAGAGAAGGAATTCACCCAGAGACGATCACGGCGCTCCGGTGGAGGTGGACGTGAAGCTTGGACATGACAGGTGAACATCGCAGACGTGAAGTCCCGGGCATCAACAAACTTGGTCTGATCTCCATGTTTTCCACGGTGCGGCAGAATGCATATGGTCCTTCACTGCCGCAACGGTGCCACCTGAAATCTTTCCACAAGTTTGCGCTCCAGGCACGCGAAGATCATTTGAAGCGCTTCCCACCTTGCTCCAATCGGTGGCATCGACATTCATCATTCCTGGCGCGAGCCTTGCAGCGACCGTTCATCGACATAGCATTCAGAGACTGAATTCGCAGGGCCTCCACCGATGGAGCTGCTTTACGTTCGCCATCCTCTTCGGGATACGCTGCAGTGTAGCAGCCTGGTTCGCAATCTGCCCAGCGGTGATTGCAAGTGTGACGGTATCTTGCCGTTGCTCGCCGAGAGCAGTGATTTGCTACTTGCCCATCGCCGGATGATTCGTTGACCCTTGAGAGCGAGCATTTGGACTGTCCTACAGAATGTGTGCGGTTCGAGAAGTTGGCAACGGCTGGCGCAGGCTGCTGGCATGACAGACGCGGGAAACGTTAAAAGTGTTCAACACCTCGAGAGCATTAAATCTCCGCAACTCTCCGTCGAGCATTGGCACTGCATTGTCGGAACTGACTACATGAAGAGATATCTTCTAGGAAAGCCGATACTTTGTTCATAGCTACAATTTGCTGCTACAAAATCTATGCTAATGTCTGAGTATGCACACATGCAACGTCAGTGGGCTTCCTGGTCAGTTTGGCTCCCTGTGCGCTGCCGGTGACCCGTTCCTCTTCCTGCAGTCAGCTCACTGTCGTCAATTCCACATGCCGAGCATTCATTATTCATTTCAAAGCTCTCACAACTTCCCTTGCTCACAGAATCCCGTCCTTATTGTCCCCCAGCAATGCGATGGCTTTCTCAGCCTCCTCCGCACCCTCTTTGCCGCCGTCATATACCTTGTTCATAAAGCCACTCAGCTTCTGAAGAGCCTCCATCATCTTGTCACTGTCAAACTTTTCATAGTGCACGTCGAATAATGCCTTCATTGTTGCTTGACATGTGTTCATACTTTGCCTGACATCATCAAGCTTGGTCTTGACCAAGTGTAGCTGCTTGCTAATCTGGTCTTCAGGTGCTGGAGGAGCTTTTGGGACAACTGCAACGGCAATAGCTGCGGCGGACCGGGATCGTCTGTTTTCACGCTTGCGGGCAGAGTGAGATTTTGGTTTGGACCATATTCCGATGGAAGTGGAAGCCTCATTTCTCTCTTGAAGCGAGTTGTGATAAGTAACGCGGGGACCACCCACGTTTGGGTTCTTGCTCCCGTTCAGCACTTTCTGACGCTTGAACGGGGTGTCACGTAAGTCTGTCGGATCACGCTCACTGTCTGATGACAACGTCAAGTCGATCAGGTTCTCTTCTTTTATATCATGCAAGGGTCGCTTCCTCATCAGAGGCTGGATAGGATGGAATTTCAACTCCACAGTATGGTTGGCTGGGGGCTGAATGGTTACTGCCCTACTCTTCTTCTTTGTATTGTCACCTATGCCATTGGGACGATACCTGTCAGGGTATATTGGATCTTTGGGAAGACGACCTCTGGGGTGGAGGGTTCCCGCTTGTAGCGCAAGTCGCTTGACAACCCAGATGAGATTGAACAAGGCTTCGTGATTGAAGGTGTTGAACCCAGCTTTGGTGGCAGCGTCTGCGACTTGGAGTTCGAAGCCAGTCAATTCGACAGCTGCGGCTAGTTAGCACTGCCTTGTTTTCTTATCGTGGTGGCGGCGGCCATACTGCCTTGATAGAGACCCGTAACTCCCGTTTCTTGATGCTCATACCAACAGCCGACACCTCTGCCGCAGAAGCCAAAATGCTTCCACGGCAGGCATGTACCTCTTTGTTGGACTGCGCTGGCCAATCGACCAGTGTCCCAGTGAGCGAACTGGCAGGTGGGAGCTCCGAACGCATCGACATTTGGGCAGCGTGGCCCGAGAGCCCAGTAGCGGCAAGTGTACAACTTGTTTCGTGCGTCGACAGCAGGCATCGTGAGATGCGAGGGCCAGTTAGTACTGCCGCTCGGGATTGGTAACAGCTCAACGTGACGAGGGCAAAGAGGCTGAGCTCTCTAATGTAGCAAACTGTAGAAGAGCTGGACTAGGGGTACAAGTGATAGACTGAAGGATGAGGTGAGCGCAGGGAGGACATGAGAGGCAAAGGAGGGTCAAGTGAGGTGAAGTGAGACTGGCCTCAACCCAAGACACCACGAAGCAATCAAAGGAAGGCACCCACACAACTCACAATTCACGCCAACAAGATCAAAGAAAAGAGCGACAGATTCAGCAGACACGTTCATGCAAAATCTAAACAGAGTAAGAAGTCCACCCTGATCATCATTCATCTCAGCAGCAATTCATAACCTCTTCACTTGACAGGCTGGAACCCCCTACGCAGAAGCACGACGCTTCAAGGACTTCTCATCCGCCTTGAACATCTCTCCTTGCGTCTTCAACTTCATCAAGATATAGGCCGCCTTAGTGTCGGTAAATCCCCTTGAGGACTTCTTTCTCGCTGCAACATTATTCTGCCCCTTCGAGTCCTCAGAATCGTCTGACCCTGCATCGTAGTCTTCATCAACCTCCATCATTTCCGCGGCTGATCTGGGCGACATGTCTAGGACCGATTTGTCTGCTTCGACAGAGTTCGGTGGAGTGGCAGGGAACAAGGGCCTCCTAGGGGGTGGCAACAGGTCAAGAGGGGTGTGAGATCGTGGGATATTGGCTGCCGTCCGGCCTTTGCGAGTTGCTCTACAAGGTGAAGATGACCTAGTAGTGCTGGACGGTGACCAAGGGTTGTCAAAAGAGATCTTGGGAGGAGAGCGAGGGGTGTTGACCGCAGACCAAGGGTTGGTAAAGGCAATCTGGGGCGAGGGAGAAGACAATTCGTATTTGTCCTCACGACTTGTGTCCGTCGAGTATTCACTCTGGGAGTCCGTCTCTTTGTAGGGTTTGGGCAGGATCATTCTGAGTTGAGGCCGGACCTTGGGCGTCTGCGGTGTCTGCGACGTCTGAGGGCTGGATATGCCGGACGATGGCCCCGACGCAGCCAAGTTCTCAAGTTCACGATAGTGCCGAGCCTGCAGAGCACAACGTTTGGTGATCTCTGGGTCAATCTGCATAGAGCCGAAATTCTCAGAGTCGGGAGGGAGACAGAGCTCTGGGAAGGCTTTTCCAAACACCGGGGTCAGGGCGTAGCGAATGTGCCAGCAGAACGTGGCAGCCATTGCCTTGGCCGCGTCGTAGGGAATCCAGTAACCTGGACCTTGAGTCAGTTCCTGTCTGGACGAGGATTACCACCGCCTATGCATACCTTGTGCAACAAGAGCTCCTCCGGTGATGCTGTGGCACAGTTCTTTCAAGCCGGGATTCCTGCTCAGCATCTTTGCGGGAGTAGTCTGCAGGCACACAGTCAGCTCCGATGGACATCACTTGTGCAGTGGCATAAGCACCTTTGAATAGTTCCCACACTTGAATAGAGGCGTGGTCCGGACCAGACCGATGTTGTAGTCCCACAGCATGGTGTATGTGTTTGATTCGCCCGGTATTTTGAATTGGTATTGGAAGACTAGGCTTGGTTAGCTGGACAGCATGGGTCAACTGCTTGGGGAAAATACCTTCGAAGCTCTCCCTGCCTGTCTTCTCCCAAAACAACTTCTTCTCACTGTTGTACGGGATATGTCTTGGGTAGGTTGCTATGTCGCCAATCGGGTAGACTTCATACATCTGATGTTTGGCCTCTAGCAACTCATCTTGATACTCGTCAGGTGGATATCGACATTCTCCTTGGATGACCCCCGGCTTGAAGACCGCAGCATCTTTGCACATCTTCTGCTTCTTTCGAATGCGCTTGTCTGGTTCATGTCCAACTGTGTCAGACGCCGCCGAAGCCTGGCTGCCGTGGGCGGAGAGCTCGTCCCTGCTGTCGTTGTTGCTTTCATAGTTCTCCCCGTCCTCGACGGGGTTGAGGAGAGATTGGATTGCAGTCATGCCGAAGGACTATCACTTTGGGTGGAAAAGAGTGAGGTATGGCAACACTTGACGCTCGCAAGGGCGGTTTGATATATCTGCAGGCACAAAGATCTGCTTGATGGCACGACAAATGGCAAATAATAACCCGGAAACCACGCCACAACAAAGCTTAGAATCTTGCAATCTGCACGTTCTCCATGGAATGATTGTACCCACTTCCACTTTGGCCATGAGATACAAAGAAAAATATCGGATGATGAGCGTGTCTTTGCACTCATGCAATAGCTGAGGCAGGCGGCCAGTCTAGGCCGGGAGGTAGACGAGGCGGTCTCTTCATGATCGTCCTTCCTGCACGAATCAAAGTATCCACGGTACTCAATCTGGCTGGCACGCTAGATGAGCGGTGTAGGAGTTCGTTCTTGAGGGATCGGAATGGCGCAGCGGCGAGGCTCAAGTTCCCAGAAAGACTGGAACCTGAAAGCTTAGTCCATTGATTTCCTGTCTCTCCACACACCTGGGCCAGACGTACGTCGAGCTATCCTGGCGTCAAGGGAGAGTGTTAAACGTGTAGACAGACAGCTGGAGACGTTAAGACAACGATAGATCTCAAACAAGGCAGACACTCTTTTCGTGAAGACTGAGGCCGGGTTCGCAGGATTTGCGCACTATCCTGCAGACGGCCTCGAGCCACGTTGATCGACAGGGAATCAGGATCTATCGCAAACACAACCGCAAATTGTCAGCCAAATCAGAAACTGCAATTGAAGGGAGAACAACACGCACCCAAGAGTTGCTGGTCTAGCCATCCAGACGTTGACCCTCCGCCGGTACCTTGCATTGGCAGGTGGCACAATCAGCCCACTGTTTGGTCAGCCTTGCGATAGTCACAGAACAAACAAAGAAATCCCTGCGTCAAGCCATGCACAGAAGATACACAAAAGTGTAAGATCCCTTGACTTGATCCTCCAAGCATGTTTTGGCAGGCATGAAGTGCGGCCAGGAGATCAGGCAGAGCACACAGGATTTCAAACACATTCCAAGCTGAAACACGTCGAGAGCCATGATCTTTTGCATTCCGCCCAGACACACATTCAGGAACAATCACAGAAGGATAACTGTCCGGGTCAGCAAAAGAGCTGGATTGGAATATGCGATACCCAAGGAAACTATGTCACCACCGCCACAGAACATCGTTTGCCAACCGTTGCCCGACGCCATTCCGACCAAAACAGAAACTCCGGAACCAAATTCACGTTCACATCTCGTGTCTCATCCCGCCCGACACCTGATCCACCCGTGCAAGTATTGGACCAGTTCAACCACCGCCTTCGTCGCATAATCACTCGTCCGAAAATACCGCGGAGGAGCCATCGTCTTGGAAACCCCCATCTTTGTCCTCATCATCATCGTCGTCATCGTCTTCAAAAGTGTAGGTCGTCGGCTTCTTCGCAGTCACTGCTCGTCTTGCCGGTCTTGCTGCTGGTTTCCTTGCAACAGGCCCGTCTAGCTCAGAGCCTGAAGGTGACTTTAGGATATCATCTGCCAGAGCATCCATGTCATCATCTGAATCCACAATCTTCTTTTTTGCAAGTCTTTTCGCGTATGCCTTCGCAGCGGGGGATTGTTCAACCTTCTTCGTCGCTAAAGCTTTCTTGGGGGCCGTTTTCTTTGGTTTTGCCTGCTCATCCTTCACTGCCTTTTTAGCAGGGCCCTTCTTATTTGCTTTTGGCGGTACAACATCGCTGTCACTGTCGTCGCTGACAATCTTCTTTACCTTCTTGGGTGCAGGCTTCTTCCTGACCTTCACCGGAGCATTGTCTTCGTCGGAATCTCGGAGAACGTTGGTGTCATCCTTATTTGTCACAATGATGGATCGTCTCGGAGACTGTTGCGGAGCAAGCATCTTGTAGTCGGTCTCGTCCTCGGATAGATCCATCGAGGCCTTTGCAGGCGGCTTCAGAGCCGGCTTATATCCATGGCTGCTGGTTGGTCGGGAAACAGAGTTGGAGAAAAGCGCACGCGATTCACCCCCGCTATCTGTGTTGAGATTGCTTGGTAGACCTTTCACCATGTCACCAAGATCAGCGAGCAGATCGTCTCCATTGTCGCTTTCGGAGTCACTCAATAGCGCATAGTTTGTTGGCTTTTTGGTTACCGCACGAGCATGTCGGGGTGCAGCCTTGAGAATGCGGTTCTCGCCGTCAGACTCATCTTTCACACCGTTGACAAGGCGATCATTGCTGGGCTTCGCAAGGTCCTCCTCTGGTTCCTCAATGGGGTCACTGGCACCATCAGTATACAGGCTTCGCTTCTCCAATGCATTCTTCAAAGCATTGGTCTTTGGGGCAGCATACGCTGTAATAGAGCGCTGTTTCGGAACCTGAACCGGTTTCGGAGCAGGCGCACTCTTCTTTGCTTTTGGAGCAGACTCCTGGAAATCAGAGTCATCGTCCCACGCATCACCAAGTCCCTTGCGCTTCTTGATGGTCGGCTTCGTCGTTGCTGCTGTAGCAAATTTCTTCGAGACGCGACGTCCCTTCCGGATATTGCGTTTGCGGTTGTGCTCGTCTTCCAGCTGAAACCTCCATTCGGCGATGAATTCATCAAGATCGTGTTTCCACAGATCTTCCTTGGATTTCTTCATCAAAGCATCGATCTCCTCCTCTTTGTCTCCGATCTGTCGCTGGAGTCGCTCAACTCGCTCCTGGGTTAAAGACCAAAGAGCCATGCCGAGAAGGTAGTCGTAGGCGCTGGCGTCAACAGACTCTTCCTCGTCCTCTTCGACAACTGGCTCGTTCTCACCTTCTTTGGCGGCGTCTTGAGTTTTGGGGAAAGCGTCAAATCCAAGCTTCTGGAGTTCTGCAATCAGAACAGCCTTTTTCTTCTTGGAGATATTAAGTTTTCCGTCAATGATCATCTGAATGAACCTGGCTTGGTTCGTCAGCCGTCTGAGATCTTTCTGCATCTCTTGCAAAAGCCATTCCTTGCGCTTAGCATACAACTGCAGACGATAGCTGTAGAATTCGTCCATGATCGCTTCGACGTTCGCATATTTGGTGATGCGGCCCTCTGGATCAAACGCAACAAGATTTGATGTTGCCACTGACTTTGTGAGCTTGAATTTCTCCACAAGACCTTCTTCTACAGCAGACTTCATGTGCTTCTCGTCCAGCTGGATGATAAAATGCACTGAGTCGTGAGTATTATAATCCTTGTAGTCCTTGATAAACGATGGGGCTTTCTCTGCTTTGATGATCTCTTCTAGTCGATCCTTGAAATCCTGCGTCCAGGTACGGATGGGCAACTCTGTTATCTCAACTTCAGTGTCGCCGCTTTGGTGGATGATGCCACTGAATTGGAATCGGTCAGGTCCGGTAGCCTTGACTTCACCTTTGAATCCGCGGAACCAGGGCTGCATAGGCTTCCAGTCTTCGCCGGCCATTCTGCGTTTGAGGTTGTCCACGATGTCTTCTGGATTGTAGTTGGGGATAGAAGAACTCCAGCCCGTGCCAATACCGTCAGCACCATTGACGAGGACCATTGGGACGATCGGTACGTATACCTCGGGCTCGATCTTCTTGTCATCATCATAGTTATAGGACAGAAGGGGTTCATCGGCTTGGTGAAACAGCTTCCTTGCGAAGGGCGATAGACGGGTGAAAATGTATCGAGCGCTTGCAGAATCGCTGCCGCCCTGGTTTCGGGTACCAAATTGGCCTGAGGGCTCCAACAAGTTGACATTGTTCGATCCGACAAAGCTTTGGGCCAGGCCGACAATCGTCTGCTGGAGAGATGTTTCACCATGGTGATACGCGGTCATACCACCGACCAAACCCGCCAGCTCAGCAACCTTCATATCCTTTTTCAGATTGCGCTTGAAGCATGCATACATGACTTTTCGCTGACCAGGCTTTAGACCATCAACTACTGAGGGGATAGATCGGATGTTGTCGGCCATGCTGAACAGAATTAGCTCTTTGTTGACGAAATCGGTGTAGGAAATGTTTTTGGTCGTGTGGTCCAAAAATGTCCCTGGTTTGAATTGCCGCAACCACTCCTTTCGCTCGTCGGCCTTCTTCTTGGAAAAGGCAAGTTCGATCAAAGAGGCTTCATCGTCCTTCATGACGTCGAATTCTTTGTGGTGCTTGTCGATATCATTGAAGTATTGCTGTGCATCTTCGGTCGTGCTTGTACCCAACCCCTTGTAGTATTTGTTCTCCCAACCACGTTCGTGCTTATGTGCTTCTTTCCAAGCCTCATACTCCGGCATGGTATAAAAGGAGCGAGACTGGGTAGGATTCTTAGGATCGCCCTTCCATACTTTGACAATGGGAGTAATGAACTCGACCAAGAATTTCGGGATTTTAAGGAGACTGGGAAACTGAACCTGCAGGAAGTTTATCAACAATCCCTTAATATGACTTCCATCATGATCTTGATCAGTCATGATCATCAAATGTCCATAGCGGAGGCCATTTGTGTCAGAATACACCTTCTTGTGCTGAAGCCCAAGGAAGTTCTTGATGTTCTGGATCTCAGCGTTTTTGGAGATTTGATCAATAGAAGCATCTCTGACGTTGAGGAGCTTACCCCGCAACGGAAACACGCCGAACAGGTCGGGACCGACGACGGAACGTCCTGCCATGGCAAGACCTTTCGCCGAGTCACCTTCGGTCAAAATCAAGGTACACTTATGCCCTTCTCTCGTGCCGGCCTTGTTTGCGTCCGTCAGTTTGGGGTTGTTCATTCGGCTCCGCCTGCTCCCATCAGATTTCTTTAGGATTTGATCGGCTTTCTGCTGGGCAAAGTGAAGAATGTTGTTGATAACTTCGGTTTTGGCAACCTTCTTCATGAATTCGTCTGACACCTGACACTTACTTCCAAACTGACTAGCTTTTGTAGTCAATTGTTCTTTGGTCTGTGAAGTGAAGGCTGGGTTGACAATCAGGGCATTGACGAAGATGAAGATATGATTGCGAATCTGGTTAGGCTTCAGTTGCGCACCGCCCTTGTTCTTTTTCTTGACGACTTCCATCAAGCGGTTGACGATCTGGTCGGCAATATAGTTGACATGTGTGCCTCCTGAGGTGGTGGCGATGGAGTTGACGAACGACACCTGTTGGAATGAGCCGTCAGACACGGCGAAGCCAATCTCCCACCGGGAGTCGGGAGATTCTGTGATGATTTCAGACGTGTCATTTGCAGCCTCCTCACCACGCTCCTTCTTGATTGCTTTGGTATACATTTCAATGTACTTTTTGAAATTTCTGACGGGAACGGCGGAACCATTGAGTTTGACTTTGACCCCTTTACAGGTGCCGGCAAGATCGTAGACCCGGCGCTTGAAGAGTGCTTCGAGATCATCATCCATAGCCGTCATGCCAAACTTTGCGAAGTCAGGGTAAAATGTGACTTTAGTGTAGTCTTCCCCTTTGGAATCGGTGATCCTAGCCTTGCCCATCTCGGACATATTCTTGGTCCAGGTCTGCTTGTATTTCTTCTTTTGTTTCGAGTCGGCAGTCTCAATAGTGAATTCGGTGCTGAAGATGTTGGCCAGCTTCGCACCGTAGCCATTCCTGCCACCTGTGATCTTCTGTTCGTTGTCGTCGTAATTCGAGCCGGTTAAGAGATGGCCGAAAATCATCTCTGGGATGTAGATCTTTTCTTTCGAGTGGATCTCGATAGGAATACCACGGCCATTGTTCCAGACGCTGACTTCGCCCTTTTCTCGGTCCACGGTAACACGGATCTCATCCATCTTCTTGTCATTTTGCTTATTATCTGCGGCATTGACCAAGATTTCATCGAAGATCTTGAATATACCGGGGACAAAAGATATTTCGCGGAATTCCATGCAATCTTGTTCCGTGTTGTAGACCCACATCTGCTTTTCTGTGCGCTCGACCGAGCCAATGTAGGTGTCGGGACGCTTGATGATATGTTCGAGCTGGGTAAGTTTCTGGTATTGCTCGGAGACGCGTTTCTTCTTCTTCTGGGGCTGTGGTGAATCGGTCGCGCCATCAAGGCCTATGGCTTCATTGACAACATCGCCGAGAGGTTTCTTATGACTCCCTTTGACAGGGTTCGGCTTCGCTTTCTTTGCCTGCGGAGGAGTGTCTTCAAGCAGCGACTCATCATCGAAGGGGTTGCCGGCTTCATCGTCTGAGGCTTCGTCTTCCGAGTCTTTCTTCGAGCGCTTCTTAGGAACGGTAGTCTTTGGCTTCGGGCCGGGTTTCGCTTTGGGAACCGTCGCCTTCTTCGTCGCAGCCTTAGATTCGGAGGCTTTCTTGACGGGCTTGGTCTTTGGTTTCTGAGTAGACTTGTCAGAAAATGCGCTCCCATTGCTGGGAGATGCGCTGGGACTTACAGCAACAGGCTCAAAATCTGAGCTGCCGTCATCGATGTCGAACATGGAGTCGTCCATCGCGGTGGTGTTCTCGGACACGAAGGCGAATCAGAAACGCCCAGTCGCTGGGTCAAGGAGGAAGAGATTGTCAATGCATGCGACACAGAGAGATATCACTTGCTTCCTTATCTGGACAGTCACAGACGATGAAGCAGAGCGTCTCCTGGTTCGCAGAGGGTTATTGTTGACCTTGTAAACATCAACTTTGAGGGCGAGTTTGGATGACCCACATCGCCAAGAGCTCGCGTCACGAACTAAACCTTTTTAGGAATTATCGAGCTTTCTTGGGGTGTTCACACAAAAGTACTTTATTCTACTTGCTCTTCACTGCCAGCTTGCTCATCTATTGTTTGGACGATACAAAGTCATCGCAGCAGGTTGGCGCAGGAGAACGGCCACGATATATCCTATCAATTGGTGCCATGGAAGCGGATAATGGTTCCCAACATGGACGATAGATATCTGTAATATCGACCAGCTGTGGAACGCCCCCTTAAACTAGTGCTCCATCCCGAGTTACTCGAAAGCCTGAACCGCGGGTCTGGGTGCTCCAATGGTGCCATGCCGCACACTTCCCATTGCCTTGCCAGATACTCGTATGTCTACGTATGACTATTATCGATTGATAGTGCTTGTATCGTCTGGGAGAGCAACTCATCGCGTGACATTCTCTCGTCGTTGCAGCACTTGCGACCTCAGAAGTGTCAGAATGCCCGGCCAACAACAACACTGACCTCCCCGCACCGCCATTGACGCGTTTCTCCTCCATCAAGGCTGCCTCCTCAAACTCACCTCTCATGCAGGGCCTCAATAATGAGTCTGTGCCGTGTGCAGAAAGTTCACACAGAGTCATTATACATCATCTGGAGGCCCTACCTTCTCATGATTTAGTACTCAGGACCTGCAGAGAGCCGAAATTGCACGAACGGTGGGTGATCAAGCATTGGGTGTGGGCAATTTGGCAGGCTAGTGCCGACTCCATAGTTTCAAAGCCCCTTGGCCCACCACTGCTCAAACATGTCTACCCACCTGGGCACTCATATGGACTGTGCTCGTCTTCCTCCTCCCTTCATCGTCCTCGACGACAGCCATTCCTTTCTTCCCTGTTCCGCACTTCCCTCGCACGGTCGCTGGCAGACCCGGCGAGCAGTCTCTCTTTGTGATATCTGCCGGTCGTTGGAGCTACCCAAGTCTCAACCACCCCAAGGGCTCACTCTTTTGCCCTCGCTGTCCGACCTAGAACCTTCCCCGCCTCGTTCACCGCCCCTGGCATATCGAGAGTGCCTTGCCTAGAGTCTTCAGAACCAACCAGGATGACCGAAGTCGAAGCCATGCACCCAGTCCCTTCCGAGGCGATCCCCGAGGGTGGGAGCGATATCGAACCCGAGAATGTGCCTCTCCCTCGCAGTTCCATGGTCTCAGTGCGACTGTCAGATATTCCATTTGATCCCGACCTCGACATCATTGGTGAGCGAGACATCTCGCAGGAGGCTTCGCAGCCTCGCAGTGGCCCGCCCTCGGCCCGGACCAGTCGATCCTCTTCCCATACTTCCGAGAGCTCAATTTCGTTAAATTCTGTCAACTGGGAGGGTCTGGAAAAGACAGAGGAACAGGTGCACAAGGACGAGGCCACAGATGAAGTGAGCCCATTATGTCTGTGGCTATGACTGCGGCTAACATGAGGCAGTCTACAACGTTGTTACTGGCGCGTTTGGAGAAAGAGAATGCAGCGTTGGCCACCAATCCCAAGGCTGGCATCACAACGACTTCGCGACCACGCAAAAACACCCGCCCTCCTTCCGTACAACAACTAAAAAGAATGGTCGATGGACCCCAACGCCAATCTTTGAGATATTCGCTATTACCTGCTCCTCCGATGACGGAATTGGAATTCTGGGCAGCATTGGTTCAAGATTACACTCAAACTGCCCAGCGACTGCCCACCCTAACATCGAACAAGATTCGAGGAGGTGTCCCGCCACCTCTGCGTGGTGTCGTCTGGCCCAGTATCGCTCAGGCTCACGACGGCTTTTTACATTCTGAATACCAGAGACTCTCCAATGAGCCTTCGCCGTATGACGGCTTGATCGGAAAGGACGTGGGCAGGAGCTTCCCGAACGTTGACATGTTTCGAGAGAAGGACGGCGATGGCCAAAGAATGCTCGGCAAAGTCTTGAAAGCCTTTTCACTTTATGACAGCAAAATCGGGTATTGCCAGGGCCTTGGATTCGTTGTCGGACCACTCCTGATGCACATGAGCGAACCCGAAGCATTTTGCATCCTTGTCAGGTCAGGACACCGCTCCGTTTCCAAAGAGAATACTGACTCAAATGTAGGCTTATGGAAAATTACGATCTTCGGTCATGTTATCTCCCAGACTTGTCGGGCTTACATCTTCGAATATACCAGTTCCAACAGCTCCTAATTCGACATTTACCGGCACTGGCGGCTCATCTTGAAGAGTTGAAGGTCGAACCATTATACGTGTCACAATGGTTTTTGTCTTTTTTTGCCGTCACCTGTCCACTTCCTATGTTGCTCAGAATTTACGATGTAATATTGTCTGAGGGGGCGACAGAAACGCTGATGAGGGTTGCCTTGTCTCTGATGCAACGGAATCAGAAAAAGCTGCTCGCCTGTACCGAATTTGAGGACGCCATGCAGTTTCTGCTGTCGAGAAGTCTCTGGGACACTTATGCTCAACATGCGGACGATCTGGTGTCGGACTTTGTGTCATTGACTGGGTTGGTGTGCCGAGAGTCTCTGCTTTCGCTGGAAGCAAACTTCAGGCACTCGCAGAATTTAACAGAGGCGCCCTCGTTGAAGAGCGCTGTGTCTTCCTTCTTGGGCCGATTCTGGGCAGGCTCGTCACATGCGCCTTCCCGATCTCAGAACCTGAGTCTTATGATTCCAGGAAATAACAAGTCGGTGCGAAAATCGTCCTCCGGGCAAAGTTTGACCTCGACACTCAACTCGCTCGAGACAAGTAACACAGACACCAGTACTGTTGCCACGGAGATGTCGGATGAAACACCCCCAAAAGCGACTGTATCCGCTGCCACCAGCGTCCACTCAGCGGTTGTACCTACCCCTGACTCGAGCAATCGGAATCTCCATCATCAGATCGAAGATCTCCTCACAGAACTCTCCAAAGTCCAACGGCAACATGTCGAGCTTGCTCAAGAGCTTCAGCGGGAGCGAGAAGAACGTGAGGAGGACCGGCAGATTGCACGAAAAGTGCTGGAGCAATTACGACGGCAAACCACCGATATCAGAGAGCTGGCAGAACCGGAGAGCTCAGAGGCCACGGAGGAGGACATGGAGCTTGACATGCTCATGGCTCAAGCTGAATGCCAACTGTGTCGAGACGGCTCGAAGCGGCTGTCCGTGTCGCAGTCCAAGCACCAGCTCCGCGATGCGGTTTCTGAATGGAAGGAGAGGCATGATGCCGAGGTGATAAAGTGTCGAGATCTCATGAGACAGCTTGACGAGCGAGAAGCGGAACAGAACACTCTCAAAGAGCAGCTGCGAGATGCTCGAGCTCGGGTTCAGGATGCACATCGTGACAAGCAGCGTTTGGAGAGGACAGTGAGCGAGTTGCGCTCTCGCAACAACTCGGTGCCAGATTCACCTGCCGACCTCTACACCCCCGTCAGCGAATTCCCTGACCTGAAGTTACCTGCTCCAAAATCCGGCCTGCGAGAGTTAAGATTGGGCAGACCGGAGGCGACCCGATCAAGCAGCGTCGGGCCGTATTCGAAGCGTTCAAGCAGCCTCAACACTCAAGCCGTCCTTGCCACGGAAAACCACGAGCCCATTTCCAACGATGCCCTGCTGCTGGAGCTAGTGAATGCCAAGACAGCTGAGGCGGTGGCACGACAGGAGCTGGAGGAGACCAGAGGGAAGCTAGACGCTTTGCGAAAGATCTTGGGTGGAGCGACATCCTCACCTACAGCACGAGCCAGCACGACCGAGTCACCCACGACACCTGCGGTGGCTCCAAGTCAGGGAACAAAGGATCCCCCCAAATCCACACATGCGCCCACTGCAAGCACTGGAGGATTCTTCAGTGGATGGGGAAAGCGAGGGACGTAACGACGAGCACGACGCTGCTCCATTCTTCTACATACTCATTTAATTGATGATCTAGACAGCCATTTTGAATCTTTATCGATGACCCTCTGGACACTTCTTTTTCCAATTTCTTGCAATCTTGGAGCGACAAGGCTCGGTCCTCGAGCGTCAGTCCTCATTTTGTTGCCTCGTATTGTGTCCGCTTCCCGCCGGGCTTCTCATATCCTGAAACGGTACGGTACAGATACGAGGTAGATTATCAGCAGACGATTCTCGTCGGAAACATGTCCAGGGAGGCGATCGGCAATGTCCCTACCCCACCGCTGCCCAGCAAACAGCAAACTTCGTGCTATAGCGACCAACCGGATTATGGCCGGACCAGGCGACTTCTTCGCCCACATCCGAAGCGCTGCGAAATCTCTGGCTGTGAGCTGCGCCATCCGGATCGATGCTGATTCATACATCTGGTGATTCTGCTCCTTGCTGTGGTTACGACGACGGAAATGTCCCGTCTTGCTGGCGTGGCTGACCAACGTTAAGCGCTTCTAGGTAAAGCCTTCAGCCCCTTTCCCGACAGCCTGGCGTAGCCCGGATGCGTCCAGCCTGCAAGGCGGATACAAACTCTCTTCTAGCCTGGCGCGGCCTTCAAGCTTGCGTTACAGAACGCGGAGGTGGGCATGGAGTCCCCAGACTCATCGCCGAAGCTATGGAGCCTTTCTTGATCCTCTACCAATAACCAACGCAATCCTCAAGCCGATCCACAGAGCCGAAGCACATGGAGAACGTCCTCTGTCTCTATGCAGGGTTTTCGCTCGGCCGTGTGGACCCAGCTTCTGGACGGTGGTCGATTTTGCAGCCCATGTACTCGTTCAGAATGTCTGCTGAATAGGTCTTCGACTCGCTACAGGAACAATTCCACGCCCATGGCAGCAGCCGAAGAACCTTTGTCTCTCGCTTACGACTTTTCCGATGCATGATTTACAATACGATGACGAGGCGTCGCAGACGAGGCGTTCGTCTGGGCTGGTCTTCGAGACACTCTTATGCTGTGGCACATATATGAACGAGACCCGCTGCCACAACGCCAATGTCTGGGTCCAGCTTTCCAGCCCTGAAGTCCTTCCCAAAGACCGACCTTAGGACCAAGGAGACCATTGTGGTTGTGTGCTGGCTCGACGCCTCTCTCTCAAGATGGAGATGAACTATGATGAAAATGTATTTTCCGCATTGTCCCTACTCTGTGGTCATGTACTGACTTTCTTACCCCCTAGACGCTCCACCAGGTAAACAGGAAGCCATCTTGCCTGGGAATGCTCTTCTAACCATTGTGCAGCTGGAGGATGAGCTCCATACTCATATATACCCGGGGACTGAGATCATGAGTGACGTTGGGTCTCATCATTTTGTCAAGTCGTCGGACAGATCTCATCGCGTTCTGGTGCCTCAGCCATCAGCAGACAAACATGATCCTCTTGTCAGCAGCTACCAGGCCAACTCAGGTGGTCCTTGTTTCTAACAGTTGTGCAGAATTGGACTCGCTTCTGGAAATTCTCGAGCGTCTCCATGGTGATCGCCGCCACGTTCGCACAGGGATTTGGTCCTCTCGCTCTGGCGCCCATGTTCCCGAATCTGATCGAAGCGTTCAACACGGATCTTGCAGGTATGGATGGACTCACTCTTTTGTACTACTCCCTACTCACCCATGCTGCAGGAGCCGTACAGTTCACGGGTGTTTGTATTCTCGTCTTGGGCTTCAGCAATTTTCTCTGGTAAGTCGATGCCATCTGATCCTCGACGTCGGTTCTGTTGCTGATTCATACAGGGTGCCCATCCAAACATCCTTTGGTCGCCGACCTGTCCTCATTTTCTCGACCCTGATCTGCCTCGTCTCGAACATCTGGAGAGCCGTCGCCAAAGATTACCGCAGCTTCATGGGTGCTTGTGTTCTGAACGGGATCGGTGCTGGACCTTCAGAGGTATGCAAATAAATCAGTTACCAAGTTGTCATCTTGCCTGACACAGAGACAGACTGCTGCCCCCACTGTCATTGCTGACGTGCTATTTCTGCACGAACGAGGCGCATACAACACTCTTTATTTCACCGTCTATTTCGGCAGCTTAATGGTAAGAGAAGGTCTCCTCTATCCCAAGACCCCTGCTTATGAGTCCTCAGATTGGTCCTATCATCTCGGGGTCGATGGCGGAATATAGCAACTGGAGAAACTTCTGGTGGCTCAACGTTGCTCTTAACACAGCTGCTCTTGTCGGTCTCTTTTTCCTGTTTCCGGAAACCAAATGGCATCGCCAGCACCCGAAGGAAATGGCCACGCAGGAGCAGGAGCAGAAGCAAGCCACCTTCGACGAGAAGATGACCTCCGAAGCCATTGAGGATCCCGAGAAGAATGTCGTGACCGTGGAGCCCACCGCGGTCGACTTGACGGTCGCTGCCACGGCTGAGCGCGATCCGTTCTTGCACTCCGGGACACCATCCAAGCAACAGTTCAAGCTGTGGCAAAATAACGCGCATCCATTCCAGGCCATCCTGATGGACCTTTGGATTCCGTGGAAACTTCACCTCTACCCGATCATTGAGTTCTCAGCGTTTGTCGTGTCGTGGTCGGCGTCGTCATTCTTGACCATCAACCTGACACAGTCACAAAACTTTGCAGCACCGCCTTACAACTTCCCACCGCAGAGCGTCGGATACACCAACTTCGCCGTCCTCGCCGGGGCATTGATCGGCCTGTTGACCAACGGCCCACTTAGCGACTGGATCGCGGCCCGGGCGACGAGGAGGAACAAAGGCATTCGAGAGCCCGAGATGAGATTGCCGGCCATGATCCCGTATGTGATTGTCATGCTCATCAACAACTTTGTCGTGGCGTTCGGGTATGAGTACAAGTGGGATTGGCGAGTAAGTGTTGTCCTCCAGTCTCGACCTTGCCGCCAGGATGGCTAATGCTCTTCAGATCATCGTGATAATTGGCTATACGTGTGCCGGCATCCAAGTCGCTGCCATCCCGGCCATCGCCTCGACCTACAGCGTCGACTCGTACAAGCCGGTCGCAGGCTCCATCTTCGTCGCCATCACCGTGAACAAAAACGTCTGGGGGTACGGCTTCAGCAAGTTCATTACTCCGTGGATCATCGCCGATGGGTACCTCCCGCCCATCATGTTGAATATGAGCCTGATCTTCTTGTGGTGCTCGTTTGGGATCGTGTTCTACTTCTATGGGAAGACGTTCAGGAAGTGGACCAGCAACAGCTCGGTTCACAATATGTGAGCTGACAGAACTTGGAGCCTTGAAGGTGGTCACCACTGTACATATATAACAAGTCTGTCAATCCTATACTATCCATATGGAGAAGGGTTGAGTTGGACCGAGAGTTGCCGAGAGTTACACAATGTGTATAAAACTGGTGGTCGCCAGAGCTAGTTTCACGTCTCTCTTTCTTTGTGCGATTTTCTACTTTGGCAGCCCCTACTGTAGTCAGTATTCATCCCTCACACTTGGCTAGGGACTTCGACGCGCACACACAAATAAAATAAAAAAATACCGGGATCAAAAAGAAAATAAATACTCCCCTTTCACTTTTCCCAATTGAACCCCCTTCTCCCTCGTTGCCCACACACACATATCCATACACACACACCTGTTGTATCAGGATGCAAAAAAACTCAGACTTGTGAGAAAACCCCCGGATGGGAGTTTTTTTGTTTCTCTTCACATTCGGTCGGTAGGATGTAATGGATGCGGATGCTCCCACCTGTAGCTTTCGATATGTCCTTCCCCCTTCAAATCCTTTTCTATACCAGAGCTCCTGCGCATTTTGGGAGAACCACTCATGAGGGTGCCCGAAGTCACATCTCGGCCGAATTAGGGAGATACAGAGGTAGAGCTCCTACGTTTTCGATGTTTCCTTGGGGTATTCATTTGTGGCTGCGAGTTAGGGAGATGGATGAGAGATGGATGGATGATTGGGGAGGGATCGAAAGGCTGTGGACGAGCCTTACTCCTTCTTGCACCACACTTTTCTGCCAGTTTGAATGTTGACAGGAAATTGTCCTTTACAATATACATTGGTATATTTGTTTTCCCCCCTTTGTTCTTGGTGGGGACGTGGTTGTGGTTGGGTGTGGCAGTAAGAAGACGATGTCCAGAGCGACTGCCGCCACTCCCCAACTGCCCAACTGGTTCCTGACATTGAACAGGGCGGTTGACTGGACGATGATGCTCACACTGAACAGTCCCCGTCTTCACTTGAAGGTGCGCAGGTGCGAGAACAGAATGTCACATCCAATTCTCCTCCATCATCGCGCCATCCATCATCGACTCATCCCAAACGTTCTTCTTCATATACTACGCCACAGCTATTCGCGCTTTGATCATGGAGTATCCAATACGAGAGGAGCCGTCGACAGACGACAACCATCTCCCTCCTTGCCCAAGTCCTCTCCTCCCTCCCCTGGAAGAAGCCATGCTCCGAGACAGCAACTCGTGGGTCCAGTCCTTTTCCAACCTCCGATATGGAATCGTCCCCACCAAAAAGCCCGAAGAGGTCATGGCTTACCAGGGGTTTGCCGAGCACAGCCTAGAAGTTGACCCAGAAATGACAAGACGCTATCAGCTCTGTCTGGAGGAACGGAAAGTGCAGTACGTCCGGCAGAAGTTGGAGGAGAAAAAGGCGGAAATCTTGAGGCGAAGACACGAGGCAGAGCAAGAAGCCGCCCGGCAACACTCAAGACAAAGAGCGATTCGGGCCCAACAGCAACTGGCTTTCTACAGCAAACAGTACCCCCGCTATGGGCAACTCTGGCGCCATGAAGGTTTCTCCGGTGACGAAAATGTCGCGTTCGCTACTGCAGGAGGAGCAGGCTTTGACGACTCTGGCTCTGACCAGGCGTTGCACCTGGATGAGAGCATAATGAGCTCACCAACCTATCGCTTTGTGACTCCGAACAATGCTATCCAAGAGTCCGGTGGTGCTGCCCCAGCTTTTGCCACATCCCTCGAAAATACCACAAAGGAAATCGAAGAGTATCTGCATACGGTGCCTGGGACGGCCAGGACCCGAAGCAACAGAAAGTCGCATAATGCATCTCGGCCACCACCGCACATGACAGACTGGGCAGGGCAACAATACTCGGAACTACCACAAACGCCCTCTGCTGGCTTCACTCCTGCTGCATCAGTTTATGAAGCAGATCTCGACCTAGATATGAGCCCTGGTATGCTACTCACAAAGCAGAATGAACAACACCGCAGTGTTCAAGACGAACCGACTCCTCCCTACCACGCAGACGATGACGTGATGTTGCTTGACATCCGCGAACCAATAGCGCCACCGGTAAAGTCACCAACATTGTCCGATCTGATTGGAAGCGAGACCCCTTCTGAAGACAACGACGACGATGCTGATGGAGACTGGGATTTTAACCCGAGGAGTCCGTCTCCGGAGCCTCCAACTCACCGCGACGTGAAAGGATTTGGACAGAGGAATCGAAGAGCGAGTCGGAAGACAGGGCGTTAAACCGCAGCAGCAGATACGGCTCGGTTCGAGGATGCAGAGGTGGGCTGTTGACAAACTTCGAGAAAGCATGTTCTGAAGCACAAGGCTGAGGGGGGAAGGGTTACTGAGAGACTATGTGTGTACAACATGGATCATTGGCGGGGCCGGGTCGACGAGACGCACTGAGGCGAAATGCTTTGGGAAGGCATTCCAACAATTCGTCGGAAGCACTGTTGGATGAACAGAGCTGCGAGTATGAGCAAGACAGGAGCACATGGTGACGGAGCCACAAGAACAATCGTCAGAAACTTGTAGCTAAACGCAGTCTGCCACGAGTGATGACAGCAACCACAATGATAAGACTGTACCTCATATGGCCAAGTCTGTCGTTTGGCATGCACTTTACAGTAGACAGACCGACAGAACGATTGATGAGTTTGTCTTGAGAGAGAGCATTGGCAGAGTTGAGGTCGCGAGGTGTGCTTTTCTAGCCTCCTTGCTCATTTTCCTCCGACTCCCTGCGCTCAAGCTCCTATGTTTTCTGCCCTGGATTTTCTTCAGGTATGGCAACACAGGAACGGGGATCTCGTGGCTGAGGTACGGCGATGTGTGTACATAGGTAGAGAACGGGGCGTGTAGAAATATGAGCGAGGGAGGGAGGGAGACTGCGAGGGAAAGGAAGGGAAGACATGGTCTTGAAAAGCCCCAACGGCTCGATTCAGTAGATTGGTTGGATTGCAGTTTTCCCTTCTCCATTCAGCGCAACCAACGGAATCTTCAGTTCGGTGTCGAAGCCAAACCAAGGGCTTTTGGAGACAGCATTCACAACCACATCCATCAAGACGTTAATCCTCGTCCTCGTCGCTATCGGGGAAATCCAAGTCGAGTTTCCTCTTCGGCTGCGGCGGCTTCGGAGGCTTCGCGGCTTGTGCTTGACTTGTCGAAGGCTGGCCGGCACTCGCGGTGGCATCTTGACTGTTCTCTCCCTCGAAGGTCGAGACTCTCTTCAGCTCTGGACTTGCCCAGCCACCGCCAGCAGTGGTGTCTTCTGCCATTTCTACGTCCGTGCCTGTATCCTCCGCAATGTCCTCCGTCTCCCGGACCAGCCTCTCCACCTCTCTCTCCACAGCCCCCTGCACGGCCTTGGTCTCGTCTTCTCCTACACCCGCATCGCCCCCGGACTGGTGCCGCTGCCGCTCCAAGAATAGCTGAAGCTGCCCCAGCGCGCCGACGCGCAAGATACCGGCATCAGGGAAGGACATGCCCATCTGTGCGCGCTGCAGGGTAATTGTGTTGTCGATGCGCATCAGTTCGGCCGTGGTCTCGGCGGTATGGGTTTGATCTCGGGCCTCCTCTGCCCCATCGGCTACGGTTTCTCCCGTACCCGAGGGTTCGATGCCATTTAATCCTGCCGGTGGTGATGTTTGCTCCTTACTCTTCGCGGCGATCTTCCTCCGCAGAGATTCAGCTTCTGCCTCCTTCGCCGCCATGGTGTTGTGTTTGCCTATCCGCGCCGCAAAGGTGAGGAGGGTGTGATAGTCGACTCTGGCAACTTGTGACTCGGCATCTTCTCCCTCTTGGTCCACATCGGAATCGAGAATCGACGGGTTGATGTGGCCGATGTCTTGTCTGAACGAAACGCATTTCCGAATCGTGTCCTTCAATTGCTCTTGTAATGTCGCGACCTCGGCACGGAGGTTCAGTATGCGGGCGTAGTTCTGCTGATGGCGTTGCAGCAACGAAAGGGCTGAGGCAAGTTCGTCGTCATCCGCGATGAGGTCTTTGGCGAGTTGCGGGGCATTGGCGAAGGTGTTGGTCTGGGTGAAGGACGTGATGAGGGCGTTGAAGTGTGTCTCGATGGAGTTCAAGGGCTGGAGGACGAGAGCATCCATGATGGGCACGCGGGAGGACTCGGTTGTGTCGTTCGGTTCGGTCGTGATATGCAATGACTGGGTATAGATTGGGGACGTCCAGACGCGTGGTGATGGCTGCAACGCAGTGTCTCTCAGTAGTTGGAGACCGCGGCTCGCGACGACTCCTCAGCACTGAGTAGCTTTACTGGCCTTGGCAGATGCGTGACTTTCCGTCAACGTCCCGTCTCCATGGACTTGGGATCCTCACACGCAGCTGGTTGCGCCTCTGGCTCAATCAAATTCTCACACGACTTCTTGCGGTGCTACACATGTTCTCCATCGCATGCACATGCCACACCCTCCCAGAGTCCCGGGCTCGATCGATCCCAACAGCGGCCCCGCATCTTCCAGCTTCTCGAGGGCGCCATTCCTCGAACTGCCGGCGGCAGCGCGCAACCTGCATGCAGTGCAGTAGTCTTTGCATACGCAGCTGTCGAATCACCTCCCACAAGTCATATCAATTGAGGGTTGAAGACACTTCTCATTCGCAGCTTGCGGGCTTCCATTGGCAAAAACACTCCCATGCTGTTGGCCCACATGGGACAATCTTCGCCGTCATCCCTGCTTGACTGCTAACGCGATTCAGTGATAACGTTCTCACACGAAGCGCCAGCGACGTGCCACGTATTTCAACTATCGAACCCTTTGGTCCGATCACCAAACCCTACAGGATATCTGAGCAGTAGTATCCAGAAACTATGCATCAACAGCCAACCGCATTCTACATCCCATCATGGGATCATCCTTGAAGGAGGTGCATGCATGGAGAGGTCTGTGGAGGGTGACGATAGGTGGGCAGGCTGGTCTCGCAGAATCCAACTCGGCTATGTCTGGATGACTTCAAGGTACATGCTTGCGTTCGTTCAGTGCCTATTCGTTCTTTCTCTCTTTGTGTAACCATCCCTCACCCAGTCTCTTCTGTTGTACACCATTGCTTCGTATACCAACAAAATGCTGTTGTCACCTTTCTTGTCAAAGGACAATGTTGTCTTCGGTTTTGAAATTCTCATTCCTAGCATCATTGTTTATGTCTTTGCCTGCGCCATCTACAATCGCTATTTTCACCCGCTGAAAGATATTCCTGGACCGTTTTGGGCTTCGATCACCAGTCTCTGGTACTTCAGAGCGGTGCGAAATGGTCGAGGTCAAGACTACCAACTCCCCATCCACAAGAAATATGGCCCCATGGTCCGGCTTGCCCCCAATCAGGTTCAGATCGCGGACGCTTCCGCCATCGAAACCATATACGGTCCCAAATATGAGTTTACCAAGGGCGACTTTTACAACAATTTCCTGACACACATTTCCAAGCGTAAGGATAGCTTCGCCGAACGGGACGAAGCAGCTCACACGTGGCGACGACGGACAGTGGCGCACCTGTACACTCAAGCCGCTGTTCTGGAATACGAGCCCTGCGTCGACAGGGTCATCGCTCTCTTCCGCAAGCAGATGGATCATTTCGCCGACACGGGAGAGGTCTTTGATGTGTCTGTTTGGATCCGCAAGTACACTTTTGACATTATCGGGGAGATATTCTACGGGCGTGAAGGTGGCTTTGGCTTCATCAGAGATAACAGTAAGTTATCAGTTCCGTTGAGAGGCAGCTTCATCGATGAACGGTGCCGATCATCAGAACATGATCACATCGGTACGGCGCTGACATATGCTTGCAGTCGATTACAACAATTGGTGCCATTTGATGGATGTCATGCCCAACCCTGCCGCGGCATTGAACAACCTGCCGTGGGGTTTCCGAAATCTATATTTTCTGTCCCAGATGATCTACCCGGCGACACGTGCTGGAGCCAAGGGGTTCTTTACCGTCATTGACCAATCCCACGCAGCCGTGAAGCAGCGGCTAGATGACATGGCGGCGGGGAGACCGTACAACAGGAACGACGTCCTCAGCAAACTCATCGACATCTCCAACGACCCGAAGAACGACTTCGGCATCCTCGACGTCACCACGGAGCTCTGGGCGATGATCTGGGCGGGCTCCGACACCACGTACATCGCTCTAACCTCGATCTTCTACTACCTGCACAAGAACCCGCCCACGCTAGCCAAACTGCGCGCCGAGATCGAAGAGGCCTTTACCAACGGCACCCTCAAGTACCCGATCCGCTACAACGACGCCATCAAGCTGCCTTACCTCCACGCGGTTGTCCGCGAGGCGATGCGCATGCACGGGTCGCTGGGCACGGGCCTGCCGCGGATCGTGCCGTACCCGGGCGTGGAGATCTGCGGGCGGTTTTTCCCTGGGGGCACGACGGTGCTAATGAACGCCAACGCCGTGCACTTTGACACGGCCGTCTTCGGCGCCGACGCCGAACAGTTCATCCCGGAGCGCTGGTTCCGCGACGGCGAGAAGGCGGCCGCCAACATGGAGCGGCACATGATGCACTTCGGCTACGGCAAGCGCATCTGCATCGGCAAGCACATCACCACCACCGAGATGTACAAGCTGCTGCCCGCCGTCCTCCGGGACTATGAGTTCGACCTCCACATGGACGGCAAGGAGTGGACCGTCTGGCAGGGCTGGTTCCACCAGCAGAAGGACGTCACGGTCACGGTCCGGAGGAGGCACACGGACCAGGTGTGAGGTGAGCGCTTGATCTGGCTACAGGCCCAGGTGGACATTGGTTGATAAGGGTGGGTGATCTGAATTCATGTTGAGAGACAAAAGCACCAAGTGAGTGTTCTACAGTGGAATGAGCTCGATCCTTCTTGCGCGGTGAACAACTCTTTGCTTCATCATCTGCTTTCTCCCCTCCGAGAGATCGACCACTCTGTGTCCTCTTGGGGTCCTACGTCTCTCACTCTCTTCCATCCGTCAAAGTTTCTGCCTATGCTTCAGGAAATCTCCAGACCCGATTTTCTCAGCCTTGCCTTCTCAGCCTTGCCGAACTAAAATGGCGGTGAGGACGCCGTCCCCAGACACCCCAGCCTGACTATCCCCGGCCCTGGCCCAAGTCCAACAACCGCGTCCTGCCCTGCGATCTCTCCGGGACAAGCGAGAGAAAGATCTCGCCATCGAATATTCTCGTCAAGTGGCCCCGTTGCCGACCGTCTTCCGCCTTTGCTGTGCTTTGATCCATTGTCCGCATTGGCGCTTATGCATTCCACTTAGAACAACCTGACCAATGGGGCGCCTCTACGTTTCAAGACGCCTTTTTGTGGCTGTGTGGAAACTCCCATGGAAGGACTGAGTACACACATCTGTGACTTTCGGTCCTTGCTCTGTGACTGAGGCTTGCGCTCCTCCTGCTATTTAGCCTCGCATTCCCTTCAGCCCACGTCTTCCCATGACAGTCTCTGCTCTCTTGTTTTACCTTGTCTTGAGAAATTCTTGTACCGTGCCTTCTCCAGCGACCTCTCGACCATTAGAATACCGCTGGATTTTCGGGTATTTCGTTCCGCTTGTGGTTTTTGAGGCTCGGAACATGACCCTTGGCGTTCTGCACAGAGCCTTGCGACCTTGTTCGCATTGTTCACAGCTGCAAGAGTATCAACCCACTCGGCTTCCGCCTCTCGATCTCGACGTGGTGGGAAATGTATTCATATCGACCGGGAGATGCATGGTGGGTTCCCCGCACCAAGCCTCCGCTATATGTGGAGTCTCGCGCCAGTCGTCCGGCAGTCACGGAGCCTCGCTCCATTCCAGTTGAGCCAGTGACTTCTCGGGGGATTCCAGTACGTCAACGATCAGACAACTACAGTCTAGTCTCTGGCGAGCCTTTAAGCCGTTGGGGAAAACGTCGGCAGGGGACATCCTCCAACAACAGTATATCACCATTAGCGACTGCGAATGGGCTCCCTCGAGTTCGTAATGACAAATCCGCGAATGAAGACGACGTGTTTCCGAAGGGCGACCTGGACAGAGAAACCCTGGCTCAAGCTCCTTCTCGCGATTCCAAACCGATCGTTTCTTCACAGATTCACATATCCAACGGCGGATCTGGTCGAAAAACAGCTATAGGTTCGAGTTCCACCCTTCTCGACCGAGACAATGGCCGCCGAGACGTTCAAGATGGGATGAGCTGCAACGTCGACGACGGCGATAAGCATCAAGGAGAAGCTGTACACCGCACCGACTGGGCTTTGGTTCGGTCCCTTCCCATCACGACCGGCCCGTCACAAACGAGAATGCCTCAGGTCACTGCATCATATTCGTTGGACTCCGAACCGACCCACCGCGACTTTGGTGGCACTGCCAATCCTCCACTTGAATACCAAGATCTTGATGTTCTCATTGGTTCTGGTGAAGTGGAAGGAGCCTTGCGGAACCATAATACCGTCGATGGTGACGAGGCATCCTTTGCCGCCGCTTCGTCAATGTCTCAAGAAATGGACATGAGTTCTTCTGGAGAGGAATCCTTCGCCTTCAATTCTCAGTCTCCGCCATCTTTTGACATGGGACTAGAGAAAGAAATTGAGAACATGGTTTCGGAGATCGCGCTAGATTTGGTGCAAGGGTTCTTGTCCGGCAGTGGAAGAATAAACGTATGCACCCCTCAAAGTTCTCAAGGATCGCCTGCAAGCTCAAACGTTGGCGATCGGCCTGCCACTGGATCTTGTTCATCAACCGGACAGGCGAGCAAAGCGGCAGGATCGTCCAATAAGGACAAACGCCATGAACATGACGGCAACGAGGAGCCGAAGGAACCACAGAGACCACGCATCCAAAGCCTCATCCAGGATGATTCTGACGAAGAAGGGCTTCTTGCCTGCCCTTATGCGAAATACGATGCCGACAGATATTCAGAAATGAACCCGAATCTGCATGAAAGAGCGTATCGTCGATGCCGAAGTGTATACTTGACAAACATTCCCCGGCTGAAGCAGCATCTTTATAGGATCCATAGGCGACCTGAATATTACTGTTCGTCCTGCTATACCGAATTCAAGTCGGAAAGCGACTGCGAGGGGCACGCTCGGGCGAGGCCAGCCTGCGCTGTGAATGACTGCCCCTTTCAGGAGAAGATGACCCACGAACAGTACAAAGCAGTCAAGCGCAGGAAGATGCGCAGAGACGCCGCGTCAGTATGGTTCGAAATCTTCGACATCCTTTTCCCGGGTGCGCAGCGTCCAGGCACTCCCTATGTGGATGACACACATTCCCAGGCCACAATGCAGAGTGTCCAGGATTACACCAGGTATCTCGAAAACCATCTGCCCCAAATGCTCTCTGAACGAATGGGTCGCCCTCTTTTTAATAACGATTCCTCGATGTTTCAATGGCTCCTAAATAAAGCTCTTGAGGAGACCTTGCCGAGGGCTCTGCGAGAGTTGCAAGATTCATGGCAAATGGTGGGATCTGTGGCGGGAATCAACGATGATTCAACTTGATTCAATAGAGCGTCCATCTATCAATCGAGCGCCGTTCATGACCTCTGGAAGTAGTTCACAAGCGTGTTTTTTTGTGGACTCTTTTCGATGGTTTTGACTTTCTTTGTTTTCGGCTCATCAGCATCATCATTGCTCTTTTCTGGTTTTTCGCCAACTTTTAGCAAGGTCATCAATTCTTCGAAGGCTTCAGCGGGCACAATTCCACCGCTGGCTTCTTTGTGGCCTCTGGCAAAACTCTCTCCGAGCCTATGTCTGAGGCCATCAGAGGACAAATCTGCAGCAGCTTTCAAGCTGTCAATAATATTGACAGGTGGATCCCTCGACCTTGCGCATCGGGCGATACGACAAGAGAAGTTGACCATCCCGGGGAGGTAGCCTGAATTCGCACAAAGGACTATTTCCAGAGCTTTTGAGTTCAAGTATCCAGCCCACCGGGTGGCAATAACCGGATGGACCTGGGCTGGGGTGTTGATCCGCAGGACAGCGATTCGTCCGTCAGGGCTGAATTTCGGAGGGGTATGCGTGTTCAACTCGACCTCTGCATTGACTTCTGCACGGGCACTCTGGAGTCGACCATTACTCAACAGGTCTTTGGGATCCTTTGATGCGAGAAGAGCAGTCCACGCCGTGATAACGTCATATTTAGCGGTCCGCCTGGGTGCGTTGACGAGTGAGGTTGCATCATTGATGGATTTCTTTGTGAATACTTTGAATGTCTCTTTCATGTCCGGGAACGGGGGAGACCACTTCAAGGTATTTCCAAGATCACCATGAGTGCCGATACAGGCAAGGTATGCACAGGAGGAGGCAATGTCCGGAGCAAGGGTCTTGCAGATCTCGTAAGTGAGGAGAGATGATGTTGATACCGGTGGATAATGGCAGGCGGAGACCACCTGAGCGCCTTCTGGAAAGTGGTTACTCAAATGGTGGTCGATGATCAAAGATTTCGCCGAATGTAGATCAACCACCGGGGGTGCCGCTATAGAACCCTGATCGAGGACGACAACATACGCCGGATCTTAATGAACTATGTTAGAGTATGCACTCTATCAATATGGGCCCGACGTTCAACTACCTTTGGCAGCCATGGCTTCACGCTCTGACTGAGTGTTCACCGTCGAACCCTTCTGAATTAGATGAACATCGATTAAGGATGGATCGAGGCCGAGGCTCGTGAGCGTCCGATAGAGAATGACGCCCGACGAGAGGCCGTCAGCGTCCTTGTCGGGTACAATGAGAGCTTTCTTGCCACTTGCTGCGCTGCTCCGGTTAGCATTGTCATTGACGAGTTCGAGGCGGTGTCACACCATTCCTTTATGAAGGCTCTTGCCTCGTCCATGGCAGCTTCTGGAGCTGGCCATATTGGGTTCCCAGAGGCATCACGCCGTGGCTCAACGTCGCAGTAATCAGGAAGTTTGGGACGAGTTTTGGCAGTGGCGGTTCGCTTCATGCCTCGCCAACCATCGAACCGTGACAGACAACGAAATTTACCAAGGACAGTGCTTGAGTGTAGTGGAAGGAGTGCAGAAGATTGGCTCGAGGCACCAATCAGCCTGAGACGCGGGATCTGGCGAGGGACTGCGGTCAAGAGCATCCAGTATCAGTCGAGAGTGGAAGGGATGGCAAGATTGAGATCACACGACCGCGACTCATGACGGACATGACGGATGAGTTTTGTCTGACAGTCAATTTGGGCCACGTGGGTGCAGCAAGGCCTGGGATTGATCTGTCTGACAGTAGCGCAGGCCGTGAATGAGTCAGCGGGCAAGGCAACCTCGTTCCTTTTATATCAGATACAACGTCCTCGACACTCTTCACTCCCTCTATCACTCGGCGCGCAGACAGTTCTATGATGTGATCGGCTGTGAGCGCCTGTGGCGTGTTGTTTTTGTATACTATCTGGATCCTGCTCAATGGCATCCGCCTCCTTTGTCCCCTTTGTTGCTTTTCTACTCTGTCTCTTCTGCCTAGGCTGCCACTCAATCCCTGCCCATCTCCGCGCCGAGCATCAGTCAATACGATCGTACGCGGCCATTGGGGACTCTTACGCTTCGGGAGCTGGAGCAGGCACTCCGGGATGGCCACCGTACGCAGACTTCCGCTGTGGCCGCTATTCTGACGCGTATCCTATCCAAGTGGCCAACAACTCCCTGATCGCCATCGAAAAATCAAAATTCAAGCATCTTGCATGCGGTGGCTTGACCAGCACGGTCATCTTGCGAGACCAAGTCCCTTATATCGGCGAGTCGGACCTTGTTACCCTGACAGCCAGTGGAAATGATGTCAACTTCTTCGTCGTTTTGAATGAGTGTGTCTATCATTGGCAGCCATCGATAGGCTGTGAAGCCCAGCTTGTCAAGGCTAGAGAGATCATCGAGACGACTGCACTGCTAAATCTGGAGAATATCATCTCCGGAGCCGTTCAGCACCTGAAACCCGGCGCGCTTCTGATTGTTACGGGCTATGCCAGGTTTTTCAACGAGGACACAGACTATTGTGACACTGCGACTTTCAGCCAAACCAGACCTCTGGACTACCTGACGAAAACCAAGAGAAGGGAACTCAACCAATTGGTGATGATGTTGAACGATGTGATCAAAGCGACGACCGAACTCCATGGCGCCGTTTACCTGGACATAGACGGTGCTTTTGATGGCCATCGATTTTGTGAATTCGGGGTCGAAGAACCCGAGATTGACAGGAGCGACACTTGGTTCTTCAACATGCCGCCGCCCAAGACCGCACAGTCCCTCGCCGGCTTGCCCTCTCAAGTGCCTTTGGGTGATGCGGATGGTATGCCTGACCCTCAAGTCGTTCCTGAATGGCCACAAATCAAAAAGTGGAGGGTCTTCCATCCTACCGGACCGGGGCATCACGGTATATCGGAGGTGGTTGTGAGGGAGATCCTGCGCCTCTCAAGCCCTGATGGCCGTGAGTAGGTAGTCAGATTGTCAAGAGAATGGGGAAGAGTCGGGGGATAGTGCAACTGTAATGTTCTGAGTTAGCGAGCGTTTTGTAAGGATATGGGAATGTCTGTACTGAGAGCCATTTGTCGACCTTCTGTACTCATTGAATAAACTGTTTTCTGGACTTCCCCTCTGTGTTCCGTTGATGTTGGTGTGATCGATCTGTGGTAGCTGATCTCGCTCTGTTGGATGCGTGGCTTGGCGGCTCGACGGGTCTGGCTGGCGGCCGGAATCCGGGATGACGTTGTGGGCAACAAACTTGGGGAACGCGTCTTTACGAGTACACGCGACGGCACTAATAATGACTTCGACACCACAACTTGCAAACCTCGAACATGCGACACGGACTCAGATCAACGACCACAAGTTGGGCATTGCTTTACACGATCTAGTCCCTAAACCGGTCTCCTCCATCATGTCCTTCTAATTCCTCACCGTAATGCCCTGCGATACCACAGCCAAACAACCGCCAGTCTCGTTCGCAATTCCAATCCTGCCATGTACCTCCCGCGTTCATTGATCTCGCACCTCTATACAAATCTCATCCGCACCCATCACCCACTCTCTCCTCCCGTCCTACTTCTGGTTGCTCTCGAACCTGACTCGCTATGCGCGTGTCGCATCCTCACCGCGCTTCTCAAGCGCGACTACATCCCCCACAAAATCCAGCCGGTCTCGGGCTACGCAGACCTGTCCAAGGCTGGCGAAGAACTGGTGCGGCCCATGAAAACCACAGAAGGCGGTAGTGGTGGACTTGTCATTTGCCTCGGTGTTGGGGGACTAGTTGACTTAGGAACTATCCTAGGATTAGAGGACGAAGAGTCGAACGAGACAATGTGCGGAGTTGAGGTGTGGGTGCTGGACGCGAGAAGACCATATAACCTCGATAATGTCTTCGGCGGCCAACCGATCGAAGCACCTATAGATGATATCGTCAACGAGACGAGGACGCGCGCTCGGGGGGTGGAGAAAGGATGCATTCAGAAATCATACAAGTCTGGCAAAGGGGGTATAATAGTCTTTGATGACGGGGATATTTCAGGCGACTTAGAGACCGAGAGGAACGCCTACTGCGCGCTGGCAGAAATGCCTCAAGTCGATGGGGACGAAAGCGATGGTGACGATGAAGGCGAAGACGAAGACGAAGCTCAAGACAGCGCATCATCCAGAAAACGGAAGTCGTGGTCCGATCGCGATAATGAAGACGAAGACAGCGAAGCAGATGAAGAGAGACCACGTCAACGGCGAAGGAGCAACTCGGGATCATCTATCGCGTCCGCCCGAAGCAAAAGCCCTTCGTCCTCCCAACCCGTGTCACCGGCGTCCAAAGCGCAGTCACCGAAACCACAAACAGCAGTACAGCTACGCAGGCGTTTACGAAAACTACGGGAAGAACACGAATCGGTGCTCCGGCAATACAACGGTCTAGGCACGTCTTACTCTGAGCCGGTGTCGACACTGGCTTATTCTCTGGCATCAGATCTGGGACGCGAAGACAATGACATATTGTGGCTTGCCATCATTGGCGTCACCTCGCTCGAGCTGTCTGGCCACACATCTACCGGTCTTGGGACGTCTGTTTCAAGAACAATGACTCTTCCGCATGAGCAACATAGAGGATGGCGGACGACACGTTCTTCTCAAACCTATGCTCTTCTCCGCGACGAGGTCAGACGTCTGAATCCCCCGCCCGCCGACCAATCGCCAGCAATATCTCCCAGTGCAGGCAGCACAAGTTCACCCAGCGACACCTCCATCCGGCTGACACCGGATCCCCGATTTCTGCTCCTGAGGCATTGGTCTCTGTACGACAGCATGCTGCATTCCCCTTATCTTGCGTCTCGGTTACATGTCTGGAACGAATCCGGCATCAAGAGACTCCACAAGCTTCTTGCGAAGATGGGGATGTCGTTGACTCAATGCAGACAGACATATACGCACATGGACATGGACCTGAAGAAAACCCTCCGGGACCGTCTTCTGAAATATGCAGGCGTGTATGGCCTGGACGGACTTGTCCCGTCCGGCTCAGGGCGAGCAGCCTACGAACAAGAAGGGTGGGGTTTCATCCGCTCCTGGGGCTGGAAAGCCCAACTCTCGGCCGTCGACGTGGGCGTCATTCTTGGAGCTATACTCGATGTCGGCACAAATAACATGCCACCTGCCTCGGCAATGTCGTCCTCGTCGACATCATATGCAGCTTCTTCACAACAAACAAGCACCTCCGATGACATCCCGGAGCGCTCAGAAACACTTCTGCCACGCTTCTTCGCCGCATATGACGCCCTGGCACCGAACCACCCGACCCATCTCCTCGCGGCCATTCCAGCAGCGCAGCATCTCCTGCGATCAATTCTGCGTACAGGCTCTTCCTTGCTTATGAAGCACCAGATTCGCCATTTACGTGCTTTTCGTATGGGTGTTGTCAAAGAAGGGCCCGATCTCGCCCTTTTTGCGAATAGTCCCGGGGCCTTGGTCAAGCTGGCGTTGTGGGTCGGTGAGGCGCTCGCAGTGAATGACAAGGACAAAAGCGGCACCGAACCACCAACACCATTGGTCCTTGCAGCTTTGGACGAGGCGAGAGGGACGTACGTTGTTGTGGGCACGGGTGGAGGAATTGGTGGTGGTGAAGATATGGAAAGCAGGAAAGAGAAGGAGGAACGAAGGAAGAAAAGAGAGGAAGAAAGGGAGAAGAAGAGAAAAATCCGAGAGGAGAAACGGGCTGCCCAGAAGGCCCAGCGAGAATTACTGGGAGATGATTCTGATGCTGAGGAAGAAGAGACCGAGTCCGAATCGGAACCCGATTCGGAGTCGGACGACGACCAAGAAGACGAAGCCGAACAAGAAAGGAAACGCAAGAGAGGCTACGGGCACAATCGGTTTGGGATCGCCTTTCAAGAGGTTGTCGAGGAGACGAATGCGCGGGTCAAGATTGATTCGTTTGATCATTGCATTGTAGAGGTGAAGAAGGAGGATCTCGCCGGCTTTCTGGAGGGTTTGAGTCTCAAGGCGGTTGTCGGCCGGTGATTCGATCTCTTTGAGGGCCAGAGTCGACTGGAGATGTGGTGGGAGATGGATATACGGCTGAAAGCGGTGGTGGCTGCCGTTGGCAGAGTATAGGAAGGCATGACAGTGTGCACTTTATTGTTGGGCTTCGTTCTTTGAGGATGTATGTGAAGTTTTATGGCTCATGTTACGACCCTAGAGCCAGGATGAAAGCTGATGATTTGGAGCCAGAGTGCTGGCAGGGGCTGTGAGACGGAAAACGTGAAGCCCAGAGAGGCTGCCTGCTGGATGCTCGACGCATGTTTATTGGATTTTTCTCGCTGCATGGCGATGGGGATCGGAACAAGCAAAGGTACATATCATACTCGGCGTGTGACGGATACAATCTGTTTTGTGTTGCGAAAGAACCATCATGACTTACTTCCCTTGAAGGCTGTCTGTCTGGAGAACGGTGCTATTCTTCCCACTGACTACGTCCCTCACCATCTTCTCTGACTCGAGCTTGTACAGAGTGGCTCAACAGGTCCGTCACCGTGCCGACTCTCCACCCGTGTCTCCTCAGCGCCGGCAAGACGATTCTCAGCATTGGCGCCGTCCACGGCCTATCGTGGATGACGATCGTCGCGCCGGGGGTCACACTGCTTAGGATATGCCACGCATTCAGCCTCGGCCATGAGATCTGCGCGTCCCAGGGATAAATGCTCCCCAGGACGAGCCTGTAGTTGAGACGTGGTTGGGCCAGGAGGGCGAGCATCGACGCGGTGAAGAAGCCGCTCCCGGGCCGGAAATACCTGGGCTGCCTCTTCTTCACGGCAGATGGCCTCGGATCTACCGAGTCGTAGATGTCTCGGATCTGTCTTTCCACCGTCTGGATCTGCCGCGCGAGTTCTTCCGGCGGAATGCGCAGGGCCGGTTCGTCGTACATGGCGTGGTTCGCCAGCTCGTGGCCGTCCAGGACCAATTCTCTCAGCGTCTGCTCGTGGCCGGGGATGTGTGACCCGATGACGAAGAACGTGGCCGTGACGCCGTGCGCCCTGAGCAGACGCCGGATCTCTGCCGTGTGTCGGGACGGTCCATCGTCGATGGTCAGAGCCACAGTCTTGTCACCCGTTGGGACGTGGAACAGGACGTTGGGGTGGCGGGCCTGGAGCCAGCGGATCAGCCACTTGGGGGGTTTGTAGAGGATGCAGATCAGCGACGAGATTGCGAGGCTGGAAAGGGTCAAGATGATGATGATGATGGTAGTGAGAAGGGTTGTCATGAAGGAAGCAGGATGGACCGCATTTGGGGGCGATTCGTAATGAGATAATTACTCGGGTTATTATGACTAGGATCAACCCACTGACAGTGGTGTAGACGGCAGATGGTGTTGGTGTTGGTGTTGGTGTTGGTTTTTGGTGGGTGACAAGGCTGAATGTTGCCCGAATCGGGCATCCAGGCTTCAAGGCTTCATTCAGCACGGACACGTCTCAAAGGGGAAACTTCTCCATGCAGCAACAAAACCTGGGCCTCGCTGGGTCTGCGCATCCATCACAGGGCTGCAGGGCGAACCTTATTGTGTCCTCTATCTTCATTGAGGACATCTTCCTAGTAGAAAAAGTATGCTCGTCTCATTTCACACTCTCTTGATTCCTAGCCCTCGGCATGGGCACGCAAAAGGGGCAAGCTTCTCGAAAGGAGCGGCGAGCTGCCACCCCCAGGATGATCAGCAGCGGCTGGCTTGCCATGGGCTGGTGAACAAGGTGCGGCGCTCAGCTACGAGGTACACCACAGCCAGAATCCATGGCCATTGACCATCCCATCATCCCATTTGTAATCTTTGTCAAACTATTGATTTTCCGATTCTTCCCCCAACAAAGCCAATGTCATCCAAACCCCGAAATTACCAGCTCTCGCCAAAGGATGCAAACCAAATTGGGACACAGACCGAGTGCCCAAAACAAGAAGCCAGAGTTGCTCGGCACAAATCCTTACACTTTTAAGATGGAAAAGCGAGATTTCCCGGGCTGGTCAGCCTAGCATAGCACCATCGACTGGGCTCACTACGACTAGGCCAGCTCTGCCGATCGTTCCTTTCCTTCTTCCGGCAACACGCCTTGAAGGCCGTCTCCAGGCTAAGTGTCTTCTGGCAGACGAACACGGTGCAATGGCAGCAGTCTATTCGGCACGACGACTGCCATCTATACGAGGCAAGGATCCAGATAATTCGTTCGAGTCTTGGACCGACTTCGTTCTGCTGCATGGCGTTGTTAGGCCTTCCAACGGGTGCTTGGGCGCCACCAAGCTGCATGGCGCCACGCCGGCGGGAAATCGTCCAGTCTGCGTGTCGACACCATCGATGGTCCCTTGCAGGAAGAGCACTAGCTCACAAGCTGAAACAATGCTAGGAAAGGGCATGGTCGACACTGGACAGGGGATCTCACGAACCCACGACATGCCCTCAACAATCCTGCCTCGCACGTCGCGGTCGAGCAACTCCTGCATGAATGCTTCCTCCCGGCAAGTCTCGTCTTATCCCAACCCTTGCATTCTGGCCCCATTTCTCCAGCATCGTCCACATCGGCATTCTCTCTCCGAAGGCGGATGCGGCTTAGGCCCCTCCTCTGCATCCCCACTATGCCCAAGTCTGTAAGCGAGAGCGTACCCATGCTCACGCTCTCTTGCCTCTCCCAGCCCTCGAACCATTCAGGTGTTTGTCCTGCGTCTCAAACCCTCTCCTGAAGACCGCGTCTCAAGAGTCTCACCAGCAACACGGCTCGTTATGGAGCTTCCCTCGTGGAGCCCGTGGATTCGTGTGCTCTTCAAAATAACAAAGGTCTCCATCGTCATTCGAGCCCACTTCATATATCCATCCCGCCGGCGTACAGTCATGCTTCTTGACCTCTGCCAATGCTCTGCACAGATACGAGTACACGATGAAGCTGTCCAGGATAGCATTTGCCACTCTCAGCTGTGTTTCCTGTGGTTTCGCCGCGGACCAAGATGTGCTCACCATCTTGAAGCAGCAGACCGGGATTTCCACATTTATTGGGCTCCTGGAGCAATTTGAAGATCTGGTCGATATTTTGAACCAAGGGACATTCAGTGGTTTGGAAACCGACCTCTCTCGTTGCTGACGATCCAGGCTAAGTTATCTGCAGTCCTCATTCCCAATGACCAGGCTCTCGCCACGTTCGGCGATCAGAATCCAGACTTGACCAACAACACAGATGCAGTTCGGGCGCTGCTCGAATATCATATCGCCAATGGCACTCACCCATCTGCTTCGTTCGGCCTACAGCCACTCTTTGTGCCCACCCTCCTGACCAACTCCAACTACACCAATGTCACAGGTGGCCAAGTGGTGGAAATCACGGCGGTGAACAATCAGCCCACCGTTGTGAGCGGAGTGAAGGCAGAATCTCACGTAGTCCAGGCTGTAGGGGTTTTCCATTTCCGGTCTTGATGGACGGCAGCGCTGACCGACTCAGGACATCTTCTATTTGGGAGGCCTCATGCACATTATCGACTCGGTGCTTACGATCCCCATCTCATTCCCAGCAACCGTTACAAAGACGGGCTTGACGGACCTGGTGGCACTGATGAGCATAGGAGGCTTCCTGAGTCCCAGTTCTCCCGCTGTCAATGTGAGTGCCCAGATTGCGCAAGGGATTGTGGGTTCTGTATAGTGCCAGCAGAGAGGCTAACAGGGACGTCTAGATCGTGAACTCACTCTCCGATCTCACCATCTTCGCGCCCAATTCGACAAAATTCTCAGCCGGGTTCACGGGATGGGATGGTCTATCGCAAACGGACCTCTACTCCATCTTGGAGTACAGCATCTCGGAGGGCCCGGTGATCTACTCGTCCGACTTCAAGAACAACACCAAGATTCCCACGCTGGACCGAATCTCGGCGACCATGACCGAGGTTGATGGCCAGTTCTATGTCGACACGTCTCTGATCAAGACGAGGGACTATCTCACCTCCAATGGCGTGTTGCAGATACTTGACAGGTGGGCGCTAGTTCCCCCTCGAAGAAATGGATGACTGATGTTCAATGTTCTAGTCCTCTCAACCCCAATACTACGGGACAACAGCCTCTCTCGACCGCTGCCCCGTCTTCCAGTACCGGGTCCAAGGGGCTCAGTACTGCTGCCGGTGCCGGTATCGGCATCGGCATCGGCGCCATCGTCCTAGGAGGGGCCTTGATTGTCGCCTTATACATTCGAACGAAACGCCGCCGACACCGGGTAGAACTGGCCGGTGGCAACCCGGGAGACCCTCCTCCACGATACGAACTGGACACCAAAGCATTGGATGCGACGAGTGCGAATAGCAGGAATGTACCCCGAACTCAAGTCTTCGAGATCCATGCTCCGTCCAAGCCGCCCTCTCCTCTCGAGATTGACGGCAACGAGAGGAGTCGCATCAGCGTCACCATCCAAGGCACGCCTCCGCGACACCTCGGGTTCCAGGCTCGCTACTAGCGAGTATCTCCCCAACATTGGCGAAATACCATCGTCCATGGCGGACCCCTAATGACAGTATGTTCAAGCCTGGCACCGTGTTAGTTGTTGGCTTGCGATCATGACCATTCTTTCACCTCACATGTTGTTTTCACCTGGCGCTTCGGGCATGGAGGAGAGAGGAGCCCAGTACCCTGCCTATGTACCTGTACGAACAAGATAGAGCGATGCGTGGGGCCATTCTCACCTGCTTGTTGACATTACCTCAGATACCCTGATTTCGGAATAAAAGTTGTCTTTACACTTTGGCCTTCCTGCATCGAAAGAACCTTCCTCATTATGCTGATTCGTGTGACGGGTTCAGTGGGTGGCTTCATTTCGCGTCAAGGGTGTGTGTAAGTGACTGCACTGTCTTCACTGCAAATGCATCACTCACGGACAGTCGCGCACCATTAAATCAACTACGTTGACCACCACCATCACAACTACCTTAACTACCACTATCACAACTGCCTCGACCCTCTGTCTCCAACCTAACGTCGCAAGACATCTACCCACAGAACCCTGACTACAACTCTTCCACTTGGAGTTCCCTCTATCGACCCCGTATCTCATGCCACAACATCTTCGCCTCCCTTGTACAAACCCCCTTCTGCTCAACTCCTGTTCATCGGTGCTAGATGGATGAAGCAAAGCAACCCGCGGCCATGGACCCCCAGCCAGCTGAGTCCCAGACTCACCGTCCCAAGCGACTCACGGATCTGCCAAATGAAATCCCGAGCCGCGTCTGCGGCTATCTCGTTCCCGATCACTCCGACTCCACGCCCTTTGGAGCCGATGAGATCCACGCAACAATGATTCCCGCGAGACAGGGAGTTGTAGCGGATATCCTGGATCTTATAGGAAACGAGACACATACGCCGAGGTACACACCGGGAGACTGGACGGGCGGAGGCGACAGGTTAGACTTTCAACCGTTGAAAGCGCCGTCGACTGTTACCAAGGAGCGAGCAAGCAATGGCCTTGCCAGTTTTGTAGCCACGTGCAGACACTTCAACGTTCATGTCCGAAAACTGTGCGCCGCGCGTGTCTTCACCCTGACAGTAAGCGACTACGGCATCACCTTTGAGAGTCTACGAGACCCATCGCCTATGCAGACACTCTTAGTCTACGAGAAGGGTCATTACACGGACGTCATGGTCGTGCCGGAAGGGCCCAAACTTGTCAAAATCCCAGAAATGCAGGTGCCGAGAAATATTGCATTTAGAGCGTTCACGGGAGCCTTTAAGGGGTTGAGGAATCTCCCGTCTACATGCGGCAGCGGACATGGCGGGCGATGCAAACTGGAAGACGAGATTATTCCTCCAACGAATCGGCCGATACTACGTCTTTCACGCCAGGTCCCAGCTCTGCTTGTCGAGGCTTGACATTGATGTGAACGTCGGGTTCCACAGCTTCGCTGCTGTGAACGGTGACTTGGGCTACCGTCCTCGTTCCGAAATACCAGAGGTTCGCTGTTCGCATTGTGCCTCTGAAGATGATCACAAGAGCGTAGGTGACTGCGCTGCACGGACTGTTGCTGATGGCATGGGCGACTTTGTCCGTGATATGTATCAGTTTCACACCAAATACAACAGAAGTCGGGAAACTTCCGGGACAAGCAGAGTGGGAGCGCAGGGTCTTCTGACAACACGGCTGTTGATTCACGGAACGGGTACACCCAATGTGTGTTGGGGCCAGAGGCGCAGAATCGGCACCATCGGACGTTGGAGGTGGATGCCATTCGGAAGTTTTGAGGACTTCTGTGAGCTTCTCAAAATCCACCTATTTGGCTCGAAATCCACTGCGAAGACTCGAATGATCGACCAAGAAGGATGCGTCTGCGAACTTGGACTTCCACTTGACGAGGAGCAAACATCTTGAAGCAAGAAGGATTGTGTGAAGGATGTTAAGCGCGCGGGCGAGGATAGAGATGGAAGCGACGACAAGCAGGAGGAACGCGGTGCGAAGCGGCAGAAGACTGTTTGAGCTTCGACCACCGGCAATAGTTGGTTCGTGTGAATTGGCTTTACATATCAGCCTACGCCTCGAGACTTGCGGAACGAGATTGATATTTGGATAAGAAGAGCAGCATTCAAATAAGATAGTACGAGGTAGTTCTGACAAGTTCCCTCTGGCATGTCGTTGCATGGGTAGCACTCTGGCACTTCAGGGGTAGCCACGGAAATAATATTTTCCGAACACCGACCTCCTGCTGCGCCTCCAAACACTCCTCGTTGCTTACCAACTCATTCCCAATGAGCGCTTCTGGATACGCCTGTGGTGCTCGCAATTCTAGGACTAGAAAACGAAGATGAAATCCCTGCATCCTCCTCTTCTGATGCTGTTCTGGTGAAAACCAACCCGCTCGCTTGCAAGGAGGGCTGAACTCCTCTGACTCCGCGCCCATCATGAGGCCAACACATTCGCTATGGGCGCTCTTCGCCCTCGTCGCGGTCGCCTGTGCCGCTCACACGTCCAACTGGGCCGTTCTGGTGTCTACCTCTCGCTTCTGGTTCAACTACCGCCACCTGGCCAACACGCTCTCTCTCTACCGCACCGTCAAGCGACTCGGCATTCCCGACTCCCAAATCCTCCTCCTGCTCCCCGACGACATGGCCTGCAACCCGCGCAACGCCTTCTCCGGGACCGTCTACTCCAACGCGGACCGGCGCATGGACCTGTACGGCGAGAACGTCGAGGTCGACTACCGCGGCTACGAGGTCACGGTGGAGAACTTCATCCGCCTGCTGACCGACCGCTGGGAGGAGGGCGTGCCTGCGAGCAAGAGACTGCAGACGGACGAGGGCAGCAACATCCTGATCTACATGACGGGCCACGGGGGCAGCGAGTTCCTGAAGTTCCAGGACAGCGAGGAGATCTCGAGCTGGGACCTGGCCGACGCGTTTTCGCAGATGCGGGAGAAGAAGCGGTATAACGAGATGTTGTTCATGATCGACACGTGCCAGGCGAACACCCTCTATCGGCAGTTCTACGCCCCGGGCATCATTGCGACGGGCTCTTCGGAAGAGGACGAGAGTTCATACTCCCACCACGCGGACAACGACGTTGGCGTGGCCGTCATCGACCGGTGGACGTACTATGTTTTGGAGTTTCTGGAGACCCAGGTCACGGGGCCGACGTCGGACAAGACGTTGGGGGATCTGTTCGACAGCTACGACGTGCAGAAGATCCACTCGAACCCCGGGGTGAGGTGGGATCTGTTCCCTGGCGGGGAGCAGGCCGGGCGGAGTCGCAGGGTCGTCGACTTTTTCGGGAATGTCCAGAGTGTTGAGATTCAGGGCAACAAATCAGGGGTCGAGAGCCTGAAGGACGATATTGAGGGTTTGAAACGACTGGTACAGGAATACGAGGCTTTCGCGGCCGCCCAGGAAAGCAACAAGACACAAATGTCTGATCTTCTGCAACAAAGGACAAGCGAGACCAATGGCACTGCCCAGAGAGGCTTGTCGAAGCAGCGGGACCCCGTCGGCAGAATGAAGGTGACAGAAAACACGCAGTGGGCTCGAAGAGTTGCTGGAGCGACCGTTCTGTCTGGACTTGCAGCACTGTGGTATTTTGCCCCCAAGCTTGTCTGAGAAGAAATCCACGTTCCATCTCCCTCGCAACGACCTGTCAACACTGCTACGAACAGATAACGGTGCTAGAATCACGACTGCTCGGCTTCGTACGGGATAGCCTTGTTCTTCTCCGCCCACAGCTTCTCCGCCTCGGAGAATGGCGGGGGAGGATCCAATCCCTGGATTCTCCAGAGATCACGGGGCGTCTCATAGATGTGCAGTTCCCATTCCAACTCGGCTCTGTCGATGATGTACGGTTTCAAGACCTACACCAGGGTGTCGTTAGACGGGTGTCCCAGGGAATATCGAGCCAAGATTCAGCATGACCCAAACAACTCTCAGCTGGACCATGAGCAACTGCAAGGTCTGCCCGCAGAAGATGAACGTAGGGGGAGCTGATACATACATCATTGATTCGATCCATCCACGCCTTTCTCCTCGCTTTCCCCTCCTCGGTCTCGGGCCCCATCATCACCCTGGCGATCTGCTCCACCACAATCCTCACGAAATTGTTCTTGGATTCGCCGCCGACGAAGATCCCCTTCTCGTCCACGTCGACGAATATGACGACGACATAGAAGGGCGGGAGGCCGCGCGAGACGTAGAGGTCGGTGATGGCCTTGGAGATGCCCTCTCTCTGGGCCGAGGTGAAGATCGACGGGTGGGAAAAGATGCGCCAGAGAGGCATGCTGATGGAATGCCTAATAGAGTGATGGGAGGGAAAGGTTGTGCTGTGTCTTGACTAAGCACGTGAGGGCTGTTGGTGTTCTTGCTCGTTGGATTAGAGAGGAACTTTCTGTAGGAAAGGGGGAGAGGAGGAGGGCTGGATATATATCTTCTCACCATGCCTCGGACCTGGGCTTTTGGATAATATACGCCCTGCGAAGCAGGACGACATGGCATGAGATCCACCACACGTCTCGGCAGTGCCCACCATGGACCACAGTTGTACCGAGTACGAGTAGTAGTACAGATGCTGCATGACCTGGTAGCTTGTAGGGAGGTAGTAGATCTGATATGACAGGGATGAGGCCAGTGGAGCGTCATCTTCGCCCTCGTTCTTACGTCTTTCCATCCCCATCTCCATCCATCTACCTATTGGAGATACCTACGTAGATACCTAGATAGATAGAAGCCAGGCTGGATCCCCGACCTTACTCCATCCCTCGATCTCTACCTCGATCTCTACCTCTACCTCTACCTCACCTCTCCCTGGTCCCTATTCCCTGTTCCCTATTCCCCATTACCTATTTTTTCCAACAAGACAAAGCAAAATAAAACCCACCGCTCACCGCTCACGGCCCCTCTCGCTCGATGGGATGGGGGGATCCTTCTCACGCGGCAAAAGGGCTTCCCGGGATGGCGGGTAGAGGATGGCGGATGGATTACTCAACAACGAGAAACTCACCCATCCTCCTTGCTGGGTTTTTACGATTCTGCGGCGCGAGGCTGGCGAATCAGATGGGGCTGCTGTGTCAGCCAGACGAGAAGAGAAGAGGGCCGTGGGACACTGGAAGGGAAGTTAGTGCACTCGCGAGGCGTCTTCGCAGGGCGTGTTGCTCGAGGCACCGACTGTACCTATCTACCTACCTAATAGTAACTAAGTATCGACGAGGTACACATTCTGTATCATGTATCACGAGCGGGGACCAGAGGGGATTGTAGAGTTATGGGACAGTAAGACCAGGGCAACAAAAGCACAGCACAGCACAGGAGAGGAGGGAAAAGGACGGTCATATCTCTTTAAGGGAGGGGTGCTTATGACGGTGATTAGGAGGAGAGATGTGCACCTCATACATACGTAGCTAGGTCTTGGGTATCTATTACTCAGTCACGAAGGTTGGAGATTTGTCGACAATAGTTCAGGTCAGTCCGATTGAATCACTTGTCTTCCCAAAACATACGGGACCTTCTGCAAAAAAGTGATACGTGGCACTGAGAATGTATCGGGGTCAGACTTCGAGAGTAGACGTTGTGTCTTGGTCCAGCGTAACAGTGAGCGAGGAGGCCCCGTGACCTGTAACTAGACACACACACACACACACACTCTCTCTCTCTCTCTCTCTCTCCCCCCCCCTCGAACTTTGAGAGGCGTGCTTGGATTATTATTGCCGCTGAATAGCCGCCGGGAGAAATTGATTACTTTTCCTCCCGCTCCTGGTGATGCTCTGCTGCTGCGTAAAGTAAAGGAAAGTAACGTAAAACATCGGTGGCGGGCTGAATAAACCCACGAGGGCAGTGTAGCCAGTGTGCAGAATGGAGTTCGCTTTCATCTTGGAGCTAGTTATGCAGGTAGAACAGGTACGAGCTCGTAGGTAGGTAGATTGGTGGGTATGGACAGTCTCTTCACCCGTATTGGACGAGGCGCGGCTTCAGCTCGAGTTCTGATTACTGAAATGCGCTTTCAGCTTCCCGTGTGACTCTTCGCCCGTCGTGCTAGTCGCGGGTATTGCCAGAGAGAGAGCTGCTGCGCGACGTGACTAGATGTGGGTGAAAGGGTGGTCCGTGGATAAGACAATCACGTCCAATTCCAACATCATGGACTGCCGTGATGGTCACTGCTTCGTATCGGCTTCGACCCTCTCTTTAGTTTCTGACGACCCATCATTCAGACCAGCGGTTCGACCGACACAGCGCCCGACTCACAGGTGTGGCAACGAGGCCAGAACGGGTGAGATGGGGACTGCGGCAGCGACACTTTCAACATTCCGATGTCGTATGTTCAAGAGTGCGCTTCGTTTCTGTAGCCCCCGCCTACGGCATGCCAGATTGCTTCCGCAGCGTCCTGTTCTCGATGAGTCCAATTTCGGAGGGATTGCGAGGAGAATCGTCTCGGCGCGCACAAAGAGGCTGCCACTTCATCCGTCTTGAGGAGCTGGGCTTAATCGTCTCGGTGTTTAGAGTCGACGAGCAATGTCCAATGGGCCAACATCAACCAGCATACAAACACCGACCCAGATCAGCAGACTGAATCATCACGAGGAGAATCACCCTCTCACCCCTTCCTTCTCGCCTTCTTCTCCGCCCTCTGCTGCATGATCCGCCTTCTCTTTTCAAAACTCTCACCGATTCCCACACCGCTGGAACCGTCTCCTCTGGGCCCGTCCTGCGTGTCTCTCCGCCTCTTTTCTCTTCGCTCAAGCACACTGGACCCCTCTCCCCGCGCTCTGCCCGCAACGCTCCTGTGGATGCGATCGCCCAATCCACCCAGACCCGTCCAATCTTCCCCACCGAATAGATCTCGCTTGTCCATTTCACCGCGTTGCCGCGCTTTCCTCCTCTCAGCTTTACTCTCTGCAGGCAACCGTACGAAATTCCTCTCTTCGTATTCGATTCTTTCTCGTTCCTTTTCACGCTCTTTGGAAGACATAGCTCCACGTCCATGCTTGACGATAGTATTGTTCGAGCCGATCGATGCTTGTGCCCGTGGTGCTGTGGAAAGTTCCTCGTCGATATATTCGTCCAAGAGTTGCGACTTGCGCTTCCTCGCGGGGACGTCGCGGTCGCGCTGTGAAGCTGGCTCCGGCATTGCAGTGGGTGTTATACGTGGAGGTTTGTACGCACCAGCGCCTGTTGATCGTGACTTGACGGATTGATCTTCCTTCTTGCGCGTGTCCATGTTCCTCAGGAGTGCAGCAGGTCTTGGTCCCACGGACATGTCGCCTTCAGTGTAGTTGGTTTCGACGGCATCATCCTCCGCGGATTCTTCTGAACCAGAGTCGAAGTCGTCCGAGACACTACCATTCTCGTTGGTGGTCGTCTTTGTAGGTCGTTTCTGTGACTCTTGACCCGCTGCCGCCTTTTGAGCTGTCCTCCGATCAGATTCTTCGGCCGCCCGCACAACTTTATCGATCTGGTATTTCAATTTGCTTTCCAGTGGACGTACGCCTCTTTCCAGATGAACCCGCAAGTCGACAAGTTGTTTTGTAACTTCGGAGGCCAGCTCCGTTGACGCGTCCCCTGCGTAGCCATTGCGCAGCTTGATAATGACCAGGAAGGCGAGGTTTTGGATGTAGGAGAGGAGAAGGTCATTCTTGATGTCGAGGAGGGAAATGCCGTCCGCGGGAGGTAGCAATTGCTGCTCCGTCTCTGGAAACGCGGATGCAGCAGACTGCAGGGCAGTCGTCAGAGTAGACAACATCGACCCTGTATTATCTTCCACCGTCATATCGAGACCTGTTGAATGTTTGTTCGTGTCGAAATTCGGAGCCTCGAAAAAAAGTTTTGCGGAGTATCCAAGTCACATGGCGATAAGATAAGCCACGCCGAGCTCCGCAGCCTCGCAGCCACTTTTCTTATTCTTCGTCTCAAGATGCCACAGATCTCAATCGACGAACTCCACAAGGCGATATCACATATTCAGGCGGAGGTAAAGATGAGTACTCATTGTAATGGTCACGCCACAGCATACTCGGTACACGGTCGTGTTTCTGCCTTGGAAACCTTGCCTTTTTCCACCTCTCAATCTTACTTACTGGTCTCATTCCGTGAGCTGTACTCGGTACGATACATCCGATCAGGCATCGTTTGTCCGACTATGAAGCTCTAAAAGATGGGAGAATGTGAGGATAGTGAGCCGGAGCCTGAATCTGGTTGAGACAGGCAAGGACGTCAAATATGAACGCCCTACGCAACCCTCCTCTGTTCTACCGCGCATAACCAAACGCTCCGGGAGTCGTGCCCTAAGGTTCGGACAGCTTGGTGTCCTGGTTTCCCTGCTCACAACATTGCTACGAGCTAGAGGTCACCACTGCGTAGCGATAGCTGCCGAGAACACTTTGTATCCATGGCAACTCAGTCATCTGCTCCGCTTATGAGGTGTTGTGGAAGTCGACAGACCAGTCAAATGTTGGAAATCTATCGAGTGTGCAAAGATCAGTGTTTCCAGCTTGAGCATCTAGGATAGCGGTCAACAGTCCAGTCGGGGAAGACATGTGTAGAGAAGCATGTTGAGATAAGAGATGCCCGAGAATCAATCCCCTGCCTGAGATGTCGCACAATTACAATGTTAAATGAGAAAGTGCTTCTGTCGATGCGTTTGGCTCCCCCGCCGCCGTGTAACATGCGACAGGGTGTCATTTGGCCATCTGCAATTTGCCTCGTCTTCTGCAAAATGATTCCGTTCGTGCGCTGCCCTTGTTGCAAATATTCCCGTTAAGATGGACATGTCTGCAAGCGAGATCGCCCACAACCCACCAGGGCAGAATAGGGGACACGGTCAACATCAGCTTGGTCAAGTTCGCTTCGCTTGACTAGATCATGACGTCGAATCTCTCCTTTTCCCACGGGCGAGCCAACATTCGAAAAGGAGCATCGAAAATATTTCTCCCTCACCTTGCACCTACAGCTGGGCCGAAGGACAAAAGAGGAGGGAACAACCTGCAGAAAAAGAAACAACGCGACATAGGGTGCTGACTGCCAATCCTGTACGGAGGCCCCCAGTGATCCTCCTTTAGCCCCCGACGCCTATGCCGCCGCCGCCGCAGCCCACGCGACCTTTGAGTTCGGGCGCGCCAGGGATTCACTGGTTCAAACTGCTGAAGCTTGGAGATCTGGAGGGCGCCGGGTGAGGCAGGTGAAGTGATGGGCGATCACAATGCCGTTGCGTATCCGTCCACCTCCGGCTTCAACTACAGTCTTCAAGGACTGCCCTACAGTGAAACCCGAGCATCCAAACCTCCCATCCCGGTCACGCGCTCAGTCACCTCGTTACATCGAATCGCAGACTTGGAACCAGACAAGCCGCAACATTCTCCGCTGACAGGGGACACCGCGTCCACCTCCTCCAATAAGAGATACAACCCGCACGCGTCGCCGCAAGATGGAGACGGCCCTCGTACCCAGATTGCAGGCTCAATCTCCGCAAGGGAAAGTCAGACAAGCACCACTCTGAGCCTCAATACAAGAACCCCTACGATATCCAGCTTGACCTCGGCGACCCTTAGCATTCCTCAGATCCGCGTGAACGAGACCGCCTTCCGAGAGTCGCTTGCGGACCGCAACAGCAATCTCAGCACATCAGAGAGTGGGAGATGGTTATCGCTGGGACCGTCGCGGTCGAGTTCAGCTGTATCATTCAAAGAGACAGGCAAAGACACACAGGATACGTCCCCGGGAATCAATGGTCTATCCTTGGATATCAACCTTCCTACAACCGGCTTCGGCGAAGAACTGCTTCCCGCCACCAGCATAGAATTCTCCAAGAGAGGGAGCATGCTCATTGATGGGAGGAGAGTCAATCAGTCCAACCGCAAAAGTTCGCCGAATCTCGCTCCGATCATGGACGAAGAGAGAAAGATGAATGGAGAGCCCGATATTCAAGAGGCGACTGCGAGCGACGAACAATCTACTCCCGCCGCAGTGGCGAGAGCTCCCAACGGCCGCCCATCAGGCAAGATCCTCTCTGCCGACGAAGAACTCTTGTCTGAAAAGGTGCGCGCATTCTACGCTGCAGGAACGGACGGTCAACATGACATAGAGTCCAACGTCAATCTGGCAGTGCGAATGGGAGCTCGGTGGCAGTCAACCTTGGTGACCGATACGCGCAGTATCAGCAATCCATCCCTTTCACGCGCCACCTCCACCACAGACATTCACGAGGACGCCAACAACTCGAGGCAACCGAGCATGGCAACATCAGCCTCTCAATCTTATCTAGTTCCCGAGCGCGAGGAGAACGAGCTTGCGGGTGGTTTAGAGGACTGGAAGGATATCGATAATGCAGATGTGGACCGCTATGGCTTTATCATCGCCAGGGCGCCGACCAGCACTGTTGACGGCGCCGACGAGTCCAAGGCACAGCGGCTTACGCGAGTAACAACGAGCTTGCAGCTGGCCAGCGAGACGCCCCGGAGGAAAAACACTTTACGCCGCGCACCCAGCAGTGCACACGGATCTCTGCGTTCGTTCCAGAGCAAACATGCCAGCCCCGAAAACACTCCACCCCGTCCCGTGAGTTCCCAAAGTGCTTATGCGCGCCCACAGCGCCGAAATGCCTCTACCAGAATCCCGATACCAGGCTCGAAAAACCGTCGTCTGATGGACTCGGCAATGGACATGCTTACGCTCCCGACATCCGCACAATCGGTGGTAGAAAATGGACACGTGCGCATCGACAATGCACGGGCGCGGCGGAAAGAGCTCGAGCGTGAGGCGAAATGGCGGCGCATGGCAAAGGCCAAAACTCCCTCGAAAGATCCCAAAACGGGTCTACCATTGGTGGGCGCTGGTTCGGAAAGCGAATATACTTTTGACACGACGAATCCCAAACTCGTTGAGCGAACCTGGAAGGGTATCCCTGACAAGTGGCGTGCCACAGCGTGGCACAGTTTTCTCAGTGCGTCGGCGTCGAAGCGGAAGAACTGCGTCAGTGATGCCGACCTGACCTCCCTGTTTCATTCTTACCAGGATGAGGCCAGCCCGGACGATGTGCAGATCGACTTGGACGTCCCGCGGACGATATCTGCACATATCATGTTTAGGAGAAGGTATAGGGGTGGCCAGCGGTTGTTGTTCCGCGTTCTGCATGCCATGTCGCTGCACGTTCCTTCAACCGGATATGTACAAGGCATGGCAGCCCTTGCGGTCACGTTGTTGGCATATTATGACGAAGAAAAAGCCTTCGTGATGCTTGTGCGGATGTGGGAATTGCGCGGCTTGGGAGAGTTATACAAATCCGGCTTTGGCGGGTTGATGGCTGCTTTGGACGATTTTGAAAAGGGATGGTTGGATCAAGGTGAAGTGGCGAGGAAATTGGAGTCGCTGAACATTGGGCCCACGGCGTACGGAACGCGGTGGTATCTCACTCTATTCAACTATGCCATCCCGTTTCCGGCGCAGTTGAGGGTCTGGGATGTGTTCATGTTGCTGGGTGACGACACTACGGCGACAGACTCATCCTTGGTCGCTCCGGGTACCTCGTCTTCGAAAGACAAGCCTCCGCCCGACGCCGATGCGGTCTCCTTTGGGACCTCGTTGGACGTCCTTCACGCCGCCTCTGCAGCACTGATTGACGGCATGCGCGACATCCTTCTGGAATCCGACTTTGAAAATGCCATGAAGGTTCTGACCAGCTGGATCCCCATCCAGGACGAGGATCTCTTTATGCGGATCGCACGAGCAGAGTGGAAGATTCATAATACGAAGACAAAGGTGCGATGAGGGGGGACAAAGGTCACGGCTGGGCCAGATCGGTAGAAACGAACAAAAATGAGCATATATGGAATGTTGTTGTATCTTGATTTGTAATTCCAGGCGCAGATCTGCCCGAGATGGCGCGCCTTCTAACTATTAATGCCATCTCATGTCGAGAAGGGAAACTAATTCAACATGTTAATGCTGGAGATGGCGACGAGGTAACCGCCAGACCACGTAGCTGATATCGTCAATTCGAGGATAAGGGGTATCACTGTGTATAATAACAGAGGAGGTACTCTGCATCTAGTGGTATCTCGGAGCGAATACGTTCAGAGTAACCACCATCAAACCCTCTTCTCGCCAGACTGTGCCATGTATTTTGGACATGGGCTCGCCGTCGGCCACAAGCCTCTCAATTGAAACGGCCTGAACGTCCCATATTCAGAATGCCCGATAACACCCTCGTCTGATCTCGGTGCCAGAGCGTGCGAATTGCACTGCACCTAGGCCGCTTTCCGCCACCCGCAGACATGCGCCGCAACTATGAGGCTGGACGACGTTGTGTTGGGTACACAGGTGTTGCGCACCAGCTCAGAAGCACAACCCTGTACGCTTGCAGCAGCGAGCCACGAGCCACGACGCTCACTTACCCTCGGCATCACAATGGAAGCCATGTCCACAGAGTAGCACTTCCAGACTCGAATCGTGGAGGTATGGAGGCCTCTCCGAGATACAGCTCGGCTCGGTGAGCCTCCAACTAAGTTCCAGTGTTGACTGCGGTCGCATTATGCAATGCTTGGTACCAAGGCAATTCGTAGCCACCGACGACAACAAGGCTGCACGACGGCTGCGAGACTCCCTGCATTGCCACAATCCACCGGCTGTTTAGTATATCATAGGGCAAAAGGTTTGCTAAAGTCATAGACCCTTCCTAATCTGCGACAAATGAGCAGTGCAAACCATGGAAACGTCTGTGCTCCTTGCCTCGCTTAAGAGATTGGAGCAAGGAATCTTGCATCCAAACCTCCATCTCGCCTTAAACGCCTAGGTTGAGCCAAATATCTGCCAAAGGACCCAAATGCTGTGCAGGGTTGTTGATTGTACGTACATCAACTTCCTCAATCGGCCACGATTGGCACTCTCCCGCCCGTTAACATCGGTCAAAACGTGCGCCTGCTGATCGACCGACCCAAGGGAAATCTGAGCAAGCGAGAAGCAGGGTGCAGATCCCTTCAAGGACCCAGTCGTCAAGCCCTAATACAGTGATTCATTGCGCCTCCAATCAAAATGGCCGCTGAAAAGCAAAAAGATGTCACCCCCAGATGGCAGGAGAGGTCCAAGCCACTGAGAAGGGACAGACCAAGTCCATGATGCTTGATGTGCGTGGCAAACAAGCGGTGGTTGGTGGGCACCTGGGAAGGTTGTGTGAGGCATGGATGTTGTCCCCCAGCGCCGTCCACAAAACTTTTGCGACTGTGCGGAGGGTGTCCAGCGGCTGTTTCGTCCTCAGCCTGTAAACCGTATTCGGGCCTTGAAGGTGACATATTCGGCCTTGGATTGGATGGCTAATTAAGCCAAAGCGGGAGAATGTCCCAATCTGGAGGGCCTTACAGCCTGAATAGGCTGACCTCCGTCGTGGTCATGCTTTGGAGGCGCGGGAAAGCAAAAGTCCGGAAGCATCTCAAGGGGTCCAAGGATCTTGTGCATAGTGTGTGGGCATGGTGAAGTCAGTGGCTTGTGAAGGTCAAATGCTCACACTGGGTCGGGACGTCCTGCAGTGCTAGGCATCTTGGAAATTGACCTGTGGCTTGAGACTCCAGCCATTTGCATGCAAGTGGCCAAGGGTACGAAACCCGTGGCGGAAGCATATTCTCTCGCCAAGGTAAATAAAGCTGGGTCGCTTCGAGAAAAAGAAATGGTTCAAAGCCAACACCCAAAGCCTTAGGGCTCTATCAGGGACGATCGTCTTCAATGCTTCACATGGACCGAATAAACCTTTGTGGACCACGCCGCCTTCGTCATACATAGCAGTATTCGGTACAACGCTTGATTGCGGTTCTGCGTCGCGTAATTGACATGTAGGACAGCACGCTGCAAAGTACTTGGAACAGTACTGGCTTGGCGAGCATGACGACAAGTTCTGGTCAAGGACAGGCACGTTATAGTTGCAGACGGGGCGGATGAGGCCTGTCTGACAGGTCTCTGGTGAGGCAGCATTTGTGTTGGGGATGCTTGCCATAACCCCAGCTGCCTGAATGGGATGGAAAGTTCTCCTCCAAGCATCTGTTTAGTGACCGCAAGAGGACGATCCATGTCCATTTTCGACGAACAAGCGTTCAAATAGGGGTGAAGACGGCAGCGTCGATCACAGCTCGCTTGCAAACATCGCGTGCTGGAATCCCTGCGGCCTCGTGCGACGATCAGTGTTAGAGCTAGCACATGGCCAAGATAGAATCGAGTGTTCCCTTTTTGTACCACAAGTCTAACGGGCATGAGCCCAGCCCGCCTGGGATTGGATCCGTCAAACGGTGGCCGACCACAAGTACGTCAAGCACGCGGCGCCGGAGTTTGACGCGCAGATCCTCGACACCATGACCTCTTAGGGTGCAGTCGTGGAGTAAAACAACAATGCCCAGGCAGGACGATCTGTTGCCTTTTGCGGGAGGCTGCTTCTGGCATGTGTGTCAACAGGGAAAATGCTTGTGGCTTTGCCGCCCGGTCTGACATGACTCGGTCAGGCGGTGATCGTTGTTTCGTCCTCTGTCCGCAACGGTAAAGGACGGACGTCCGTAGAACCACCCGTAGAGGTCGACACATGGCGGCTTCTCAATAGTCAGCTACCGTCATTGAAAGACTAATCGAGTAAGGTCGTCAAGCACACATTGCAGAGAATTCCTCTCTAGCTAAAATTTGCAGCATTTGCGAGCTGTGGCTCAGGAAATCTCAGGAGGTGGGCAGCGGAGCTCGCCGCGCAGGATTGGGCGGCCTGTCCCTATCGTTCTGTGCAGATCAGTTGTGGACAGTCTGAGTAGGTAGTCCTAAGCGATGGCCTCGCTTCCAAAGCATCCTTAGTCGGCGCTCAAACCATCCGTGCTGGAGGACGCCCGTTGTCATTCGCGAACGCTGCGGCCGCCAGGAATGCTCGAAGTGGTTCTTTTCGCTTGGAGAAATTGAAAGGACAGGACGATCCTCAGCTGGTTTGGGATATGGCGGAGGTCAGCCCAACACGCATGCGGCCTAAGCTGGAGTGAATGCAGCCCAAATCGGGCCTGTCAGAGACGGCTCATGACGCCAACTGAGGGTCTTCGAGCCGCGTCAACTTGGCTTGGAGCTCCGGGCTTGACCGACATGATCTCGGTTCCTAAAGGCGTTCGCGGTTACGGGAGTTTAGATTGCGAAGTTGGCGGCTTCTAGCTGCTTTGGTGTCTTGCACCCATGACGTCCTCTATCTCCTGCCCTGTTAGAGGAAAGTCATCAGTGGCCCTGAACGCCGTCGAAAGTCTGGCATTCCAACGGCCCTGATTGGGCAAAACTCTCGAATTTTGAGCTGCCGAAATACGAAGCAGCGTTGCAGCAGACTGGAACAGGGTGCGAACTGGGGTTGGGCCGTGAGGAGCCGATGTTTGGTACCGATCAAAGCAGCTTGCTAAAAGTGACAGGGAATGAAGCAATGGGGCCCCCTAGGTTGTCCAAGCAAAGTAGTATCACACCACTTCCGTTTCGACGGTAGCTGACAAAGGCCATATGCAAGAAGCGACGCCGTCACAAGCTCTTTCGAGTATGTCATCTCAGCTGGTGAATGCCGTCGGAGAATTTCTGCATCACGGTGGTGGTAATGTATGCCGGCCCCCCGATTTGCGCACAAGCGAGCGGCGGAATGCAGGACGCCTACATTCAGGCCATGCTTGTTCCGGTTGTTGGTTTGTGTTCGCTCGCCCCAAGCAACCAGGTTTCCTGTCATTTCAGGGCTCTTGCTCGCTACTCATAGCTTTTGTGTTGGGTTGGGTTGGTCTGTGAACAGGGATTGTCCCTGGCGTACCAAGGGAAACGCTCCGACTTGAAGTTCACGCTGCCCGTGCGGCGCAGATGCTGAGAGAACATGGGTTTTGCTGCCAGGCTCCTGACCTGCGGTCCAAGATGCTATGTATCTAAGAATGTCTTCGTTGTGGCTGTTACTGTATACCGTGGGATGGGACGTGGCACGAGGTTGAATTTCCATCAAAGTCGCAGACCTTTTCCTTCCCGCAATTGGGGCTTGGGAAAGGTGCAGTTTATAATCAGAGCTCCTCCACCTAGTGTTTCGCATTTGTGGCTCCTGAAGAATACCAAGGCCCTCTGATTTGATTACGGTGGCTCCTGCTTGAAATGCTGCCCGTCAGGCGCATGTTAGTGTGAAGGAGGGCCAAGAAGCCGTGGGCGACGGTAAAAGTTTGCTGTCAAGGTGTAGGGGAAGCAGAGACGAGGAAATTACCGCTTTGGCAGTGTTGCGTCTTAGAAGGGTAGCCGGTGTCAGGGTGAGGTCTCGTAACTGAAGCCGTTTACGGGCGGTGGAATTGTTCGTCTGTTGGCCCCAGTCAGCAAAGCCATTTCCACAGCAAGCGAGACAAGCAAGCAAATCAATTGCTGATTATTGTTGTTTTTGCATGCGTTTGTCAGGGCCCAAAATGAACCATTTGCTGGGGTCCAAAGCAGCGCTCGTTCGATACATGGGATATGGCAAAGGATAAGGGAGACGGGTATTGTTCTCGGAGAGACCCCAAAGGGGCACTTCGGAGAGCCACCTGAATGTTGCACCGAAGAACCCTCCAAGACGTCAAAAGTGGGAAAGGTCTATGATCGACATGAATGAGCGCGTGGCTGCAAGGGGAGGCATGTTCGTTCATGGAGGCCGCATGGCAAGCACGTTTGCGGGCGGCGGCAACGGCAACGTGGTTTTTGGGCGCAGGGATGGCTGCTCTGGTGGGCTGGTGGGGGGCCCCATTCCCCCAAGGGCTAGGTAAAACCTCGAACGGGGAAGTACCTGGGTGATCATGACGGGCATCCCAAAAGGCCCTCGGCTAGGCAGGTAAGTACAATAACAAGTAGACTTTCGTAGGGGGTCGCGTTACCTAGCTACCTAGGGAAAGAGGCGTCGCACCTGCATCTCGGGGGGTGCTGCTGGGGCACTCACCGGACACTCTGGGCATGGAAGATCCTCGCTTTGCCAGGTATGGCGGGCATCAAGATGGGCATGGCGGTGTCTATGGCACAGCCGCCATAAGCCCGTAGGTAGTTCCCCCGATGGACACCCAAGCTCTCCATCGCCCACACGATTCCCAGAAGCCGGTCACCTAGAGGTTCCTTATTATTCGTGCTGCCGAGGTGGCATGGAGACAAGGTTCAGCGTTGCTAAGCAGTTGGTGTCAACAGCCGACAATCGACACACCATGACAGGGGGAATGCAAGGGGGGTGACATTGCCACGAGGCAAAGACGCAATCGGGGGAGGGACGATCAGTTGTCGGAGTCATTCACCACAGTGTCATGTCTGAGAACTCAAGGGAAAGGCGGTCACCAAAGTCTTTGAGCCGGGCTTTTGCTCGATTATTATTAAATGTCATGCAGTATTATCCCTCCTCTTTGGAGCTTTTCCTGTCCGAGTCCGTAGGCAAGGGGCGGGCGGAGGATTGGGAGAGACGGAGTGAGAGGGAGGGCTTGCCGTGAGCCGAAGAGCAGCTTCACCGGAAAAGCAAGGAAGGGGGAAGGGGGGAGGGCTTCTCGAAGCGTCGGATCTGGCAATGGAGACCGATCTAAGATGAAGGAGGAGAGAGAATTGGATGAAAGGATGACAGCTGTGGCTGCGAGTGGCACGGATGGTTGGTGGAATGGCCTTTTGCAGCGTGGATGGGGGATGATTTGGAGGCGTGCAAAAAAATACGGGCAGCACTAGGTACTTACCAGTCGACGAGCACGTCCCTACTACTAGGCACAGCTAGGTGGCCACAGGTAGCTTTCATGCTACGTAAAACTACGTGCTGTATACGAAGCTTGTCCAGTTGCTGCGGACTTTGGCACACCGGACTACTACAACTTGAGGTGGTACAGCACGAAGCAGCAGATCTTGTTCTGGCCTGATCCCTGCTGCGCCTTTCCTTCTTTTTGCCTTCTCGCCTTCTCTTGTTCCCTCGTTTTCTCTCTCTCGACCCAGACAGCGAGCCTTAGAGGCCCATATCCCGGACCTTGCTGCTGACCCTCCCCAAGCTCCAAGCTCGTTACTCCCTTGCTCCCTGCTCCCCTGCGCCCTTGTTCCAACTCTGCGTGCTTGCTCACCGGTCTGCCTTACCCAACACGGCAAGACTCCATTCTTGTAGACTTTGTCTGTTCCCCTCCGGACTGTGGCTACTATTTCCCTTTGGGCAACTCACACGCTGCTCGTCTCCAACGTCTCCCTGCTGAGCCACCATTTTCTTTTCTCTCAATTCAGAGCATGTCTGGCATGGCTGGCCGTTACTAGACCGACTAAAAAATGCTAGTTAGCTGCGTTCGAGAGCAGGAATACCATCCCAACGAGCCGTCCAATACCGGTCCTCCTACGCCTCTCCTACACCCTCTGTCTTCCCATCTTGCTCGAGTCCGCCTCATTTCCTAAACCCTTCCATACCTGGGTTGCTACAATCTATTCGTCCCTCCCAGTCCCGCCTCTCCCACTTTGATACGCCACTTCATCCTTCCCAGGACACATCCCGGTTCGTCACCTCAACCTTTCTCTAGCCTCTTCCTCCCTCCTCCCCCCTCCACCTCCCCAAGAGGGTCCTCGTCCGCTTTGTGGCCTTCGTAACGCGCGAGCAACCCACCGAAAAAGCTCGCACCCGGCCCTATCATCAGCCCAAAACGGCCGTCTCTTTTCGTTCTTGTGTATCAGAGCATCCCTATCCTGTCACTTTCGAACGGACCCTTACCTCGGACTGACCTCACACCCCCCTTCACGTCGCTTAACCTCTATTATTTCTCCGGTCCACTCGGTCTGTGTTGTTCAACTTTTTGGATTCAGGTACAGACCCTGTTCTGATTTCGGACCCTTTGCACTGTTGTATACCTCTGTGTGGTCTGGTCTGGTCTGGTCTGGTCCCTGCTGCGGTCGGTTGAGCAAAGATCCCACTCCAAAACTCTTTGTCTGCTCCAGCAGAAACGTAACCTCTTGTCCATCACCAAAGTCTAGTCTGGCCTCTGACACTTGCGTCCCTCGTCGCCAACCAACTTTCTCCAGTCGACAGGGCTCATGTCACTCTGGGGTTCTGGCGAAAAGCCCCAATTTCAACACCCTGGTAGACCGGGTCCATCCACCACTACTTCCACCCCATAACTGCTTGGTCTTCCCTCAAGGTGCACCATTATTTCGACAGCCTCTGAGCCAGAGAAGTGCCACTGCCGCCAATCCACGATTTTGTGGCTGCACGTCATTGCCAGCTTGCTCAGTCAACTCTATTTTCTGGCTGATATACAAATTTCCATTCCTCCCCAAGGGTGTGGACCGGACCAAAAAGCACGAGCACTAGCAGTCTTCTCTTGTCCTGCATGTCCGACAGCATACCTCTCCGTTGCTCGAACAGACCACTCGACAACCGCCTCCATGTTATTATCACTGGCCCCTCCTAACCACATGCAGCAGAACGACGTAAAACAACCCCATGACTATCCAATCTACCCTAAACCGACTCCTTCGCGATATTCACCTCCACCGTCTCCTCGCAACCTACCTCCCTTCTTAGAGGACTCGAGGATGAACAACTCTCACCGAGGGTTACCACCATTACCTGCTGGTCTCCCGGGTGCTCTCAGTCTTCCCCCTCCAGAACGAGGGCATTCGACAGCTCCTCCACTCGGCCACCTCCCAGCTCCGCCGTCTCAATGGGCTGGCCAGGATGAGTCCATGCGAAGTTGGCTCCATGCAAAGGCTGAGGAGGACCGCCGGAAGCAAGAGGAGGAGAAGACCCGGCAGGAAGGTCTGCGACTCGACCAAAGGCGCATCGAGCAGGATATGCTGAGGGAGTCTCTTCAAGGAGGGATTCCCCCACCGATGGTCCCTCTCATTTTTGCGGGCATTGGCGGAGGGAACCTTCCTGCTCATACTTTGGAGTGGGCGCAGCAGTATCTAGCGAGCTTGACGATCCAGAACCAGCAGCAACAGCAACAAATCCAAGCCCAGCAGCAGCAACTTCACCAGCAGCAACTACAGCAACAGCAGCAGATGTCGCCAGATATCCACCGAGATCGAATTATTCAGTCAAATCCTTACGCAGGACATCAGCCGCTACAAGCACCACCACCGCTCTCACAAGCACCTGCTACCGTTCAGGCAAGTCAGGGTCGCAGTTCTATATCTGGGCCGGTGACAGCTACCCCTACCGCACTCTCACGTCTCAACACCACCGATTTCATCCCCGGCTCGTTAGCAAGCCAGGCAGGCCGACAGCCAGTACACCCGCTGCAACAAGCACAGACTCCTGTGGCCGAGCAGCCGTCGGGACCAGGACTATTTTTCCATCACTGGACGCCGCCGAACCAGTCGTCTTCGTCGGCGGGAAATCAGCCCCCGACACCCTCAGCCAAGAGCACGCATGGGTCGCCATTCTCACAGCACGCAGGATCACATCTACGGTCGGAGTACCAAAACTCGCCAAAGAAACGCAAGACCGCGAGCGGACATTCGGTGCCTATTCCCCCTACCTCTCAGCCGTTGGATCCATCGCAGCCCATGTCGTCTCGGTCGTCCAGAGAACGAGAAATGAGTCCGGGTCATCGAAACAGGGCTATGCGGCATTCACGGCAGAATAGCGATGCCTCATCCCGCGAACAGGAGGTGGGTGGTCGCAAAATTGCTCGACCGAGCAGTCGTCAACAGCGCAGGGATGAGCTCAGCGGCGGAGCGGGGTCCAGCCCAAGAAGGAAATTGACGGGCTCCTCCACCAGTGGCTCGAGCGAAGACAATAATCCCGTTCGGTATGAGGGGTTAAAATCTGAAACGCGGTAATAATTCGAGGCCCTTGGCAGGCTCGGAGATGAAGTGACCGGCTCGGGGACAGCATATTGGCATGGCATTTCCAAAGGGGAGGTAGTGAATCTTTTCGCCGGGTTGAGCACACACATCCACGCCGTCGAGCTCTGGTTCTGATCGGGCGCTTTTGTTTGTGCGCACTCTCAAATCTACGGGTCTCCGCCGGCCGAGGCAATGTCAAGCATACCGGTTGAGAATGTACCTTCAACTTCCACGACCACCTCGCCTTTCGGTAGTTGGCGGGGGAAATCTACCATCCACCAAGACACCGGCACGAGTACATTGATCAGGCCACGCAGCCCATCAGCAGCTCCCAGGCAACCGGCATTAAAATCACACCATGTTACGAAATGTCATTCCCTGCTTCCTGAAATCCTTCATCTCGAGATTTGACCTGGCTTTCGGGCCACGATGACCTGGCTGGCCGTTTAATATCGCTTAAGGCGCTTGAGGCGCTGACGGGATATGAGCACAGATTTGGTGGAGCCTGGAAGTCGATTTGACGCGACCAAATCTGGGCAGTTGATGCCGAAGTGGGCGAGCTTGGGCGGAGGGGAATGCCCAAGGCGGTTTCTGGGCCATTTGACGTCGAATGATATGGGGGGTGATGGGGCACGATGGAGAATGATGGGCATGGCATAAGCGAGAGCAGGCGACGTGGAGGAGACGGAATGTGTTTCGAGGAAATGGCGCATCCTTCCGGAAGTTGCGCCGGCGACGATATGATTACGAGTGATTGCGGGCAGATTGGGCAGATGGTGGGAGGGATCGAGGCTGAAACTCGACCGAGCATGTCACCGGCGGGATGGCATTTGGTGCATGGAACAGCTGAGGGCTCCACATGAGATTTCGGTGATCAGCCACATGGGAACGCCTGCCATAACGCACGGACGGGGCGCCATGACGGATTGGGCGACTTGAAACACGGTATTTTGACGATTTTGATGACACCAGATAGAACAGGCAGGTAATTTGGGCGGGTTGTGTCTAGACTTGGGCGTTAGTTGGGTTGGATCACTCCGCTGCGACAAGGACAGGTACTGTAGTGGCAACTGCTGTGATTGCGCGTCGGGCCGCATTTTTTGAATTGCATCAAGGATGTTCAGGACATCAGGATGTTCAGGTGGATACAGAGGAGGGACGGTGATCATCTAGAGCGAGAGCCGTGGCCAGAGCGGTGGGGGGGAGCGCAAGACGAGGGATATAGAGGGAGATTGGACGACTATTGTTTTTTACTCATTGCGGCAATAAAATGGGTATGATGAAACCAAGATGAACCGTAGTTCTGTATAGCAGGAGGAAGGAGGGGGAAATGGGCATGCTTGTTGCCCAGCTGAAACATGGTCAGTGGACGTTTCAAATTGGTGGAGAGGAGGTAAACAACAACAAACCCACGCGAAACAATGGACCTAACGAGCCTGTGACACGCGTGGAACTGGTACTTTTGGTGCTACGGGCTGTTAGCTTGAGTGACTAAGTCATTGGCGCAGGGAGCAACTTCGGAGTCCGGGAAGCCACTCGTTTCAGGTGGCGAGATGCTAATTTGCGAGGGGCCTGGGCCCAGAGGTGCCTAAGTGGTGCCTACGAGGTACGCCGCCAGAGGCCCTCACACAGAGGCAGGCCGCAGACCGAGGCAGGGACGGTCACCAATTTCCACCAACAACCTCAGCTACACTTCACTGTCGCTTCACTTCCACCTCACCAACACCTCACATCACCTCAAGGATGGACTGGCTATTACCAGTGCTTGAGTACATCGCGCAGTCATAGTGTGCTTTTCTAAGAATCGCAACAGGGAAATGGTATCGGTGGACTTACATCACTGTACTAAGCAAGCACCTATACACCCACGCACGTACCTGTAGATTCATCCATATACCTCGTAGGAAGAAATTCAACTGAGGCACATAATCACAGTATACACATATCACCGACATCAACTCTTTCATGTGCAACCCCCCGCCCTTCTCTCCTTCGTCCTCCCCCTCGGCTCTTCCTCCCTTTTTGTTCGTTGTCTGGCCACCGCGGTGTAGCAACCCATCTCACAGAGTTTTGCAAACAGCGAAACTCAACTCAAGTCGACCAGTCGGCGGCGCCGAGCTGAAACTTTTCTGAGGTCTTGCCATTGCACTTTTCTTTTTGACCAGCTGAACTCGTCCACCGCCTCTCTTTACACTCGTTGACACCGGTAAATAAGATTTCTCTGAACTATCTAGGCCGTGGTCGCTTGTGGAAAGGATAAGCAAATGATCCCTTCCCACTGTTGGCCCATACTGACTCTGTCCGAGGGCTTTCGGGTCGCCAGCCAATGGCGAATCGAAAGTTACCACTGACAAGGAGTGCTTCAGAGAAGCCTTCTCGCGCTCATGCGACATACTTCGCAACGGCCACTCAATGCATCAGCTCGAGTTCTATTCCACGCACTAGAGCTCTCGCCTTACGATTGGACTCTCGATGTCCTGAAGGAGACACCTCGTCATTTCCCCTCGTCTCCAATCCGGTCCAGGATGGACAGGCCAATCGATAGCCAATCATGAATCTCTGCGCTAAACGTCGTTCGACAACCATTACTTCCACACTCACGCTGGGCAAAGTGAATGTCATTCGGCTGAACTCTGTCTCAGTTTTCGAGTGCGCATGACCACACGGCCCTCTTCCAAACGACCCTTCCTGCTTCCCAGACAACGTCTCTCAATGGCCCCTCTCCGTCGCAGGCAAATACTCAGCTTCATGTTCCAGAACAAGGGGAAGAGTATCGGACGAGCAATATCAGCCGAAGTCGGCGGGGCCGAGACTGGATATGCGGACTTGCTATCAAGTCTCCCTGATCAATGAACCCATTGGCGATGGCTGATCCTACGTCTACACGCGAAACCCCTCCAGCTGAAGCGGCCAGCTTTGCCCGTATTCGCAGGGATCACGCCCATTACCCGTTGTTCTGGCATCACCCCGCCTCTCTCCTACGTCTTGTCCTGATCGAGGGCCTCACGTACTTCGGGCTATACTGTACTACGTTTCGGGATAACGTGGCTATCAGGGCATCCTAAATCGCCCGTTGCGGCGTCAGCAAAGAAAAGAAACTACGATGACGCTACGAGTCACAAGGAGGGACTTTTCGCCTACAGATCTCTCAAATGTCGTTGACTTCAGACGAATCATGACCCTCGACTCTCCTGGCGAATGGGAAACCCTCCAGGCCCGCTGCAAGATGCCAGATCCACCTTCCAGAATGTGTCATGGAAGATCTCGAAGAACGAGATCGAGCTATAATGTTGCGCATCCAGCTTGGACGGGTCTGCATCCATCGCGACCCAAGTGTCTGGAAGCGAAAGTGTTCCGTCGCCAGAACCCATGGTTTAACCGTCAAAACATCGCATGATGGGGGCCGTTGTGGCTAGCTGAGGGAGCTGAGGGTCGGCCGCTGTGAGCCAACCATCGTTACCTGTACCACCCGCTACCTGTGCTGTTACCACGAGACATGTAATCGAGGACACTTGATTGGTGCACGGGCCACCAGGCTGTCTTTCTCAGGGGTCACAAAACGCATGATATGGTTGGGTTGCTTGACGTGATCGGGCGATGAAAGCGGAGTCTACCTCGCGATTTGCGTTCAAAGTAAACGGGCAGCAACTCCACCCGTGCCAATGATCGAGGTCACCAGTTCTGGCGTCATTTGGGCGAGAGGAGTCCTACGAAATGGAGCGGAAACCAAATCTTGTCGCCTTACCCAGCGCCAGTGGAATGAGCGCCGAGAACAACCCTTCAGCACCAGCCACATTAACGACTTGAGGCTGAAGGATCCTCCATCTCAACACAGAGTAAGTCGTTGGGCGATCGCCCCATCGTCCGCCTCATCCCTTCCTTTCGTCCATTCCTCCGGTAAGCAGCCGGTTCCTGTGTGTGCGACTGCGCATTCATCTCTCTGACTTGGTCTCCTCACGTCGACGCATTCCACCCTAATGCACTCGATGCGCCCGAGACGACACCTCGACACTCTGTGCCCTTGATATGAGGATTGATTCTCCAACAGTTGCGATGCCCTGTGAGGCTGGCGTATCCTGAGTGTCTCTCCGAAACGCCCTCGCGCCTCAGGTTTCGGCGCATCGAGCTCAAACCTCTGAAAACGTTCCACGAGACTACGATCCGCGGCATGGACGTGCGCCTTCCGTCGACCTCTCCCTTCTTCCTCGCCATCCCTTCCTAAGAGCGGCTGCACGACTCGGGCGTATTGTCTGCGATCACGTTCCAAATTGCGTTGAGCGGCGCTCGACGTTGGCTGAATCTGTCGTTGCGCCCGCGCCTGCATAGCCCGCGGATTACAGCGTCTTCCTCCACACAGACTCCCCGCCGTCTCGACCCGCAGGTGCACAATCTCACGGTAGAATTCACGCCATGCCTTGCACTAGCTGAGGGGTGATTGCCTGCAGCACTCTCGCAGCGGGCACAATGATGAATAATTTGACTCTACCCGCCGTGCGCAGGTAGGGCTGAGTACCACTCAGGTCGCTTACAAGCATTAGTTAATCAATGGCCAAAATGCAGCTTTCGAATTCGAAAAATCCCTACTCAGAATCGCTGTGGTACCGTCTCCTGCAGCTGCAGAACAATAATGTTTTGCGGCTGAACCTCTTCCACTGGTTTCACCTATCCAGTCCACCAGAGGAGGAAGCCATCTCTCGTGAAGTTGCTACCGGAATACAGTTCACAACTGCGACTCGCTGAAGCGACTGCGCTTGGCGACAAGAGTGAAGATATCACATTTTGCTGCTGCTGTGGAGTTCAATTTCTCCTTGTGTGCTCTTTGGCTTGCTCTCAGGGCTGGTTGTTCCGTCTATGCCACGGAAATCCCATTGTCAAGACATCCATATGGCCGGGTGGCCTGCACTACACGAGCGATTCAGCATCAGGGGCATCGGTTTGACTGACGGCGAGTGAGTGGCATGGCGTACAGCTGAGCCTCAGCCTCATATTGATTGCCTTGTCTGCCGCTGATTGGCGGGCCTAGCAGTCTTCAGCCGTAGCCCTCCAGCTGGTCTTTCGCCCCCAACTTTGGACCAACAGGCCGTTTCTTTCGTTGGGCTTGCACCGTCTCAGCTTCACTCGGCCTCGACCTTCTGCTTGTCTCGCTCAGCCACAGAAACTTTCCCCCTTCTCAAGACTGACCATCTAAATGCCTCTTCTGATTATCCTGGTATCAAGCTGAGACTGCCTAGACATCACGACTGGAAAATACCGCGAGCCGGTGATTTTCGGTCCAAACTCGCTTAATATCGCCCGACCGAGCCCTGCTCGAATCGCTCCCACGGATCCCATCTCCTCCATGAAGGAGGCCGTCGACTCTGAGCGGTGACGCACATTCTGCAATCCAGATGCAGTCCGCCCTGTACAGGAGGCCTGTGTCCTGACACACCTCTGTCTGATACGCCGTGGAGTTTGGCTTAGTCGCTCCCGCTGGGCGTCCAATGGACATGATGATGATGGCACGAACGTCGAACAGCTCAGTGAGAAATGCGACGAGAAGGGGAGTTGGACGAGAAGGATGGAAAGAGGGAGTGAGGGAGGGAGTGAGGGAGGGAAGGAGAGAGGGAAGGAGAACAAAAGAAGACATCAAGCCAGCAACGCAACTGCGATGATTGCCGCCCATCACGTTTCTTTCATGTTTTGCATGTCTTTTCATTAGCTAGCAGTAGAAAGCTATCAAGGAGACTCGTTTCGTGCGAAGGCGCATGTAGAACATGTAGAGTATTTATGTGTGTATATATATATACGTTGTCAATGACCCGTTTGATGCCTCAGAAAGCGCGGAACAACAGGAGAAGAAGTAGCGGAACGCCCTAGGAAATGCAATGTCGTGCAGCGGGATGGAGCCGTCTTCCGTCCCTGTCTCCCTGGTCCGCCCAACGTTGATGGCCAGATTGTTAGATTGTTAGATAGAAAGGGTAGAGTAGAGCTTGTTGGAAGGGAATGAGAGGCAACGGCGGCAGTCCCCCTGATTCGGAACAGGACCATCCGCAAATTCAATAGCAGATCCCCTCGACCACCGTAAAAGCTCTCTGGTCGGGCAAGGGGGGGTTTGTTTTTGGAAAATAATCAGGCGAGCAGGGTCTTCAGATTCGCCAGCGCGGCCTCGAGCAGCTTGGGCACGTAGCCCTGCTTCTTGGCCGCGTCGACGAGCTCGACGACCTGGGGGACGACGTCGGCGCCGCCGAAGTTGTCCCTCGCGTACTTGCGGAAGGCGGCCTCGATGCTGCCGCCTTCGACGGAGGCCTCGTCGAACGCGCGCGGGATGACCTCGGAGAAGACGGTGCTGCCGCCCGCGGCGCCCGAGATGATGTTGAACCACTGCTTCTTCTGCTCCGGGCGCATCAGGTCCAGGGCGTGCGCGAACTGGGTCGTCTCGAACGCCGAGATCAGGTGGATCGCGGCGTGCGCGGTCGCCAGCGTGCGGATCATGCGCTGCTGCTGCTGCTGCTCCTGTTCGTTGGTCGCGACCGGGTTCCCCGCCCGCTGCACCACCAGGTCTGCCCGGTCCGAGTCGAAGCCCAGGTAGTACTGCGCGATGCAGCTGTCGTCGGCGGCCGCATGGGTCTTCATCACCTGCGTGATGACGTCGCTGGCCGCGTTGAGAAGTGGCAGGTCGACGCCCAGCCGCACCTCCTCGTCGCGGATGATGCCCACGTCCTTGTTGATGATGGCGGTCGCGGACGCCATGGGCGGCGACGCGCTCAGGATCCGCGGCCCGCGATTCTCGAACATCCAGCTCCACCCCAGAGGCATCTTCCCCGTCGAGGCGTCCTTGGTGGTCAGTGTGTCATAGAACTTTTGTGTGTCGACGCCGAGGATCGCCGCCAGCCCCATGATCTCCGACGCGGAGGGGATATGGATCCCGCACATGACTTGGTTCAACGCCTTGGCCGATTGGCCCGCGCCGAGGCCGCCGGGGATGGGGAAGAGCGTCTTGCCCTTGCTGGCCACGTTCTCGAGCACTGTCTTCGCATTGGGTTCCTGGAGGTTCTTCATGTCGTCCGAGGATACCATGATCGTCAACGTGCCGTTGATAGATCGCGCCACGCCGCCGGACACGGGGGCGTCGATCAATCGCACATCCGGGCGGTTGAATTCGCCCGTCAATCGCTCACGTACGGTCGACGGCTGGGTCGGGGGGATCGTCGCGTGGATGATGACTGTGCAGTCTTTGGGGAGGGCGTGGACCGCTCCGTTGTCGTCGAATAGAGCAGAGTGGACGTGGTAGTGGTTAGCCACCATGAGACACACTACCGAAGCGTTTCTGACCGCTTCCGCGGGTGAGCTGGCCGTTTTGGCGCGAGACTCCGGTATGTCGTCGCAAGTCGCCCGCCAGCGGTCCAGCGTCGGCCCGTAAATGTCGAAACCCGTGACTGGGAATCCCGTCCGGACCAGGTGCGTCGACATGGCGAAGCCCATCGCCCCGAGGCCGATGAAGCCCACTTGGGGGAACTGGTTCGCTGTTGACATGACCGCCATTGCTGCCTGATGGGTGTGTGATAGTATTATAGCAAATTTCTGTTTCCCGGATCGGGCGACGGGAGAGGATTGCTAGTTAGAGAGCGGCCACCTTGTATTCTGAGCAGGATTACGAAGTCCGGGTAATATAGATGTCGTTCGGGAGATTTTCCCACGCGGATATCCCGTACAGGAGGCAGGCAAAACGTAACGGTCAAAAGGGACGTCAATGAAGGGATCAATGCCTGAGTATGGAAGGTTAGTCAAGATTGTCGTTCAAATAAATACTTGCCGACACATGTTTCCTGTCGTTCCCCTACGGGTAAATGCCAATGGCCACCCGGTATATGTCGGTGCAGAGACCGATGCCTGGAGAGCCATAAGGTGGAGATGCCTGGCAAAGTGTGGAGGACTTGCAGACTTGATCTTTCTCGGCTGATGGGATGGTGGAGAGAATGAAGAAAAACCTGGACGAGGCAAATGCCGGCGGCGTCGCTCGGAGGAAATGCCGCTCAAACACTCACGTGACTGCAGTCAACATGTTTACACGTGACTATGTCATTTGAATTGCTCCAACTTCTCGTCTTTTGAAAGCCGCCCTCCTCGTCCACGTCCACATCCTCCTCCTTTGCCTTGTACAAGAACCTCCCATCCATCGAACTGCGATTTACCGCTGTTTGCCTTACCTGAATCCGTCCGGTGTTCACCGTAAACACAGACATACCGAGGCGCTGCTGCGGCGGAGTCCCAGGAAGCCTTTTCCAAGATGAGGCTTCGCGTTTGCAAGCCACCGCGCCCGGCTTTCCTGTACAGAGCTAGGAAGTGTGGTTCTCTCACACCCTCTCAACCCGGTCTGTGCAACGTACCAGACTGCGCCTGCAATGTGCTTTGAGCCTCGGAGTACCTTTTGCAATGCCGCGTGACAATGCTTAAGCCGCCTCACTCCCTAGGCCCGTGTGGCTTGTCTCGTCTCCAGCCTCGATTGGCCTGATATTCGAGTCTCGCTAACCGGACAGCTCGATCCCCTGTCGGAAAAGGCAGACTGCCAGCAAATTCTTACATGCAGTCGACATCTTTCGCGGGGCAACGTGCAGGAACGCGGAATTGGCATGCTCAGCCTTGAGTTGCCTGGTTCGCCTTCTCCCACCACAAGTGAACCTGTCTATAACATGTAGCTACTTCCCTCAGGCACTTTCTTCTTCTGCAACCACCCCTCTTTCACGTCTCAAATTTCCCTAAAAAGCAGGCACTGAAGTTGATCATTGGAAGATACCGCTAAGATGCCTGCCAACAACTCTTCTAAGAAACTTGTCGGCCACACTAAAACCAAACGGGTCGAAACTCGGCCCAGCGGCAAAAAAGACTATGAAGATGACGGCAATAGGTCACTGAGCGACTGTTCCTCCATGGTCTCGGCTTATCGCTATGAGACACGCAAGGCGCCCAAGGAGCCGCAGCGATACGAGGACGAGGGTAGACCGCCCTCGTTTCCACCCGACTCTAGATCCCCGCGACATATTCTGGATTCATCTCGAGCAGCAGAACGTCAAGCACCGGCTCAGAATCCCTCGACTGGCACTTATCTGCCCATATACGAGGCTATTATCGTGCTTCGCAGGCACGGTATATCGGTAAATCTTGGGCCGGATGGACTCAGAGCCATCGCTCAGCAAGGTCCCCTTGAACCACGGCCAGTGAGCCACAATCACAAGTACAGCCCTCAAAATGTCTCCACTGATGTGCATCACCCATCTGCGCAAGAGCAGCAAGCCATCACTGAGGCTATTGTTTTTATTGTCTGGGAATGTGGGGGACAAGTTGACATACCCGGTTTCGATCCTCAGCCAGCCATGCAGTGCAGTACTTGCTCCAATCCAATCCCTAACTCGATGCCCAGCCCTGTCTCTCCGCGAAGGGATGTTGATGAGCACAGCAACGGGAACCGCAACTCATACCAAAATATTCACAGATCCCATGCAGAGACATTCGAGCCAAACAATCAAGGAGGCCACATCACCATCGGCCTCGAGAGTGCCTATGACACCCGGCGAAATGAAAGCAATTGGGGGGGCCACGGTCGGTGAAGCTGAGCCATATATCGCCCTGGACTTCTTGATACTTACTTCTCCGGGCTCACGGGCTGCTGATGTCTCGTTACATTCTTTTCTTCGTGCGGGTATTTGACGCAGGCCTTAGGCCTCTGGTAGAGGGTTTTGATCCCTCTGTTGTATATTACCATTGGGCTTGTCGACTGGCATTTACGGACGTTGATGGGCCAGTCATCGTGAGTGTCTTTGTACCACACTTTATTGGGGCCATTTGGCCGTGAGGGATTTGGTGGGCTACCAGCCTGTCTCAGTGTTTTTGATAGAGGAACATTTTCTTTCCACACATATTCCAAGAATTGGGCTTTCTGTGGCCAGCTCTTCAGCTCTTCAGCCTGATGCTCGATCCTCAGACCCCTGTCGCGTTTAGTGGGCTCGAGAGAGCAGGGGTGACCCTCGCTCGACATACGTCATGGCGACAATCCACCATGTGCACCAGACCATCCACGTCTCGTCGCCCTCCTCCTCTCCCCTAGTTCTCTTCCCTTCACCTCCAAAACACCTGGGCATCCGTCACTCTACAAGTGTTGATTCGTTCCGTGGGTAGCCATGGTTTCTCCTTCACATGGGTGGGCTGTGCAACCGCAAATATCTTGCATGCGAGAGGTGACGTACCAGCCACAGCCAGGCTGCTCACCGTGCCACATGCCTGTCTTTCGCACATGATGGCATCATACAGTGCAGGTCGTCTGGAGTGTTTTCTACCTGCGAGATCGTCCTCGTTAAGGACCCTATCTAAAGCTTGATGTGCTTCTGATTTAGTTGATCCTACCCACTCGAGCAACAGAGTAAACATCTTCCCACAATCTCTGGCCCATCCCTTTTTGACGTGGCAGCCAAAAAAAAGAACTACGACAACAACCACCTACACCAGCTCTGCAAACCGCTGCTGAACACGATACGTCATGGAAGGCGCAAAGAACTGGTACAACAAGCAATACGAGGCCTGGGTGCCGTGGATCGAGGATAAGGTTCTGGGCTGGTTCGGTGAGAACAAGACCAGCTATGTCGCCAAAGGTAGGAGACAGCAGAACACCTCACACAGCCCACAGTCACTTTAGCATTCTACCTGATGTGGCCGTCTGCTGACTGATATACGATGTAGACAACCTCAACAAGACCAAAATCACCGGCGACGAGAACGTGGACGCCATCCAGGACGACGTCAACAAAGGCGTGGGGGGACAATTCGGCAAGGGTGGCTTGCTTGAAGGCGTGGGAACTCTGACGAGCAAAGAAGTGCTCAACAGGGGGGAGCGAAAGGGAAAGAACGAGGAGGGCGGATATGGACTGTGAGGAGAGATATGGAGGCAAATCCTACCCTGCCAAGCGCGGAGGCCTGAGTTTTGCGCTGTAAGGGCTACGGGTATCATGTTCTTGTTCAGCGGTATGTGGGATGGAGGTTTGTTTCCTCTACAAGAGTGTTATTCTTTTTTGATGATACCACGATACATCGGATCTGATGACCAGTGCATGACCAGCGGCCTTCCTCTAAAATTATGTTTGTCTGACGCGAGTTGACCGTAGACAATCTGCCCATGAACCCTGGTCAGACGGCGCCCTTTCTCGAGTTTCCCTTATGCCAAACTGGCTGATGAAACCATCATCCCTTGCTCAACCTTCACATTGAGACAACCAAACAGAGATCGACGTTGTTTCCTTGGGCTCGCATTCAACGATGGATGTATTCTCCTCGTCCTGTAACGAGAGAAATAAATGCCGCTCATACAATATGGCTGGCGGGACCCAGCTACTGACGCACAGATCCGCGATGTACGTTATGCTCCCGCCGATGGCATAACGCAACTACATCTTGGTGTCCACAGGCACATAATGGACCTATTGGTACATATAAGACTGTGAGGGTGTCGCGCACTCTCCCCCAAAGCATTCAACAGCATCCGCTATTAACCTCTGGTTCTGTGGCAATTCTTCAGCAGCATCCATCCCACAAAAACATCGCGAATCCATAGCCCGGCCGACCATCACGCGCAATGTCTTCCACCACGATGCAACCCACGCCAGCTCTATCCGATGCCGCCGTCTCCTCCCAATCTAAGACCGGGACGACGGCCGCCGGGAGCAGAACATCGCCCGCCTACTTCTCGTCGTACGCCTTCGCCCTGCACTCGGTGCCGATGGCGTACATGCTCTCGGTCCCGCCGCACGCGTACCTGTTCGCCCGACTGATGAAGGCGTCCGGGTACGCGTACTCGAACCTGGTGCCGCGGGCGCAGCTGCCGACGCTGGCGCCGACGCTGCCCAAGGCCACGGCCGACATGCTCTGGCGCGCGCGGGGGTGCCACCTGAATGCGCTGGAGGGGTTTCCTCTGTTTGCGGCTGCAATGGTATGGAAAAGCTTTCTTGCCACGTCCCCTCGTCCTCATCCTCCCTCTTCCCTCCTTTGTTCCCTTACGTTTCTCCCCCAAGTTTCAACCAAGCCACAAAAGGAGTATCACACAAACAAACAAACCAAAAAAGAAAAACGAAAGCTAACGTCACCGACTGTTTGTCGTGTCGGGCAATAGATCGCAGGCACCCACGCCAAACTCGACGCCAGGGAGCTCAACACCTGCGCGGCCGAGTACCTCGTCGCCCGCACGCTGTACAGTGTCCTGTACATGACCGTGCGCGGCGAGCGGGCCAGCTACCTGCGCTCGGCGGTCTGGGCGTGGAGCTTCGGCATCCCGGTCTACGTGCTCTGGAAGGCCGGCAAGAGGTTCGTCGACGGGGGTGACGGGGCCGCCGAGAAAGAAAGGGAGAGCCTGTAGAGAATGGAGCGGTGGGGAAATATTCAAGGGGGAAGAAGGGAAGGCTGGGAATATGGACGGGATTGTTGTGTAAGAGAAAGACGCGGCGCGGATTGGGATCAAATGCGGCTGGATACATACAGCCCAAGGCATTAACGTCGGAAAAAGTGTATGAAAGCGGGAATCTCAGCAGTGCGATCCGTTAAAGAGGCAGTGGAGGTAACAAACATCTCTCGTTGGCGTTGGACATGGCCAAATGCTCCTGTACTTATAGTAATTCTAGACGGCGCAGGAAAGTAGCTGCTCTCGCGTCTGATGATCTCCAACATATATAAACACACACAAGAAAATGCTCCAGCTTGATGCTGATTTCGCTAATCAATTTTCTTTTCCTTATCCTGCTCTGCTTCCTCAAGAGCTTGTGCACCCTTCTTTCCCTTTGCTCTCTTTTCCGTCGCATACCGGACGCTCCTCGACCACCCTGCCGTCACTGCTCCTTTGACGCTTTGCACAAAACTGGGCCACCGAATCGTGTGCTCAATGACCTGTTTGACTTCTTCCCTCAACCCGCCGCCTTCGGTATCCTGGGCGATGCGTTGCTCAAAAGGCCCACCTTCTCGCCTGCGAATGCGATCGGGGTCTTCATCTTTGGTCTTCTCGAGCATCTTGTTGAACTCGCCTCGTGGGATTTTGAATTTGGATTGATATTCAAAGTAGAGCTTCTTTCGGAAGGCGTTGGGAAGGCGGCGGACCATGTGCCCCCGGGTGACAGGGTCCATGTTTTGAGCCAGTCTGGAATTCACGGTTGGGTCATCGAGCCAGTCTCTGTTAGAGCAGGCCGGATCATTGAAGGATATATTGGGGAGATTGTCAATCAGTGGCGCGTACAGCCGCCGGAAATTGGGTAGCTGGTGTTTGACAATGTTCTCGACCTTTCGAGGGTCATCTCCGCCGATGCTCATTCGTGGATCGCCCATGTACGAAATTCCCGCGATGGTTGAGTACAGTTCCTTCTCGGTGAACTCGGGTGGAAGGAGAAGTAAAGCCGTGCGAACTGCGGCGATTAGGTTGACTTGATTTGCAAGGCGGACTGCCGGGTTGTCCCGCAATATCTTCACAGGCTTCTGTAGGCGACCGGCGAGATATAGAGTGTCCCATTCCGATAGATCTCTGCAGAGAGTATCCAAGTTGACCACTCCATATTTGATCAGAGTTCCATTGACAGTGACGTAAGGGTTAAAGTAGACTCCGGCCCCGAACGAATCTTGAACTTTGGAGACCGCGTAGGATCCCAATGACCCCAACCAGCTATAGTGATCTCGGTGCTCGTGTAGATTCAGAGAATGCCAGTGCTGGCTATAGGACACTCCGAAGATAAAATCAATCATTTTTTGGTTCCCATCCTGAACTTTGGCTACAGCCTCTGGCGGGTTTGGATGCAAGTTTTTGGAACCTCCGCTTTTTCCCGCGCTTTGCGGAAAGACGCCTGAGCCATAGGCAAAGGCGTAGCGGATGGGCGCCCGAAACTTCCACAGGATTTGTCTCAATGCCTCCTTGAACTCTTCATTGATGATGATGTGTTGATTGACCCCGAAATCCTTGCCGGGTAGCTCGGAGAACTTTGAGATGCTAAGATCAGGATTTTCTTCCCAGTCGGTTGGGGTCGACGTAGAAGAGGGAGGTTTAGAGAAGCCGCGAGATGAAGCAATCTGCTCGGAGGAGGCAGGCTTGCTGGTGGTCGACTGCTCGCTCGGAGACGCACTGGGGCTCTGCTTCGCTTGGGCGGCATCAAATCCTGGAGGCGGTGCACTACCACGGCCACGTTCTTCCTCGACACTAGCATACTGCCTAATGCCCAAGTTGAAGGGGAAACGCTGAGTGGCGGCGAAGATAGGTAGTCGTCGAGGGGTGCTGTAAAGTTCCTGGAGCCCCCTCTTGCCCAAGATGCTGGGCACGACCCGTAAGGTCATGCTTGAAGAATTGGAGTCTGTTGCTTCGAGGATGCAACCATTTCTTAGATCTCTTGAGCCCTCTATAGCATTGCTTCACCAGTCATGTCCGTTTGCTGTGGGCTGAGGCATGCGCAGGAGAACAGAGATGGGGTCTGGCCTTTCTGGCCCTGGAGTGAAATATGAGGCGACACAACAGGAAAGTCACGCGAGCGCTTCACGTCATCCGCCAAGCCCTACGCGGCCGAATTCGGCAGAATCAACAAACACTGGCAGCATTCAACTTCAATGCACGGATTTTTACCTTCCTTGATATAGATTTTACAGCATTACGGATAATCCAATGGAATACGCAACGTACGAGTCGCGGCTCGCGACTTTCGAGCCTCCGTCGAAACGATCGAAGCTAGGATGGCCGCATAAGACACCGACGCCGGAAGAACTCGCGCGAGCTGGCTTCTACTACAAACCCTCCAGCGCCAGCAATGATAACACCATCTGCTACCTTTGCGAAAGACAGCTTGACGGATGGGAGCCGGACGATGATCCAGCAGGAGAGCATTTAAAACATTCAGGCGACTGCGGCTGGGCGATATTGATGAGCACTGGTCAAGATGCTCAGCGCGACATCAGCACAATGGAAGACCCCACGGGACAGCTATTTGCAGACGCGCGCCGAGCTACCTTCGCCGTCGGATGGCCACACGAGTCAAAAAGAGGTTGGCGATGTAAGGTTGAGAAGATGGTTGAAGCAGGGTGGCATTTTGCGCCGATACCAGAAAGCGAGGATTATGTGTCCTGCGCATTCTGCAAACTGTCTCTTGATGGCTGGGAACCAAAAGATGACCCTTTCGACGAGCACTATCGGCGATCTCCAGGTTGTCCCTTCTTCCACTTCGCGGGAACCACTGCACCAGCGAAACGCCCGAAAGCAAAGAAAGGCCGCACATCAAGAGCGTCACGTTCATCAAAAGCCTCGACACGATTGTCGACACAATCAAACACGCAAGACTTGACGACTCTGTCAGAAGCTCCGAGTAATGCCAACGATCTAATACCTGAGCTCGATGACTCGATAGATACGAGCACTATGTCGGTTATGTCGGTTATGTCGACAGCGTCTACCGCCACGAATCGAGCCAAGCGGAAGGCTGCTGGCGGCCGATCGAAAGCGACCAAGTCGAAGAGAACAAAGACCACCAAATCGACAAGGGCGAAGAAGGAAGAACCCCAACCTGAACCGGAGGAAATGAACGAAGTAGAGGTTCCTACACAAGTTGAGCCCTACCAGGTCTTGACCAGACCTGAGGAGGTGGATCTCGAGCCGGAAATTCAATCTCAAGGGCAACAAGCTCTACCCAGCCCAGCGCCCACACCTCCCGCACAGGTGTCATATCCGTTGCTGAATGAGAACAATACTCCCCCGCGGATTTCCAGTGAACCTCGCCATCTAAGTCCTCTTGGCCCACCACCTCAGGCATCACCGACTCCTGTGAAGACACGTCTATCCACATCTGCCGTAAGGAGTACGACACCGAAACCTACCAGCAGCAAAATTGAATTGGTTCGTCCCGTGTCGCCAATACCACAAGCTAACAACAACTCTTCCCCTGCTCCCTCGCCTTCAACTTCAGACATTGAAAATGCGCCGCCCTCTACGCGCCCTGCTTCCGAACGTCCTCCTGCTCCCCCAAGCTCCTCCACTCCCAGCCGCCAACATCCAAATACATCCTCTCCGGATCAAGGCGCGGCAATGCCGAAGTGGACGCCCGCGGATATTGAACTGGTTTTCACTCCCACGTCGCCGCAGAAGGCCGATGCAGATATACTTCTCGGCTTGACGGGCTCCCAACTCTCCACCGACGAAAAGAACATGACGGTGCAGGAATGGATCGAATACATTGCCAAGCAGACGGAGGAGGGATTGAGAGCGGAGGCGGAACGGGTGGTGGGAGTTTTCGAACGCGAGGGCGAGAGAGCGATGAGTGTTCTTGAAGGGATCGTCTGTGCTTGAGGAATAGGAGGGAAGGAATGGACTTGATCCAGTGGATTGGTGTAGGCGGTGCTTCCGATTGACGACGGGATGGACTACGCAGAAAGTCAAGTGTTTGTTTATGTACATGCCTTTTTGGGGGGTGGGCATATGGATTGGGCCATGCCAGCGCGTTGTCAATCGAGTAGAGCATCACAGGCTCCGGAGTCACGCGTTTGCATATCTGTCGGCGTTACGGGCAGGGCAACTAGCATGGAGTTCGGTGGATCCTTGTTTCTTCAATGCGATGTTGGATAAAACACCCTCGATGGATCCAGACTGACCGGCCCGGGGCCGGAAAGCATTCCATGCGTAGAGGTTTTTGGAACCAATTCACGAAATTGAATGGGGGACAGGAACTAGCAAGTCCGCGAATGCTTCAGTCTTGAAATCATCGTTTGAGTTCATCTTTTTTTGGAGGCTCTTTTGAGCATCTACTGTAATGCTCGCCCCACTCGTTCGCTCATGAAAGCAAAAACATAGTCAGACATCGTGACGAGAACAAAACAGACGTCGGGCCCTTGGAGCCCACCACCACCACCGGCATATGGTATGGAGGACTCAATCATCGCTGTTTTTCTTGCGATACAAGTACCATGGAGGATATCGCTGTCCTCCAAAACATCGGATCACACAGCAATGTCCGCCCCGACAAAGTCCTTCTCTTCAATTAGCTGGCTCTTGGACTGCGTGCTCGTCCCGGACATGGCGGCGTCGAGGGAGCGGAAATTGGCAAGTTCCTGCATTTTGGCTGTATCCCGGATTAGCACGATTTCCCATGATAAATGGTTGTGTTACTGCTTTCAACTCACTCTCACTGACGGGGCTCGTTGTGAAAATGGCCTTCTCCCGCTCGCCCAAACTCGGGTAAATGCCCTCGTTGATCAATATCTCCGCGAGCGATCGCCTGTTCGCGTCCGTGGCTTTACCCTGAGAGATCAGCTCTTGCCTCGCCTTCTCCAGACACTCGCGATAGTACTCGGCGTGGTTGATGTTGCAAACTTGGTCCCAGCTGACGGACTTGTGGATGGGGCAGAAATGCCGGGAGCAGAGCAGGCAGGTCTCGAGGTATTTGGTGGTCGGGGAGAAGTCGCCGGGGTTCTGCTCGTCGCAGAGGTAGCATTGCTTGACGAGGGCGGGTTTCTGAGGCCGCTCCTTCGCGGGCTCGGTTCTGGGAGCGGAGACGGTCGAGGTTGGTGCGCCGGGGGTGTTGATCACAATAGTAGGAGGTGCTGGCGCCGAGGCTGACATCTTGAATAGAGGATCTTGTGCGAGCGTAGACTGTGTAGCTCAAACGGCGTGCCTGTGACGAGGATCGCACTCCAGCAAGGACAGAGTGAGAGGGATCTAGAGTCGAGCTCGGTGGTTTGTATAGTTGTAGCACAGCGGGGGAATACGAGGATATAGCCGGCCTGACGAGCAGATTCCGAACTCTGGGACGGTGATCAGGTCAATGTCTTACTCTTTTGCTTGGATAGAAGGTTGACAGAGAAGTTGACAGTGCTACAAAAATAAATAAAGTCAGCTCTAGGCCCTATTTATTCGGTTCTCGGGCGTCGTGCATGAAGCATGTCGGCTCCTTGCTGCTGGTGTTCAGCTTGACGAATGTGCCTTGGCCTTGAGGCCCGCATACAGCAGGGCACGACAAGCCCCGCAAAACTCGGTAGCTCAAGGGCTCAAGGCTCTAGGTTACGAATGTGGCTTGCCAAGGAGGTCTGGCTTTGGGATGGTGAGGCATCGGCGGTGGCCTATCCCCCGCCATAGAGGCTGAAGAGGAACAAGAGCATGATGCGGCTGATGCGGTTGGTGTTTCGGTGCCCGAGAAGGGACAAACAATGACACGATGTTAAGGGTAAGGCGCCCCAAACACAGATACAAACGGTCGCATGCCGTTGGCCAGAGCGAGAAGGAGGCGAGCAGACCCTGATAGACAAGCGGCCAAGGGAATCAGGAGGGGCCATAGAGAAGAGAGCATGCGTCAATCGTGGATGGTAGGTGGATAGCCTTGGATGAGATGGTGGGAGGAGGCCAATGTTTGCCTGGCGCAGGGGGAGAGCGCAGGCTGGTGGCCGCAGTTTGTGAGTTGCAGGGCAGAAGACAGGGCTGCCATCGTCATTACTATTGGGGGTCGGAGGTCGGCAGTTCTGTGGCGCCGACTCGCCGTCTACACAGTATCTCGACATTGCCTGCGCATCAAGTTCCCTATGCCATGGCACTTGTACCTACGAGTAGAATCATCGACCGGCTTCTTTTCCCCCCTTGACAAGGACAGTTGCCCAGCCTGCTGACGTCGTCAATGCCACCAAGATCAACAGGGGCGCGTCGAACTACTTGTCGATCCTGTCCCTGACCAGTGCACGTCACCTCTCAAGCGCAGTTAGCTCTCATGAAATGGCTGCAGTCCTGTGGATACCACACAACGGCTGGTTTCCTCTCCTTTCTTCGATTCAGACCGGAAATGTAGCCCTAAGTCCACCCCCGATAGCATTGCCTGCTTGGCTCCATTGCGTCTCAGTTGCGTTTGGACTGGCGCAGGCGCTCAGACTCTGTTGCACACGGTGATGAATGGTGACACGACGCCTGTGACGATGTTACTCGAAACCCACCAGCGGTCTTGCAATACTTACCACTCATGAACAACCTGCCCGTCTGGGCATCATGAATCGCAGTCGTCATGCCGGGCAACACCTCTCCCTCGGCGTCTTCAATGATTTTCGTCAGCTCATACTGATACTGGTCGCCGACCTCTCTGTTCAACCTCCGAACCCGCCATACAGTTGCGGGAGCGCTCTTTGGATTCAGGGGATCCTCAAACGCAGCCAAAGCTTGGAGTGCTTTAGGAAGAGTCGCCGCGAAGATGTCTCCATTGGCATCTTCCGAAAAGTTGTCGATGGGATAATCAAGGTCGATCTTGTGCACCCTAACCACAGAACCATCTTGACTCGGTTTGAACACGGTGATGCCCCCCACGGCCGCGCTGGGTACATAGAGAAGGCCGTCGCTCCCGAGATGAAGTCCATTGGGGAACTTGAACCCAGAGGCGACTTTCTTGCAAACACCGGTTGCGCTGCAATATGAGACGTCTCCGGTGCCTATAAAGGAAGAGAGATGGTGTTGCTTCGCGCGCAGTTAGTGAGCGAGACCACGCTTTCGAGGAGTTCCTTACCAGGCCAACCTTGTGCGGACCGTGATCATTCGTAAAGAAGAATCCGCCATCCTGCGTCACAGCAACATTGTTGGGAGTTGCAATCTGGGCGTCAGCGTACGTCTTGACATGGTTCATACTATTAGAACCGGGGGTAGTGGCGAAGACTTCGATGGTCGAGTTTCCCCCTACGACCGAATTGTCGAGCAATTCCCCTGTTTCTGGATCAACAGAGGGACGCGCGTTGACTAGCCACAATTGAATATCGAATCCGTCTGCAGAAGTGGTGCCAGTCATGCCGACGACATGAAGTCGACCGTCGCCGTGTACGCCGGGAAAATTCTGCATTTTGAGGACACGGTAAGTGTAGCCTCCTGAGGCTTTCGGGCTGTCGATGTCCATGGCAACGACATGGTCATGCAACGCTCGGCCAGAAGCATTGAGGCGATGGATACTGGCATCTCTCTTAACAGGTTTGCTCCCCAAAATGAAAAAAAAAAACACTTTGCGACAGATCACAGCTTGGAAACGTACTTTGGCATCCACTCCTTCCTGGCCAGGGAGTCCGAGCAAGCCAGATACAGTGTTCGGGATCTCTGATCCAGCCACATGTCTTCGCAGGCCTGGATGTTTGGGTCGCCGCTTATTCGGTGGCACTGATATGGGAAGTCTGTGACGGGCTGCACCTTGCGGCCCAGTCCCATGCCGTTGAAGAAGGCATCTCGCAGCACTAGTTGCCAAAACACGGCGCAGAAGCCGAGCGAGATGGCGACAAGTGGGAGTTTGCTCGCCATCTTCTCGTGGTGAAGGGAGTGTATCGTTCAATTGAGTGATTGCTTGAACTCTACCATTCGACGTTTATCCGACGAGGCATCAGCAGTAGTTCAGTCTCCCTGATGCCTTCGGTTTTTGGTGTGTAGTGTCGCTCTGTCTCCAAGCTGCATCCGCTCTGGAAACGACTATCGAGGCCTCTCTCGTCGGAGCAGATTCCTGTGACGTGGGCACGAATCCCGACTTGGAGCCAAAGATGTATAGAATATCAAGATGTACTTGCCTAGGTATGTAGGGTACTCCGCAAGGCACGCTGGACCTATTACTCCGTAGATGTCGATGCTTTCCGGATAGAAACCCAAGGTCGAACGAGTCCATCCCCACAGCCGACCGACCCCTCCTCTGGTCTCTTGTCTGTCTTTTTGCCTTCCTCGGCTCCAAGACTGCCCAGACCCCGAAGGACCTGCGTATTGGACCTGGCATGTATGTGTGTATGTGTGTATGTCATTCAGGCTCGACGACTGCCTGAGTGCACAAGGGACATGGACTCTCCGCGGAGACAAGTTGTCGTTATTGTTGATGAGCATTCCCACCTCTTCTCATCCCCATCAAACACCTGAGGTCTCTGCGCCCACGAAACCAGATCCATACCGATACGAGCTGATTCCGGTGCGGCCCTCTTTCCTGGCTCAGCAGATCCTAAATGGAAAATGCCGCCGAGGTCTGATTGATTGGTTCTTTGGACCGTGCCGGCGAGAGGGTGAGAAGGATGCGACAAGACGAGCTGACGGGGTCGCTTTCACTCTGACGCGTCTCCGAGGGTAATCAAGCCAAGTCAAGTAAGTGGCATGTGAATGTGAATGTGAATGTGAATGTGAATGAGGATGAGGATGGGAATGGGGTGAAGGTACGGGAAGTTTCGTCACTTTGTTCAGGGTGGGTTTGAATCCGGGCCGGACACAAGTGATGGTAAAGGCACAGAGTCTACGTCGAGGGTGTAGAGTTCTTGGAATCACAGGTAACGAAGGGTGAGGTCGTGAAAAGAGGCTATTCTGGAAGTCAAGGCCTGGATGGAAAATGGAGTCTTTCGTGGCCAACGACATCCACTCGTAGAGACAATGTTTTAATTTTATATCATTCGTGGGTATGGATAAGGCAATAATGTTTTCGTGAATTACAACAGGTGCAAACCAGGTCAACGAACCACCTTATGCTGCACTCCTCATCGTCGTTTTGCTTCCGGCAGCCGAGCAAAAATCGACCATCTCTTCCTGCACTCACTTCAAATACTCATCCCCAATCTCTTGAATCATGACATCAAAGAGAGGTTTCGCGCTGAACCAACCGGCCCTGGGTGTGCCGACAGACTTGTATGTGAAAGCAGCATCCTCATCGTCAATCTTGACCGTAGCGCCTCCGCGACCAGCAGCAGCCGCATCAGCCAGGAGTTGGGCATGGCAACACTTCTCCAGAGAGCAGAACCAGAACAAGGCAGCCTCGATCGTCTGTCCCACCGTCAAAAGACCGTGGTTCTGTAGCAAGCAAGCCTTCTTGTTTCCAACTGCACGGGCGATGTTTTCTCCTTCTTCCTTGGCCAGGACCACACCCTTGAATGAGTTGTACACGGCAAGGTCGTTGTAGAAGGCACAGCTATCCTGCGTGATGATGTCGATCGGTCGACCCAGGGCGCAGAAGGCGCGGCCGTAGAGGCTGTGTGAGTGAGCGGCGCAGACGACGTCTGGACGGGCCTTGTGGACCGCTGCGTGGATCATGTATGCGGCTTGGTTGAGCAGGCGGTTCGGGCCTCCATCGATGACTTTGCCGTCGTGGTCAACCAGGATCAGGTCTGATTTCTTGATCTGCGAGAAGGCCAGGCCAAAGGGGTTCACCCAGAAGGTGGTGGGATTCACAGGATCTCTCAATGTAATGTGGCCTGCGACACCTTCCTCGAACCCAAACTTTCCGAACAGGCGGAATGCGAGAGCGAGGCGGCCCTTGAGGTATTCTCTCTCCTCGTACTTGTCCGTGAAGCGTGGCGGGGAAGGGAACTTCTGCATCTGAACTTCGGCACCGCTTTGCGTCAACTTGGGCTCGTTGGGTGCGGTGCCTTCGGGCTGGGCGTCCGCTTTGTCGAAACCGGAGGCGGGGACATTGGAGGTCTCGGTGTATGTTGCCGTGGGAGGGGCCATGGTGGATGAGATGTGTATCTAGGTACGACTCTTCTCGTTGGAGGTATGTGCACGATAGGACAGTATTGACCTGATGACTATGTCGTAAAGCCACAAGAGGGTAGGGAGAGAGTGATGAGAGGATCAACAGAAAGAACCTCGAGGGGAATTGTCCGTTGATATATGACTGCGGAACTGATTGTAAGACTGGAAAGTCAAACGTGGGGAAGTGCCGACGGTGCGGGCTCTGCGGCCAGTGGCAAAATATCCCAAACTGATAACCTCGTCGACGATTAGGCCTCGGATTTGTGAGCTCTTCTCCACAGCGACCTCACAGGGTTCGGCCGACCCATTGAAGCACTGCTGCGTTCCTCAAATCACCGTTGACGCCCTTCGCTCGATACTTGGAGCTGGCTGCGGGGAGTCAGTGATCTCGCCATCTTCCTCTACCCACCACGCCCTCGATTGGCTCGCCGGACAGTATCCCGAGTCCAGCGAAAAGAACTCTGAGCGAATGGTAAACACAGCAAATATCAGCGGGCGACGGCTCTGCATGAGGAGATATCTGTTGCTTCGCTGGGCCACCCGATGAGCCGACGGAATGTGCGGCTTTTCGAGGCTTGAATCGGCATCTTTGAGAGGCCATCAATATGCGCGGGAAACCATCAAAGGAGCATTGCGAGCTCGGAAAGACAAAATGGTTGGAATGGTGAGTCTTGTGAAACGCAGTTGCGCCGTCAACCGAGGCATGAACTAATTGGCGAACTCTGGCTGATGCTCTTCAATGTCTCATTCAATGATGTCCAACCACTTTTGCCTTTGCTTAACCGAGCCCCTTTTGTTTGGCATCTTCGAAATGCTCGTGGCCTCCCCAGCGTCAAGACGACTCCCTTCCCCTACGCGCAGTCCGGCCTAATTGTGCCACAAATGATCACTCTTGATCGCGCCTCTCACTTGTTCTGTCCCACTTCGACAAATACGAAACTTCTCGAGTGGGTTAGAGGATTGCGGGCGCGGTCGCAGGTGGGCAGCTTCCGTGATGCTCAGCTAAGATGACAGGGGTGTCACATCAGGCGTCGAGGTAGAGAGACATTCACAATACGAGGTTGCAACATTTCGCCTTGAAGGTCAGATGCTCGCGTCCATCGGATTGACTTACTTTCACGATGCGTCAGCGATCAACTCCGAGAGAGCCTCCATCAACAAGTGCCTGCCACAATTGTGTTTCTGAAACCACTTCCTCGTCCTTGCCCACCGTCCCTTGCGCTGCATCTGCCGCGGGAATGCAAATATAACTATGTGATGAATAAAGCACTCAAATGAGGGCAGAAGGACTGGAGGGCTGTTGGCTTGGCTCAAGGCTGACAAAGTCCTTACGGACGACGACACGAGAATGACTACCCAGTCACGAAGATTCGAGATAGCTCATAACACTACTAGGTTCGCGGCGCCATGGCTGCGCACGCTTGGCCTTCGTATTTCCGCACCTGTTCATCCTGCCTGTCTTTCTTCCACATTGCGTTGTCATCTGCTAACATCATGTGTTTGTTTTGTTCATCATTGCCTACAGTTAATAGGATACCTAACAAAGCAGTTACGGCGAGCGAGCACCAATGTTGTGGTCGACGAACACCACATCTTTCGGAGGTGTTGCCATAGCCGATCATACCCTCAGCTCAGGCGCGGCTGTGGGTGAAGATGGCGAGCCTAGAAGAGGGGAGGCCGTCAGAAGGGTCCGACACGGCCGATGCCCAACTCTCGACTTCGCAGAACTGGCCGATGGGCTCAAACTGGCCGATCTGAATGATGTTCTGAAGATAGGTGGTTTGTGCACTGGTATGCTCGCATATCGCCGCAGGGAGTGTGTGAAAAACATTCAGTGGGCGAGGCATGCTATGGGCCATGTCGATGGCGTTGACTCTTACACAATACCGAGAGCCAGAGTGCTGGAGTGCTGGAAATACGACGGCTTCGAAGATGTCTGCGAGGGCAAGAATCTCAGACTGCTGGATCTGACAGGCGATGCGCATCCTCGTGATTTCGATGAAAGGCTGCGAGTATGCCTAAAACAAACCGAGGAGTATCGACCCTTGAAGCCACCCGAAGCCAGGGAACTACAAGGAGGGTTTCGGGTGATAACATGCGATTGGCCGCACAGGCACTTGGGGATCACAATTGGGCGACAGGCTTTCGAACTTGTTGAGAGTGAGTTTTGCTTACACAATGCGACCCTTCCTGCATTCGTCGACGATGGCGGAAACTTCTTGATGCACAAGATAACCGATGACAATGGCCGGACCACCAAAATCCAGGTTGTGGTCAAGGTTGTGCAAAAGCTGGAAATATCCAATTGTTTATTGTCGCTGACCTTCGACGTCGCGAAGAGTTGGACCGATGCATTCATCTGCGGAGATGGCATCTTGTTCCAGAAACCGGACGACAAGACCTATGGCAACCAAGGGCACCAACTTGTGGCGCTCCTTCTGTCGTGTGCCCCGGGCCTCTGGGCAAATCCCCTACTGTTTCCAGCAGCTCTCCTCCAAATGTGTGCGATGCGAATGCTCAAGAGAACCGAGACAATTCAATGGCCGCGGCTCGATCTTACGGATAATCTTGGTGAGATCAATGTCGCGTGGGCAACAGCCCAGTTGCATAGTATACTGCAGCAGATATTGACACTGCAATGTGTTGCCGATTGGCAAACGAGATATGGTGATTGGCTCCTAGATATAGAGAGTGACTTGGCTGCTGATCCGGAGCTCATCAAGGGCACAGAAGGTTTCACAAGCGTCAGGTGTGCAATAGGCTTTATCACATCAAGTCTCAAAGGGGTGAAAGAACGCTTCAACACCGGAGAACGCGAAGCTCAATCGCAAATAGCGCTCTTATTCAGCGTTATCGGACAGCGAGATGCGCTGATGTCTCAAAAAGCCAACGAGCTGAACCTGGAGGTTGCTCGTGCCACGAAAGAAGACAGCATCTCCATGTCGACCTTCACCTTCATAACTGCGATCTTCTTACCACCTACCTTCGTGGCGACACTCTTCAGCATGAGCATGTTCGATTGGTCGGATGGCAGCGGTGGGGATGCAGCTCATCACACCTTGTCGAGCAAATTCTGGGTGTTCTGGGTTGTCTCTGCCCCGTTGACGGCCTTGACGATTGTCGGCTGGTATGTTTGGTACAAACGTGCCGACCACAAGTGGCAGACTAGGCTTGACCACATGAGTCACCGCGTTGTTGTTGATGAGTGGAGTCAATGGCAAGGGCAGACAACACAGAAAGATGAGACGGCGAAACGACACAGGAGTGACCAGGTTAGGCTATCTGGATATGGACAGGAGTGCAGAAATGCCTCAGCGCAGAAGGAACCAAGTTGTGTCTAGCTGAGCCGGAGGATGATTGGGCTTGATCCATACCTATCGTCGAATAGCAGCGACATGACGTTGCCAGTCGTTGAGCAGCTACAGCTTGGGCGTTGGTTGGAAGTACAGTCGTGGGCTCATTATATCTGAGCTATCCAATGTCATGGACGGCAACAACTTCTCCAGCCGGGAAGTGTTGAGAAAACCTGGGTTTGCTTGGTCGAGACTGGTGATGCCCAGCAGTTGCATTGCGATCGTCAACTCCTCCTTTAGAACTGCGGGAGGGAAAAGTCAGTACTACGCCAACCCAAACCAAAACTTGTCGGAAGATCCCAAGTATACCATGATGAGAAACGTCAACAGGGGTCGATTACTTACTTGCGAGAGCTCGGAGAACACCGTTCTCGCCATAGGCCAGAGCGTACAGACAAGGACGCCCTACACAAACAGCACGAGCGCCTAGGCAGATGGCTTTCAAGACATCCGTCCCTCGTCGAACGCCACCGTCAACGATGACCTCCATCTTTGTCAAAATCTCGGGGCATGTCTTTTGGATCTCAAGAAGCACGAGAATCGCGGGCGGTGTCGTGTCCAGAGCCCGACCTCCATGATTCGAGAGGTAGATGCCGGCACAACCGATTTCCGCGGCGATTTTGGCGTCTTCCGCTCGCTGAATGCCTTTGACAAAGACTGGGAGTCCCGTGTGACGCGCGATCCATTGGATATCTGCCCAGTTGAGGTCGGGGTCGATCACGTTGTTCACGGGCGGAGGTGCAACTTGACGAACCAGTTCCGAACCCAACGGCGGGCCCGAACCTGGTCCAGATGTCTTGACTTCTGACTCGTTGTCACTACTGCTCAAGATCAAGGTCGAGGACCCCTTTGCAGACTCTCTCTTGCTCAGCACGGGCGAGTCGGACGTCACCATGATTGCTCGAGCTCCAAGTCGACGCGCTTCGTCCAAGGTGCGAGTCAGTTCGCTACGGTCGCGATTGGCGTATAATTGAAAGAAAAAAGGACGGCCAGAACCGAGGGCTTCAGATATCTCGGCAAGCGAAAATGATCCCATAGTCGGGGCAATGGGAGGGACGCCAAAACGCTGGGATGCCCTCGCAATCGCAACCTCGCCGTCGCGGTGAAAGAGCCGGTTCGACGACGTAGGTGCCACCATTATAGGGCATGAAAGCGTGAGACCGAGGAATTGCGTACTCGTATTTACGCTTCCAACCCCTTGCAGGAGACGTGGACGGAACATCACCCGACTGTACACTTTTCGGTTCTCCCGCTCTGTGATTCCATCCTCGGTGGCGCCCGAAAGGTACAAAAGTGCTTTTCTCGTGAGTGCTGGCGATGCGGCTGCTTCGAACTGGTGAAGACTGGTGATTGACTCTAGCGGAGGCAGCGAGGGATGCTGCTGCCGCTTGTTCAAACCCTCCTTCGCCGGCATGGGAGAGTCGCTTGCCTCGAGCTCCCCTATCCTTCTCTGCTCCCCAAAATGTCGCTGCACAAGCGCCGGACTGTGAATTTCATTGTATACCTCGCTGCCGTCCTTCCCTAGGTGTTGGACGATGAGCTCTGCGCCGCCTGGGTGCTGAGCGGCAAAGTCTGAAAAGTCCCAAACTGTGCCGTTGAGTGCAATCCAACCATCCTCCCCCGTGGCGTGCTTCTTCAATTCATGCACAGCAACCCGTCGCTTGGTAGTAAGAGACATGGTTTTTGATGGCACTCACCTCACCCAACCGTCGTGCGGCAATGGCTGCGGAATCAGGAATCACCAATTTTTACGTTGTCAGCACATAATGTGGTGGATGTAGGTCGGTGCCACATGCCAGAGATTCCTCAAGCCAGTGTGGCCCCTTGCGGACAAGGCCGAATTCCTCGCAGCGAGACGAGCTCGTGTGTGATAGCGAGTCGGGATAAGACATGGACAAGAGCGATGATGGAGCGACGGAGTTTCCGATTTCATCCGGGGCCGTGCCAAGATCGTATCTTCCCTCAGCCTCGCAACTCCGAACCAAAGATCGATGGAAGCATTTGCTGTCGAAGCCGAAGATAAAGGGCGTACAACTAACTCTATTCGACAGGGAAAAGATGCAGTACAAAACAGTGCTAGTTATAAGGTGCTCAGTAAGGTGCTCACGAAGTCTGTTCCGGACACGAAAAGATACTGCGCCTGGACTGGTGAGTTGACGTTTGCCATTTACAGCGCAGACACATCGCACCGCGGTCAATATCTCGCATCGAGAGAGGGATATCACGACAAACCCCTGATATCACGCAGAGAATCGCTTAGTGATTAAGATTGCAGCTACAACTAGATTCCAAGTAGGCTGTTCTTTTAATGATGATTCCGAAGCGTAAATCATAAACAAAACCATATCCGGTGTGAACATTTTTCCTATGTAGTATTTACATCTCGAGGCAGGCGACGGTACGATCTGCACTTGGCATATACACTACCATCAGTCCAGAATCTGGCCAACGTGCTCGAAAAACAGGTTTAATTGTCACTAGCAATGATGCAGAAAGCAACAGTGATACAGCTGTCCGAGTCCCACTTATGCATCATCCTGGTGATGATGAGAAGAACCATGTGGCACAATCTCAAAGGCCAACGCCTCCGGAACGCAGTACTTGTCCTTCACAATGAACCAATTACCAATGGAAAGCACCAAACAGCCAATGGCGACCACCGAGGCCCAATTCATATTGTCAGTGGTGACCGGGTAGTTCAGGGGAAAGCTCAGGAAGACCACCTCGAAGCAGATCCAGCCGATCATGAGGATGTTGAGGACGATGCCCGCGCGGCCGAGGTTGATGTATCGGTTGGCGGGTAGTCGTTCCCGACCCTGGAGCACCAGCAAGACCACGGGTAGGCCGTATGAGATTCCGAAACAGATGCCGGCGGATCCGTAGATGGCGTTCAGAACATACGCGGGGGCGAATTCGAGGAAATCGAAAGCGAGGGCTACCACCGCGCACGCCAGCACCGAGTTGACGGGAACGAGCGTCTTGTCGTCGACCTTAGTGAGCCACGAGCCGTACGGAAGACCTCCGGACTTGGCGAAGGACCAGGTAATGCGACTCTCGCCGGTCAGGCAGGCGTTGCAGCCCTGGATGAAGGATGCGGAAAAGATGATGCCGATGGTGACCAGGAAGCCCGTGTTGTTCCACGCATCCCAGCAGATCTGGAAAATAGGCTGACCACCCAGAGGCGCCAGGAGACCCTCGGGGTTGACGGTGCAGAACAAAAGCACGATGATCATGACGAATGCCCCCAAAAAAGAGAGGAGGAACGACCCGATCATGATTTGTGGGACGCGTCGCTGAGGATTGGGCAGCTCTTCGGTCAAGTGCGTTGCGCCGTCGGGGAGACACAGAGCCACCAGCGTGGGCAACATCCCGAGACAGAAAACGAGGCCGTCCGAGCCCCAGCCGGTGTTGTTGATGACATCGATGAAGACCGTTTTGGCGTGGGCTTTCGGCTGCGCCTTGGCGAGGAGCGCCACGATGATGTAGACGACGGCCACGTTGATGGCGACGACAAAGAATTTGGTGACGGCCGGATAGAATTTGATGAGCCAGGTGTTCATGGCGATGGCAATGATGAACATGACGATGGACAGCAAAAAGCTCTGGTAATGCTGGGGAACGTAGCTGCTGTTAAGGATGTTGGCGGTTCCGAGGATGAACTGTGTGCTTAGAAAGTAGCCACCGGCGACGGCGAAGTTCCACCCCCACAGAGTCATGATTCCGTTGAGGTAGGTGAGGAAACGACGGTATTTTGGCGGAGCCAGGATGGCCGTCCAGTATGTTTGGCCTTGAATGTTGGTCAGGAACAGGGGGGAAACAAGCCTCTGGTGCGAACATCTACTCACCTGCAACATGGGGATATGCTGACGATAGCTCGGCAAAGTTCAGCACGACGTTGCCTTGACCGACCGCGGCGACGATAAAACACCAGAAAAAATAAGGGCTTCCCCCGACACCCAGGGTGAATTGCATATACCCAGCGATGGCCAGCGGGGCGCAGCCAAGGGTGTACTGGACGCCCAGCACGCTCCAGAGACTGAAGCGCTCCTCGTCGAGCTTAGTGACGGCATGCTGTTCGACGGACTTGTCGGTGGTGATGGACTCGAGGGGTTCACCCGTGATGTCCTCGGTGGAATGGTGTTTTGTGGTGTCTGACATCTTGCGCAATCCAGCGAGGATGCAGCGGCACAAACAAAGATAAAAATGTGCACGGAACGTCTTCTCGCTTCTCCAGGAATGGAGGAAGAGCCTAGAGGGTTGCCACCACCGGACATTGCATGAGTTTATATCTTGTTGAGAACGTAGAGGGGGTTTCCGGGCTCCCTTAGACTGTGAGGTCCAGTCCATGAGAGGCGCCTGGGCACCGCTGCCCCTAGAAATCTCACTTGGACGGATTTCCCGAAGTCTGGGCCGGGAAGCTTGATAGACTCGTATCAACGTTTTGCTCTGTGCAAGCGGGATCCACTATAAAAACGATGATTGGTCAAAACCGGCCTAAGCAGTCTAGCGCGACTTACCTAGGTCTGTATACGGACTTGCACCCCCCGCGAGTATGGGGAAGATTGCGGCAACCAATGTGGAGCTTATTTTATCTCGGTCTTTCCACGTTATCGATCCAGGTCTCTATCAAGATTAGGGGACGTCAGTAAAACTGAGGAGTAACTTTGCGAGGGTCTGCGAGCTTGGACGGTAAAGTGATGAAGTCTGGAGACCCATAGTCCCGTTGTTATTCGTCTAGACACCAGTCGTTGTAGCAAGTGTAACAGTCCTCGCGTACGGCGAAGTGAATGGTGGGGAAACTGCCGATTTCTGGGGAAGGCTACTTACAACACTACCCTGCCCTCAATCCGGGGGTCAGGTGGCACGTTCTCCATGTCGTCTGGGGTACAAGTTGCAGACGGTCCTTGTACAAGCATCTGAGCCCGCTTTGAGAGGCACGGAGGCCTGCGGAGCCAAAAAGGAGGGACTAGAGCTCGACCTCGACGGAGGTTCATTCGGAATTTCCGGCCATATCACAGACACTCGACCAGCTCTTTTGGCGAAAACCAACCGGCCTGCCGCCGGCCCAGTCCTCGATGAAAAGGCCCACCGCTTAGGAAGAGCTACAAACACAGCGGCGATGGGGTTCCTTATGCCCGTCTTCCGGATTTCTTCGAAGCCAAGTCTATAAAATTGTTGATACTGCGGCCTGGTAATGAAGAACCTCTTGTCCAGCACTCTATTGCATTGCCCCTGCACTGTATTTTCTGCACCCTCGGTCTCGCTCTGAACATCGCATTCGGCTCAAAAGGTATCGCTTCCTGTCAACCGACGCATCACTTTTCGATATGGGCAGCATCGACATATCCAGCACCACGGATCATGTGGTGGGTAGTCATTATCCATTCGACGGGCTCTGGAGCTCCTACTAACCTACAAGCTAGGTCTCCGAGCTCGTTCGAGAATATCCTCAACAGATCTTCACTCCTGGCCAACCTTCATACCTAGCTTCCCAGCAAAGTTACTGGTCCGAGATCCTGAAAGAGATTGCGCCGCGGTGTTTCTTCCAGCCCCGCAGTGCCGCGGAAGTGGCGCACGCCGTTTCGCTATGTGTCAAGGCACAATGCCCGTTCGGTGTCAGGAGTGGAGGTCACGCGCATGTCTCGGGAGCGTCGTGCGTGCCTGACGGTGTTCAGATTGATCTGTCCAAGCTCAACACAATCACAATCGACCGAAGCAATAGCACCGCGCGGGTCGGGGCAGGCAATACGTGGAGACGGATCTATGGCGAGCTCGAGAAGCAAGGCTATATCGCCGTTGGTGGAAGATCTGCAGATGTCGGGATTGGTGGTTTTCTTGTCGGCGGTACGTGATTCTCCGCGACAAAATAGGACGACCGCCCAGCCCTCTGTGACTGTTCCTAGAGGCTGACTTTTGTACCTTACAGGAGGCATTTCGTTCTTCGCGGCCGAACACGGCTGGGGCATCGACAACGTTCGAGCTTTCGAGATCGTGCTGGGTTCCGGCGAGGTGGTCACTGCAAGCCCGGACAGCGAACCGGAGCTCTTTCGCGCTCTAAGGGGCGGCGGCTCCAATTTCGGAGTCATCACGTCTTATACGCTCAACATCTACCCTTACCGCGGCATGTGGGGAGGTCGTACTCTGGTCGACCCGAATTGCGCCCAGGAAGCGATTGAGGCGTACGCCGATTTTGTGCCCCGGCTGGATGTCGACCCCAAGGGCCACACGATTGTCATCTTCGACACCAACGGGGAAGAAGTCATTATCCGACAATACCTGGTGTATTCGCACCCGAAGCCGAATCTCCCCATGTATCACGGCCTGCTCAAAGTGCCCACCCTCGAATCTCCTCTCGGGCTGACGGACTACTCGGCGTTGGCGGCAGACATTGCCGATCTCCAAGGCGGTCACGGCCTTCGTCACAATTGTTCCACGCTGACCATCAAACTGGACGTGGGTCTCATGCGATACACATACGATCTGTACGTCGAGGCATCTCGAGCCGCAAAGGGCTGGGCCTATGGATGCCTGGAGTTTCACGCCATTCCTCGTTCCCCCAAGCCCGAAGAGAACATGTACAACTTGAAGAGGGAAGACGGGCATCTAATATCCATCATGCTGGCGTTCAGCACGGCAGAGTCCCAGTACGACCAAGCGGTGCTGGACATGCAGAGCACC